CTTGATAATTTTTAGAAGTAGGCTGTGCCTGCAAATATCTTTGAAATTGAAAGCAGAATAACGTTAAACGTCAATTAGTTGACAGTTAGTTTTGTTGTCTGTTGAAACCTGAAACGTTTTTTTGCAATTGTGAATGCACGAAATTTAGTTTCTTTTACCTGTTTTTTTTTTGTAAGTTTTATAAAGATGCTATTTTTATTCTACAATCAAGAGTTAGCGGATATTCATTTTGTGTATGGCTTTGTAAATGGAAACGCAGCAGAAGCAGCCAGAGAATACGCACGAAGATTTCCGAACAGACGACATCCAACTCGCTCAATATTTGTAAGAGTGCATCGCCAAATAATTGAAAATGGTTTTGGAAATCTCCACAGGGATCAAAACATAAATGTTCGTCAGCGCAGATTTACCCGTATGATTCTGTGTGAGTTTGATAGAGATCCGACCACAAGTGTTAGAAGAGTTTCTGGTGCCTTAGGAATCTCAGCAAGCCATGTTCACCGTGTTCTTAGAAATAACCATAGACGTCCTTACCATTTGCAACCTGTGCAAGGACTACAGCCAGGGGACGGAGAACGAAGAATCACATTTTGTCAGTGGATTCTTGATAGAACTGATAATAATAGGGAGTTTTTAAGTAACGTTTTATGGACCGATGAGTCATGCTTCACTAGACGTGGAGTGTTAAATTTTCATAATCAACATATTTGGTCGCATGAAAATCCGCATGCAGTTCGGGAAAGAAATTTTCAGCATGAATTTAGTGTGAACGTGTGGATTGGTGTCTACCGCAAGCGACTATTTGGACACTACCTTTTGCCTGCAAGGTTAAATGCTGCGACCTTCTTGGAGTTTTTAAAGGCTGAACATGCAAATATGTGGGACGATGTTATGTTAGATTTAAGAAGATTGGCCTGGTTCCAGCTTGATGGTTGTCCAGCTCATTATTCGAGAATAGTTAGAAATTGGCTGGACGAAAATTATCCAGAAAGATGGATCGGCCGTGGAGGACCAGTCACCTGGCCTCCACGATCCCCTGACCTAAATCCATTAGATTTCTTTGTGTGGGGATTTCTAAAAGAAAAAGTGTACCAGACTCCCGTAACCACAAGAGATATGCTAATAGACATAATCAGGAATGCATGTGATGAAATAAGGCCTTATCTGAATAATGCTACTTTAGATTTTGTTTGTTTGTCCTAACTATCCAATAGCATCCAATATTCATTTAATTTGTTAAAAATAATATTGGAAAATTAAACAAATTAATATTCTGTTTTTTTGTGTTTATTTGGAGTTAGGAATTATTGCTGCGTTTAAAAACACAATCTAAACGATCATCTTAATTACTTGTAATGCCCAAATCGAAAATGTTAAAAAAAATATTATTTTCCCATAAATAATTAAAAATGCATCGAACCATGAAAATCGAAATATCTCAAAAACGGCTAACTATAACGAAAATTTACAAGAGAGCTTTTTTATGTTGAAAGGTGCGAAGAATCAGTTTTTTTATTCAAAAAGCAAAAAATTGCACTAAGAAAAATTTTTCGGTCATTTTAATACACTACAGGTACAGTAGAGAGCGCCTTCTAGCGGCTACAGTAAAACTATGCCCATGGTACGTTTTGTCGTACCAAAAAAACCTTGTATACCAATTTTCACTGCTATACATCAAATATTGTTCGAAATATTTAAAAAAAAACTATTTTAGAAAGTAAATTTAAACACCCTGTAGTTCGGAAGCCACGCATTTTTCGACCCATGTTTATATAGACTTTATGCATTAATTTTAAAAGTTCTATCGAATCTTAAAGTTATGCAACAATAAACTGAAACACCCTGTACACGAGGGTCGAATCAAAAATAAGGCTCCCACATTGCTTCAGGCACAATGAATTTTTTATTTGAAAAACGAATTCACTATTGGACACGTTGTTTTCGCTCCAGCTTTTTCAGGAACCACAGGAATTTTATCCGCCTGTTCCCGGATCGAGATTCTCCGATCTTCGAGCAAGAATTGCTCAGTGTTGTCCCAACTTCCTCGGAGATCGACGGTCTCTTGCTTCGTTGTTCATCGTGAATGTCCGAGCTTTCTTCACCCTTTGAGGACATGTTGAATGCTTATACACGTTTCGCCATGTGCTTCACTAAAGTAACTATAATATATAATATAACTAACCATTTCGATGGTATTAAAAACGAGCATTTGAAAATTATAGCCGAGGACATAACAGAACCACTCACTTACCTAATCAACAAATGCTTTGAATCTGGCATATATCCCTCAATTTTAAAAAAAGGTAATATAATACCGATACATAAATCAGGAACAAAAACAGATGTTAACAACTATAGACCAATATCAATAATATCCAGTGTAGCAAAGGTTTTTGAAAAAGTTTTATCTACTAGAATGATTCGATACGTCACAAAATTCAAAATTTTAAGTGAAAATCAATATGGATTTACAGAAGGGAAGGCTACATCGGACGCAATAACTAAAATTGTAAATCAAATACATCAAAATATTGATAACAGAATCCCTTCAATCTGCATTTTTGTTGATTTAAAGAAAGCTTTCGACACAGTTAATCACAAATTATTATTAGAAGCATTGGAGAGAATTGGTTTCAGAGGAAACGCGTACTCACTGATCGAAAGTTATTTGTCAAATCGCCCACAATCTGTGCAGATATCAGGATCATTTAGTAAAGAAATGTATATTAAGTGTGGTGTCCCACAAGGAACTGTCTTAGGTCCGCTGTTGTTCAATATATATTTAAATGATATTTTCCAAATTAATTGTGTTGGCAAAATAACTAGTTTTGCAGATGATACTGCAATATTATATGAAGGCACTGACTGGTCTGATCTGAAAAATGTAATTGAAAATGATTTTATCAAAATTATTCGGTGGTTTAACAGTAGAAAATTAAGCATTAACTACTCTAAAACACATTTTTTACCATTTGGATCTTATGCTAGACATCTGCCAAATTACACAAATTTCTCCTTCAATATTAATGATCAAAAAATGCAAATTAATAGAGTGCCCAACATAAAATACCTTGGAGTGGTCTTGGATCCTCACTTACGATGGGACATCCATGTCAATTATATTTTAAAGGAAGTTAGATTTCTATCCTACAAAATTAAATACCTTGGGAATATATTGACAGAAAAATATCTTCGAAAATTATACCATGCACTGATTGAGCCTCATCTCATATATGGTATATTAGCATGGGGAGCTGCATGTTCCTCACATATCTATAATTTAGATGTTTTTCAAAAAAGTATTCTAAAAATGATATTTAAAAAACCGAAACTTTATCCCACTGAAAAATTATACGCAGATGTTCGAATGTATGATATAAGACAGCTTTATTTCTTACACAATATCACTCACTACCATAAATTTGTAAACACCGACCAAAAAATTAAACATAATCATTATACCAGGTACAAAATTCGTGGCACAGTAGTTCCTCAACCGCATAAATCTATAATGCAGCGATCATATCTCTATTTAGCGCCTAAATTTTATGAAATTATACCTAAAGACTTAAAAGATTTACGTTTCGGAAATTGTTTCAAAAGAAATTTAAAAAAGTGGCTACATTCTATATCTAGGACTGAAATTCATAAACTCATAAATACGAACATCAACTAAATACATAATCTACTGCTAGCTAATTTTTGTCCTTTTTGTCATTTGCATTCTACAGTTTCAACTTAAATTTATTGGTCCATGTACAGGCGATGCCTTCTATTGGGCCTGTTTTGCTTTTATATTTATTTACTCATATTGTTTGTTATCTTTGTACATTGAGTGAATAAATATTATTATTATTATTATTATTTCTTTGGATGGTAACGTTTTGGCGTGCAAAAATCTGATGACCGCGCTGATTACAGAATTGGGAAGCATATTTTGAGTCGACCCTCGTATGTGAATATCAGTGGCCTAAAAAAGCAATACGAAACCCCTTTCGAATACCTTAATAAACCAGATTTGTGGCCTTATTAGGTGGAGGACATAGAGTGGCTGGCCATGGAACGTGCTCTATCGAAGGTTCGTTCCAACGCGGAATTTTCCGCAGGCCAGGATTAATCTTGGAGCAGCTTAACAACTGATTGAAGTCTATAAAGTTGCAAAGCACGATAATAAAAGTTTTACTGTTAGAAAATAGTGAAGGTGCCAACAAAATATATACCGAGTGACAGAAAAAGGTAAAAATGATTAAAGTTAACGCTTTATTCGTCAACTGACTGCCGACCTGGTTCACTAATGTGTTGAGTATCCACGATTTCTTATACACTCATTGACACTCCTGGGCATCGTGCAGAAGCGACATCATCATAACTGTGAGTTGGGAGAAGATTTAAGTTTTTTTTATTGACTAGCTAAATCAGGAGGATGCAATATAATAATAAAAGGTCCGATCGTCTCTCTTCTGGAATGAATGAAACTAAAAAGTCAAAAGCCTTTCTTTCAATTACCCACTGAAGCTGTAAATCAATCAAAGTGACAGTATAACTTCGTTAAAAGAAAACTGTTTTTATTTCTCTGAGACACGTACATTTGATATCGATCTCCCCTCAATAAGTGCTGGGAAAATGTCTACAACCAACGCGAAGACTACTTCAGAACTATGACCCCTTAAAATTATTATTGATGACCTTTTTATTCATTCAGATCGTGAAAGCTTTTACTTTGTATATTTTCGTACCGTTTAGATTGAACTTTTGAACTTTTGCCTTTCGGTAAAGGCATGAGGTGATATTTGATCAAATGCATATAGCCAATTTCTTCAAAAATATCTCGCAAGCTTTATTGGTCAAATTTACTTAATCTAACATGTCCCTCAAATGTTTGTAGAATTAACTACAACGGCAACATTTACTCTATTTTTTGATCAATGTTTCAATGGTTGTTATAGCAATCTAACCAATTTACAACGTGCAACTTTGTAACCGATTTTATGTTGTTGCAGAACCAACACCTCTATACGACAACAACCACTACCACGAGGAATGTCTACGGTGCAATTCATGCGGACTCAACTTGACGGGTCCGAATCAGAAGCGGGCTCGTCGCTTCAAGAACCAGATCCTGTGCGACCTGCACTTCGCAGACGTCGCTTTGATGGAGTGCAGCGATTTCATGCAGCAGCTGCGCAGCTTCAAGCCTCAGTCGCTGGGATGCGCCGTCGCCAGGAGAAAGAGTTCTACTACCTTAATCTTTCCGCTACCGCCGCAGGCTTGTTCAGGTTTGTCTCATTCTCTTTTTCAAAAATAGTTACAGCAACTGCTCAGCTTCAAACCGCCACAGCTGGGATGCGAAGCTGCCAGGGGAAAAGGTTCTACTACTTATATTCAGGCTTGTTCAGGTTTGTCTTCCTTTACCATGGTTAACGCAAATATGATTATAGCAGCTGAGCAGCTTCAATCCTCAGTCGCTGAGATGCGCTGTTGCGAGAAGCAAGAGTTCCACCACCTTGAACTTTCCGTTAACTCCGCAGATTTGCTCAGGTTCATCTCTTCTTTTCCATGGTGAATGCAGGAATAGTTATGGGAGCTGCTCAGCTTCAAGCCCCAATCGCTGGAATGAACCGTTGCGTTAGGGGTGTTCTACTACCTTGACCGTTACGTTACCTTCGTAAGTTTGCTTAGGATTGTAACTTTCTCTGTTTCATGATGAAAGCAAAAGTACTAACAGCAGCTGCTCAGCTTCAAGCTTCAGTCGCTGGGATGCGCCGTCGCCAGGAGAAAGAGTTCTACTACCTTAATCTTTCCGTTACCACCACAGGCTTATTCAGGTTTGTCTCCTTCTCTTTTCACTGATGATGCAAAAATAATTGCAGCAACTGCTCAGCTTCAAACCGCCACAGCTGGGATGCGAAGCCGCCAGGAAAAAAGTTCTACTACCTAGATCTTACCGTTACCACTGCAGGCTTGTTCAGGTTTGTCTTCCTTTACCATGGGTAATGCAAATATAATTATAGCAGCTGAGCAGCTGCGCAGCTTCAATCCTTAGTCACTGAGATTCGCTGTTGCGAGAAGCAAGAGTTCCACCACCTTGAACTTTCCGTTACCTCCGCAGGTTTGCTCAGGTTCATCTCTTCTGTTCCATAGTGAATGCAAGAATAGTTATAGCAGCTGCTCAGCTTCAAATCGCAATCGCTGGAATGAACCGTTGCGTTAGGGGAGTTCTACTACCTTGATCGTTACGTCACCTTCGCAAGTTTGCTTAGGATTGTCCCTTTCTCTGTTTCATGATGAAAGCAAAAGTAGTAACAGCAGCTGCTCAGCTTAAAGCTTCAGTCGCTGGGATGCGCCACCGCCAGGAGAAAGAGTTCTACTACCTTAATCTTTCCGCTACCACCACAGGCTTATTCAGGTTTGTCTCTCTTTTCACTGATGATGCAAAATAATTACAACAACTGCTCAGCTTCAAACCGCCACAGCTGGGATGCGAAGCTGCCAGGAAAAAAATTTCTACTACCTGGATCTTACCGTTACCACTGCAGGTTTGTTCTGGTTTGTCTTCCTTTACCATGGGTAATGCAAATATAATTATAGCATCTGAGCAGCTGCGCAGCTTCAATCCTTAGTCGCTGAGATTCACTGTTACGAGAAGCAAGAGTTTCACCACCTCTAACTTTCCGTTACCTCCGCAGGTTTGCTCAGGTTCATCTCTTCTTTTCCATAGTGAATGCAAGAATAGTTATAGCAGCTGCTCAGCTTCAAATCGCAATCGCTGGAATGAACCGTTGCGTTCGGTGAGTTCTACTACCTTGACCGTTACGTCACCTTAGCAAGTTTGCTTAGGATTGTCCCTTTCTCTGTTTCATGATGAATGCAAAAGTAGTAACAGCAGCAACGCAGCTTCAAGCCCAAATCACTGGGATGAGCCATCGCCAGGAAGAAGAGGTCTACTGCTTTAATCTTACCGTTACCACTGCCGGCTTGTTAAGGTTTGTCTCTTCTCCTTTTCACGGTTAATGCAAAAATAGTTATAGTAGATGCTCAGCTTCAAGCCGCAATCGCTGGGATGCACTATTGCGATAAAGGTGAGTGCTACTTCTTTGATCTTTCTGTAAGATCCGCAGATTTGCTTAGGATTGTACTTTTATCCTTTCCATGATGAATGCAAAAGTAGTAAGAGCAGCTGCTCAGCTTCAAGCAGCAATCACTGGGCTGAACCGTTGCGTTAGGGGAGTTCTATTACCTTGATCGTTACGTTACCTTCGCAAGTTTGCTTAGGATTGTCCCTTTCCCTGTTTCATGATGAAAGCAAAAGTAGTAACAGCAGTAGCGCAGCTTCAAGCCCAGATCACTGGGGATGCGCCATCACCAGGAAGAACAATTCTACTGCTTTAATTTTACAGTTACTACCGCCGGCTTGTTAAGGTTTGTCTCTTCACTTTTCCACGGTTAATGCAAAAATAGTTATAGTAGCTGCTCAGCTTCAAGCAGCAGTTACGATTGCGATAAGGGAGAGTGCTGCTTCCTTGATCTTTCTGTAAGATCCGCAGGTTTGCTTAGGATTGTCTCTTTCTGTTTTTCGAGATGAATGCAAAAGTAGTAATAGCAGCTGCGCAGCTTCAAGCCTCGATCACTGGGATGCGGCCGTTGCCAGTAGAAAGAGTTCTACTACGCTGATATTTCTGTTACCACCCCGGGCTTGTTTAGGTTTGGCTTCTTCACTTTATCATGATAAATGCAAAAGCAGCTGCGCAGCTTCAAGACTCAGCCGCTGAGGTGCGCCGCTGCCAGAAGGAAGAGTTCCACTAGCTTGATCTTTCCGTTACTTCCGCAGGTTTGCTCTGATTTGTCTCTTTTTGTTTTATCATGGTAAATGAAAATATATTCTTAGCAGCTGCGCAGCTTCAAGCTTCAATCGCTGGAATGCGCCGACGCCAGAAGGAAGAGTTCCACTAGCTTGATCTTTCCGTTACTTCCGCAGGTTTGCTCTGATTTGTCTCTTTTTGTTTTATCATGGTAAATGAAAATATATTCCTAGCAGCTGCGCAGCTTCAAGCCTCAGTCGCTGGAATGCGCCGACGCCAGAAGGAAGAGTTCCACTAGCTTGATCTTTCCGTTACTTCCGCAGGTTTGCTCTGATTTGTCTCTTTTTGTTTTATCATGGTAAATGGAAATATATTCATAGCAGCTGCGCAGCTTCAAGCCTCAGTCGCTGGAACGCGCCGACGCCAGAAGGAACAGTTCCACTAGCTTGATCTTTCCGTTACTTCCGCAGGTTTGCTCTGATTTCTCTCTTTTTGTTTTATCATGGTAAATGAAAATATATCCATAGCAGCTGCACAGTTCCAAGCCTCAGTCGCTGGAATGCGCCGTTGCGAGAAGGAAGGGATCTACCTTGATCTTTCCGTTAGCGCAGTAGGCTATATTTATCCAATAAACACTTCTAGAAGTGAATGGTGACAGCACAGGTGACACTGGTAATGAATGATGACACGTAAAATATTTAGAAGAAATGCTAACTTAGCTTATCACTCTAGTCACGGATACAACGAGCAACGTATCCAGTCTCCAATCAATGTTACGTTGGCAAACGTCGGTAACGTATGATATTGCATATTTTAACAAAGTTAAATGAAATCTTGTAAAATAGCCCTCGTACATGTGTTATATTCCAAATAAAACAAATCTCTAAAATATACTTTAATCATCTCACATTTTTAATAAATACAAACAATTGCTACCTATGTTCTTAACTTATGCTCATGTTATCCTTTATCCTTATCTACCGCTCCTCCTGGACAAATTCCGGCGTTTTCGTCGTCGTTTTACGCAACGGGGAATCCCAACACTGAAAACAGCCAAAAGTATATTAGCATAGCATTTAATATCAGACGAGAACCATTTTAGGGGCTCATTTAGGGGTTACAGTTAGACCGACTCTACTTACGAAATTCAATTAACTCCAACTTTGCGCTGATCGCGCTGAGACAGCGCATACTTTTATTAGGGTCATTTTACTTAGCGAGAACTCCGAAGCAGATTTGAATATTTGAACAGTTTTGTAGTCTACGGCGTAGCGCGGACACCGTTAGTTAGACTTCAATTTACTTTGTTGCTGAGTAATCCTAGTCTTGTATAGGGTGTCCCATTTTCGATGATATCACGAGTAAAGATAGAGAGTTGCGGTTACACGGCGAAATTGAAAATGTTGCTTTTTGGGACCATCCCTCATATCACCGTTATCCTTCAACTTATCGCAGAGCTAAAAACTGGCCCTTGTACAGTTTTTTACGTATAATACAGTGGCGTAGTCAAATTTTTGCGGTTACAGGGCGAAATTAAAAATGTTGCTTTTTGGGACCATCCCTCATATCACCGTTATCCTTCAACTTATCGCAGAGCTAAAAACTGGCCCTTGTATAGTTTTTTACGTATAATACAGTGGCTTAGTCAAATTTTTGCTGTGAGCTGTCAATGTTTAGTTAAAAATAAAACTTGCTCTTTTTAATGGGACATCCTGTATATTTTTTCTCGTATGCTGTCAAAGATTTTGATTTTTTTTTCTTGGTGTCCAAGATTTATTATAGAACTTTGTAGTGCATAGTTTACGTTTTCTTCTGCCTGTGTAGCGAATCAAACTTTGTACACTTAGGAATGCAAATAGCTGCTAATACTACTTAGATTTTTGATTACGTTAAAAATTGGAGTAAAATTAAGAAGGGTAGAAGTTGTCCCAGTTGCCAGGCCACTACTACTACTAGATTTTTCTAATTATATCGGGTTTTCCCACTGTGCCCGTGGTGGACATATGAACGAGGTTGAATTCCATACATAAATGATTACTTCAATACTTCGATCCAATAATAAAATTTTCGAGATACATATCTCGTTTTATTTAAAAAGAAAGTTGTTAAGCCTTAATGGAAAACCCTTTATATATAGTATTAAGCAAACAAAAATATTACGACGAACTCCAAGGCTTTTCCGTAAAATGAACAGAGGTGGAAAACAACTTCAATATGAGGTATCTTTACGTTTGATAAAAATATTGAAAACATCCTTGGATCTATGTAAACACATATGCTTGGAAGAGCAGCTAGATTATTTTCCTCAACGTACGTGTGGAGAACTGATTGCTCTTATTGCATAACATGCATAAATAATTCTGTTTACAACTGTTGCGTACTAAATTCTCCGACGCCCAATTTCTCAACCAAAGATGCCGTAGTAACAAGCAAGTCAGTTTTCTTGCAGATCTTGCTTGAGCAGTTGATAACGCAAACTGTTCAATTCATATCGGCAACTATAGATAATTATACAAAATTCTGTTTTTCTACAAATGCTTGCACCTTAGCCCAATGTTCCTGCGAAACTGCAACATTGAAATCATCATATTACTAGTCATCTTTCGCGGAAGAGTTTTCTTAGAATTCGTACGACGCATCTTTTGATTGTGTCATGTTTAATACTGTAAAACTGTTTTACGTTTACTTGATCGAAAAATGTAGTTTTAATTTCGTTATTCTCTTTCCTTCAGACCCTTGGAATATTTTATCATTTTCACTTACCATCTACAGCTGCTTGAACTGCTTTTTCAAACTCTGCCAGCCCTGTCGTGTGATGAAATAAAATATTTAAATTAGAAATATACTAAGTGACATATAAATCCGAACACCCAGTTCAAATGGTTTTATTTTAATAAAATTTTGTATAAGTACTTAATGAAGCATAATAAGTAAATGATAAAAATTTCAAAATGATTGCACTGCTTCAAAGCCCTTTGACCTTTAATAATGTGTGGATGCACCCTGATGTGCTACGCATTCTCCAACGCGCCTAGGCATGCTTCTGATCAGGTAGTCAATGTCCTCCTGTGGTAGCTCATTCCAGGCAACCACCAACTCCTCTCGAAGTGCTTCTAGAGTCTGAGGAGGACGTTGCAAATTGAGCAATCTTGTACCCATCATATCCCACACGTGCTCAATTGGGGATAAGTCGGGAGATCTTGGTGGCCATGGTAACAATGTGACATCATTATGTTGAAAGAAGTCTATTGTGACTCTTGCAACATGTGGTCGGGCATTATCTTGTTGGAAAGTTGGATCTGCCAGGATGTCAAGATAGGGTAAAAGATGGGGTTCTAGAACTTCGTGGATATAACGCTGCGCGTTCATGTTACCTGTGATGAAGATTAAAGGTGACCTGGAACCATAAGCTATAGCACACCAAACCATAACTCCAACAGTGTGATGAACATGTCTTTCAACAAAAAAACTGTGGATTCCTCCTTTCACCACGTCGCCTTCTAACCCTGGCACGACCATCGTGCATGCCTAAACAAAATCGAGACTCGTCACTAAAGACAATACTGTTCCATTCCTGATCCCAGAGTGACCGTTGTCTGCACCACTCAAGGCGATTATGTCGGTGTTCTCGAGTTAAACGGAGGACCCAGTGTGGCCGGTATGAAAACAAGCCAAAACTTCTCATTCGTCGGTAAACACTTCGCATGCCAATAGGTCTTCCGTGTTCTGCAAACCATTCTTTTGCAATGGACCTGGTAGTGGAGAAGCGGTCCCTTAAGGCCAATAATCTTAGGCGGCGATCTTCACGGTCTGTTGTTCTACGGCGGCGTCCAGTGCCCCTTGCTCTTTGCGTACGGCCTTCTCGAAGCCATGCCTGACAACACCTAACCACAGTGTCTACACTTCTTTGCACTCTAACTGCAATTGCCCGAAAAGAAGGTCCAGCTTCCCGAAGTCCCACTATACGGCCCCTATCAAACTCACTAAGTTGACGAAATCGTACAGGTCTCCGTACTCTAGGTATCGTAACCGATCGTAAAGGATGTCAAGAACCAAAATCCGCCAACGTTGATTCTTTACTGCGGCTGAAATATTCATTTTTAGAGCGTTAGTGAATTAAAAAAAAAGCAGTATAAAAACCGGAATGTCCAACTGATAAGGCTGAAAGTTTTTTCACTTGTTATTTACAGTAAGATAAATACATTCACCAGCTTTTATTAAAATAAAACCATTTAAACTGGATGTTCGGATTTATATGTCACTTAGTATACATGTGGAGTTGGGAAAAATCGATAGATCTTACCTGTAACTGCTGTCAAAGTTCCAGATATTCCCACGAGCCCTGTAAGGTGATTATCTAGTTTAAAACTTAAATGTCATTATAATTTTATTTAGAAGTCATTAATTATGATCAATGTTTGACCGCGAATATTTCGAAAACCATGAGGTCTACGTCAAGGTATATTTGATAAAAAGTATTCAGAATTTCTCGAATAAAATGTATAGCATTCTTTGAGAAATTAAAACTTGCTATCAGTTTCTGAAAAACTGTAGATCTGGCAACATCGCGGATGTCATCAACGAATCCGCCGTGGTTTGGAACCTAAACTTACTAATTTTTAAGAAAATTAGATGAGTAATTCGTCAGATATTCGATGAGTTGTTACAGTCTGAAGAACCTTGCAAAATATGGGACTGTTGACTCACCTTTAAGAGCTTTTCTCAACAAACGAAGCACTCCAAGGTTGATAGCTGCAAAAATAAAATAAACAAACATAATCCTTTGAAGTTTTAATCACAACTCTGACCAATCCGTAAGCTGATAGGTATACTGGGACGTTGAAGCGAAATCGTTTTTTCATGCATCGAAATCTATGGAGTAATTTTTCTAAATGTGTCATTTGTGGCACTCTAATTTCTCTTATACGATTAAGTTTGAACGTACATTTCACATCTCGAATCTAAAACAAGCAAGAATAGCATTCTATCGATCAGTAGAAAGTTTGGACAAACATTCACAACAAAAATGCAAAGGTATAAGGTATAAAAAATATAGCATTAATTTTTTTGGCCTAATAAAACAAATATTAACTGGTTAAGACCGAAGAAAAAGTGTATTGTAGCATTCTCGAAGCTAGAGCTTTAGGGTACCGATGAGACGCCCTCACAACATCGTCGCTTAGGCAACAAGAATTACGCGACCGTGTATGTATTGCGTTCACGTTCAGACGGCCAGCGGGATGCATCGAACGTCATCTGAAAGGCTACGGATTGGCCGATTTGAGATAAATAGGCACTGCGATGACAGAATAATACAGTGGAGACGCGATAGTCCAGTCATCATAGTCATAAATTTGCAATAAATTACTTGCGAGTATTGTAATCAATCAGTGTGAAAGTAAGCTAGACTTTAAGGAGTAAGTGAATGCAAGACTCAGTTAGTTAGTTGTTGAAAATATTTGAAATCCGTGGAGAGCTCTTCGTCCATCAATTTTATGCATTTTTCAGGAACATACTAATTTAGTTTTGAATTTTTCTGTTTGATACTCGTCGCCCTAAATAATAAAAGCGGTGTTTCCGTTACGGTACCGACAGACCCAGTTTCTCGATGATATAACGAACCTGAAAGCCTTCTAAAATCCTGCATGGTCTGCTCCATCCAAGCGATGAACTCTCTCGGGTATAAGAAGTTCTTCTGTCCGGTCTCATTCTGAGCTACGCTCTCCACAGCCAACAGTTCCTTCCATTTGCTCTCCGCGATCGCCTTCGCTTTTTCGATGCCCTTTTTCTCGGCTAGCGGCGGTAGCAGCTCCTCGGGAACATCCTTAGGGCTGTTGGGGAGACCGGTCAGGTCCACGATCAAGTCTTCGGGCTTCAAGGCCGCTGCAAGTTTGGTCATGAGTCAAGGGCGGAACGAGCGTTTGAGTCGGGGGGTCACGGGATTTATCTTTAGGAAAATATTCGTCGCGCAGCGGGGGAGGTGATTGAAAAATGAAGAGCGGGGGGGGGGGGAAGTGATCTTACCCGTGTACTCATACGGTGTATCCTATGTTTATGAGCTGATAGATGAAGGCACAGAGACTTGAACACTGTTATATAATTATCATGCTTATTGCTTACGATCTATCTACTGAACCTGATACTGAGCTACTTTGACGAGAGGACACATAGGCTGTCCACTGTCAAAAAACTGCTTACCATCTCATTTCAATCTTTCGACTTTTCTCTGATTTTGGACCGTGAAAAGGTATGTTTATCAAATTTGCGCACAGCGTTAAAGAAAAGGTTTTTCCTTATGTTCCTGTTCGACTGTCTGAATTTGAGTCTCAATTTCGAATAAAGCACTAACAGACACGCAGCGCTACCAAGCGCAAAAACGCAGAATCACTATTTCATTTATATTTGCATCAAGTTGAACGTATAGGCAACCAATCGATCGGGGTTGCCAGATCTAGTGATTTTTCACCAAAGTTGGTGATTTTTTATCCATGATATATTTGCAAAGAGCCTTACTTGCAAAATTTGAGTCAGTTTTGATAATCGATTTCCAATTTATAAAGTGAATTGACAGGGAAAATGAGTAACTTAAAACTAGACCGACGCAGTGTCATTGAATTTCAGACAAAAGAGGTCCATCAGCCGAAACATATTCTTGAGAGTATGGTGAATGATTCTAAGCGAAACATTAGGTTTTCATTTTCACGTTATTTTTACCTCATTTAGCTCGCGATTATGGATGGTGTGTCAGGTCATTTTCACGTGCTTTTGCTAACTGGGAATTCTACTATTACGATTTTCGAGTTAATGTTTGTGGTACCAACTTACTGTCAGGAAATCCCATGGTGTGTGAGATAGGACTGTCCGGTAAACGCCTGATAAAATTGTAAACCGTTCCCGAAGCTATACGGAGAGGCAACGGAACTTCATTGAAATCTGTAACGTAAAATGATAACGGAAGTTAGGAGTATTGTAAACGTTCGTAGATCCGCCTTACTTATCTCTGGTATAGCAGGAATCTCAGCCGTTTCTTTATGCTGAATTTCGGCTGCCTCGGCGGCTTCTTCACTTTTTGGACGTACAACGACTGGAAAAATATAACTTTATTTATGCATGCACAAACAAAAGAGCTACCTGTATCTGGATTAGCAGCCTTCGATAATTTCTTAGTTATATGCCGGATATTCGCAGCTTCTGGGCTCGTTGGATCTACAGGAACTGTGATAAAAACAATTATTGGATAAACTATTTTTATACAGACTAATTAGAAAACAATGACAATATTTCTACGCGAGAAATTACACTAAATATAGTAAGTGACATATAAATCCGAACACCCAGTTTAAATGGTTTTATTTTAATAAAATTTTGTATAAGTACTTAATGAAGCATAATAAGTAAATGATAAAAATTTCAAAATGATTGCACTGCTGTAAAGCCCTTTGACCTTTAATAATGTGTGGAGGCACCCTGATGTGCTACGCATTCTCGAACGCGCCTAGGCTTGCTTCTGATCAGGTGGTCAATGTCCTCCTGTGGTATCTCATTCCAGGCGACCACCAACTCCTCTCGAAGTGCGTCTAGAGTCTGAGGAGGACGTTGCAAATTGAGCAATCTCCTACCCATCATATCTCACACGTGCTCAATTGCGGATAAGTCGGGAGATCTTGGTGGCCATGGTAACAATGTGATATCATTATGTTGAAAGAAGTCTATTGTGACTCTTGCAACATGTGGTCGGGCATTATCTTGTTGGAAAGTTGGATCTGTCGGGGTGTCAAGATAGGGTAAAAGATGGGGTTCTAGAACTTCGTGGATATAACGCTGCGCGTTCATGTTACCTCTGATGAAGATTAAAGGTGACCTGGAACCATAAGCTATAGCACCCCAAACCATAACTGCAACAGTGTGATGAACATGTCTTTCAACAAAAAACGGTGGCTTCCTCCTTTCACCACGTCGCCTTCTAACCCTGGCACGACCATCGTGCATGCCTAAACAAAATCGAGACTCGTCACTAAAGACAATACTGTTCCATTCCTGATCCCAGAGTGACCGTTGTCTGCACCACTCAAGGCGATTACGTCGGTGTTCTCGAGTTAAAGGGAGGACCCAGTGTGGCCGGTATGAAAACAAGCCAAAACTTCTCATTCGTCGGTAAACACTTCGCATGCCAATAGTTCTTCCGTGTTCTGCAAACCATTCATTTGCAATGGACCTGGTAGTGGAGAAACGGTCCCTTAAGGCCAATAATCTTAGGCGGCGATCTTCACGGTCTGTTGTTCTACGGCGGCGTCCAGTGCCCCTTGCTCTTTGCTCACTTACGGCCTTCTCGAAGCCATGCCTGACAACACCTAACCACAGTGTCTACACTTCTTTGCACTCTAACCTAACTGCAATTGCCCGAAAAGAAAATCCAGCTTCCCGAAGTCCCACTATACGGCCTCTATCAAACTCACTAAGTTGACGAAATCGTACAGGTCTCCGTACTCTAGGCATCGTAACCGATCGCAAAGGATGTCAAGAACCAAAATCCGCCAACGTTGATTCTTTACTGCGGCTGAAATATTCATTTTAAGAGCGTTAGTGAATTAAAAAAAAGCAGTATAAAAACCGGAATGTCCAACTGATAAGGCTGAAAATTTTGTTAAAATAAAACCATTTAAACTGGGTGTTCGGATTTATATGTCACTTAGTATACTTTTTACCTCAAATATTCAAACTAATGTTTTTTCAAAAAGAGTACTCTGACAAAAATTTAGCATGAGTGACGATTTATCTGAAATATAATACCTTATTTGAATAAAAATGCAATAGGTGCTTAAATAAATAATAGTTTAAAAAACTAAAACAACACGCTTTTATAGCTAACCGGAACAAAAAGTAGATAATAATTTGCAATTAAGAATAAAAATAAAATTATAATAAAACTTAAATTACTAACAGAATAATTTAGTTCAGCGTGAGGTGCTTGATGTATTAAATGTTACAATCATTCTATTGGCAATTATCTATGAGAAGAGAGATATGAAAATGTATTAAAATGCACCCCACGCTTTTTACGATGAACTGAATTATTCTGTTAATAACTTAAATGTTATTATAATTTTGGTAATTAAAAATCTTTTTCTACTATCTACATACTTACATACAGGCAAGCTAATCAAGCCGTATTAAAAAAAAATAAAAAAAAAGTATAGCACAATCTGCCTCCTGTGAGGATTGAACCCACGACCCCTGGTTCAAGACCAGTGCTACTGAGCTACAGATTCTTGTAGTTTCAGTATTCGTAAAGTGGCATTTGAAATCGGTGGTTTTATGTTAACATATCTGCTTTTTACAGATTTTTACCTATGACTTAATCAAACGTCTGGAAATTGGTGAAAATTATGCTCAAAGATTCCGTTTCACAGATACATACATACAGGGCGAGCGGATAATAAAAAAAGCGTGTTAAAATGTCAGTTTTTATATGCAATTTTGGGCCTGTCAACATCCGAATCAAAATATTTATGCTGTGTCGGTTTATTTCCCGAAATATACATTTTTTCCGATGTCTTTACCCATTGAGTACAGTGTCGTCATGATGTCGGCATTTTTAGGTCACTACGTACACGACGTAGAAACGACGTCATTATAACGGCGTAATGTCACGCCCAATTGACGTCATTATATGACGTCAAAGACAATGCAAATTCGATCTGACGCCTGTATGACGTCTATCTGACGTCGATATGACGCTTATATGACGTTTGAATCTTCCGACGGTACAGAATTTGTTTGTAGCAATTGATCAAAGTCGCTTTGCTTTTTCAAGGGAGGATAAACCACTTCTTGTTCCCTGGATATACCCAAGCCTTATCGACTATGTGGCAATACTATCGTCCCTACTGAATTTTTACCACAAAGTACCTTAAACACGAAGAAGCCAAACGTTGGCGTTATTTACGAATCCTCTCAATTTGGAAAACTCACCAGGACCTCCTTTGTCGGCATAGCAAATATTCGAGGCTAAAGACAAAGTCACACACAACACGACATACGCGCGAATCATCGTGACTTTTTCTAAGAAATGTGCACGAAACCGTATCGGTATTATTTATAAATTTTGTTCGGCCGTTGATAAAGAATGTCGAATAAACGACGCTTAAACGGTGCTGATATTCGATATTCATGACCAGAGCTAATTTCCTAAATGAACTTGGAGCGTTCGGCAATTTTCTTAAAAGTACCAATTAGTTTGAAAATCTCGGTTGATTAATAAAAATCGATTTGCTTACATTTCCCGATTGATTTAGCAGTACGAGGAGCAAGGAGGAAGCTTGAATGGAAGAGTTTGTGACCTTGGATACACGTTATATCAGGAGTGGGAGGAATTCTCCTGAGCTCTTAGGATTGAGGGCGTACGTAACAATGTAATATAGAAAGCTTAATTTCTCATTAATAAAATAAAGTGCTTAATAAAGATTTTGATTATCCTGTGTTATTATATGTATAAGCGTATCTAATGGCGTCAGGTAGGTTGACTCTGGACTAGCTGTAACTCGTCCTTGTACGAGTTAAATATACTAAGTGACATATAAATCCGAACACCCAGTTTAAATGGTTTTATTTTAATAAAAGTTGGTGAATGTATTTATCTTACTGTAAATAACAAGTGAAAAAATGTTCAGCCTTATCAGTTGGTCATTCCGGTTTTTATACTGCTTTTTTTTAATTCACTAACGCTCTAAAAATGAATATTTCAGCCGCAGTAAAGGATCAACGTTGGCGGATTTTGGTTCTTGACATCCTTTTCGATCGGTTACGATGCCTAGAGTACGGAGACCTGTACGATTTCGTCAACTTAGTGAGTTCGATAGGGGCCGTATAGTGGGACTTCGGGAAGCTGAACTTTATTTTCGGGCAATTGCAGTTAGAGTGCAAAGAAGTGTAGACACTGTGGTTAGGTGTTGTCAGGCATGGCTTCATGAAGGCCGTACGCAAAGTGCAAGGGGCACTGGACGCCGCCGTAGAACAACAGACCGTGAAGATCGCCGCCTAAGATTATTGGCCTTAAGGGACCGTTTCTCCACTACCAGGTCCATTGCAAATGAATGGTTTGCAGAACACGGAAGACCTATTGGCATGGGAAGTGTTTACCGACGGATGAGAAGTTTTGGCTTGTTTTCATACCGGCCACACTGGGTCCTCCCTTTAACTCGAGAACACCGACGTAATCGCCTTGAGTGGTGCAGACAACGGTCACCCTGGGATCAGGAATGGAACAGTATTGTCTTTAGTGACGAGTCTCGATTTTGTTTAGGCATGCACGATGGTCGTGCCAGGGTTAGAAGGCGACGTGGTGAAAGGAGGAATCCACAGTTTTTTGTTGAAAGACATGTTCATCACACTGTTGGAGTTATGGTTTGGGGTGCTATAGCTTATGGTTCCAGGTCACCTTTAATCTTCACCAGAGGTAACATGAACGCGCAGCGTTATATCCACGAAGTTCTAGAACCCCATCTTTTACCCTATCTTGACACCCTGGCAGATCCAACTTTCCAACAAGATAATGCCCGACCACATGCTGCAAGAGTCAGAATAGACTTCTTTCAACATAATGATGTCACATTGTTACCATGACCACCAAGATATCCCGACATATCCCCAATTGAGCACGTGTGGGATATGATGGGTAGGAGATTGCTCAATTTGCAACGTCCTCCTCAGACTCTAGAAGCACTTCGAGAGGAGTTGGTGGTTGCCTGGAATGAGATACCACAGGAGGACATTGACCACCTGATCAGATGCATGCCTAGGCGCGTTGGAGAATGCGTAGCACATCAGGGTGCATCCACACATTATTAAAGGTCAAAGGGCTTTAAAGCAGTGCAATCATTTTGAAATTTTTATCATTTACTCATTATTGTTCATTAAGTACTTATACAAAATTTTATTAAAATAAAACCATTTAAACTGGGTGTTCGGATTTATATGTCACTTAGTATAGTTACTAACATACAGGGTGTTCATTTGAATTCATTGAAAACCACTGATTAAAAGGAAAAAAACGACGAGACACTTCAAAAGATTTGTCAAGGGGGACAACTTTTTAATCAAAAACTACTCCACCTCCTTTCACCCTCTACCCCCAGGGTCATTCCATTAAAAATTTTAAAAGACAAGTGGTATCAGGTAACAGATTGTTTGCAAGGTCTTTCGAAGTCTTTTACTTTGACGTCTGATTTTTGACAATCGGTCGATTCGTTTTCAAGAAAATTAGAAAAATCTTTATTTATCTTAATTTGTTCACATAAGAAACAATAACACTCGAAAATATCACTTTTTATTTCAATAAGTGTTCAAAATGTTTGCCAATTCGTTTATAATTTAAAACGAAAACTACCAACATAAACAGGAATTCGGAAGATTAGACGTGGCAACAACCAAATCACAACCCGAATATTTTCCGCATTGTATTTATTGTTATACCTGTCTAGTGCTTTTTATTTTAATCGATGGTTTTCGATAAATCCGTGGTGGAAAGTGTTCAAACGATTACCCTGTATATGTATTAAGAACAAAGGAGCAATCGTACCGGCCAGATCTTGATCGACAGAGCTGGATTGAACTAGAATAAAAAACAGATGCTTAGGGCTTAGGCGGGTAGTTAAGGCGGTTTTCTGTTAGCTCACTGAAAACTGACAGTTTCGCTAACATTTTTTCTGATTTCCTGTAGTTAACAATGAAGATGGACTGGAAGCAGAAGAATGTGACGTCACTTGGAAATGTGTGTAGTCGGCTCACTCTAAGTTTGAACACCAAGCTTCGGTTTATCGTTTGGTGTTTTACCTTACAGTGAGCGGGCTGGATACCTATTCGTCGAACAGAAGAAGAAGAAGAAGAACAATCATTTTAACTGTCTATAATTTAAGCTCGTAATACCGTACACTATCTTCTAGAGTATTTTATTATGAAATTTGCAGAGCAAATTGTAAAATAACCTAATTTCATCGAACATTCTTCTCCAGCATCTACTTCGATCGCCCATTTGTTACGACAAATATCCATTCATTTTCTTTCTTTTCCCAGACGAGTTCTGTGAGGAGTTCCCGCACAACTTCATCCCAACTCCAGGCTACTGGATAGAATGCTCCCGGCAGAAGATCACCTCGGACACGATTTGGGACGAAAGCGAGAGCGACCACGACAACGAAATCCAGGAGGGTGAGGAAGACGAGGAAATAGAGAAACGAGACGACCGGGGGGACAGGGAGAATGGATACAGGAGGAGGGATAGAGGTACAAGTCATGCTGTACTCATTCTAGCATCTTGAATCTTAAATCTTGAGTCTCGGATCTAGAATCTGGACTCCGACCTCTACACTCTGCACACTAGACTCTGCAATCTAGAATCTAGAATCTAAAGATCATTTCTACGACGCATTTTTATATTTCTCTTTGAATGTAGGCAGTAGAATGCAGTACGTAGAATATGTATGTAATCAAGAATCTATAATCTAGTATCTAGAACTTAGAGTCATCAGGAATCTAAAATCTAGTAGATAGAAACTAGGATCTATAAATTAGAAGCTAGAAACTAGAATCCAGAATCCAGAAGCCGGAATCTGGAATATTGAATCTTGGACGTTGAATTTAGAATATAAAATTTAGACTCTGGAATCTTGACACTAGAATCTAGAAACTAGAATCTAGAAACTAGAATCTAGAAACTAGAATCGAGAAACTAGAATCTAGAAACTAGAATCGAGAAACTAGAATCTAGAAACTAGAATCTAGAAACTAGAATCTAGAAACTAGAATCTAGAAACTAGAATCTAGAAACTAGAATCTAGAAACTAGAATCTAGAAACTAGAATCTAGAAACTAGAATCTAGAAACTAGAATCTAGAAACTAGAATCTAGAAACTAGAATCTAGAAACTAGAATCTAGAAACTAGAATCTAGAAACTAGAATCTAGAAACTAGAATCTAGAAACTAGAATCTAGAAATTAGAATCTAGAATCTAGAATCTAGAAACTAGAATCTAAAAACTAGAATCTAGAAACTAGAATCTAGAAACTAGAATCTAGAAACTAGAATCTAGAAACTAGAATCTAGAAACTAGAATCTAGAAACTAGAATCTAGAAACTAGAATCTAGAAACTAGAATCTAGAAACTAGAATCTAGAAACTAGAATCTAGAAACTAGAATCTAGAAACTAGAATCTAGAAACTAGAATCTAGAAACTAGAATCTAGAAACTAGAATCTAGAAACTAGAATCTAGAAACTAGAATCTAGAAACTAGAATCTAGAAACTAGAATCTAGAAACTAGAATCTAGAAACTAGAATCTAGAAACTAGAATCTAGAAAGTAAAATCAATAAAGTAGAATCTAGAAAGTAGAATCCAAAAAGTAGAGTCTAGAAACTAGAATCTAGAAACTAGAATCTAGAAACTAGAATCTAGAAACTAGAATCTAGAAACTAGAATCTAGAAACTAGAAATTAGAAACTAGAATCTATAGACTAGAATCTCGAAACTAGATATATAGAATCTAACTAGAATCTAGAAACTAGAATCTGAATCTAGAAACTAGAATCTAGAAACTAGAATCTAGAAACTAGAATCTAGAAACTAGAATCTAGAAACTAGAATCTAGAAACTAGAATCTAGAAACTAGAATCTAGAAACTAGAATCTAGAAACTAGAATCTAGAAACTAGAATCTAGAAACTAGAATCTAGAATCTAGAAACTAGAATCTAGAAACTAGAATCTAGAAACTAGAAACTAGAATCTAGAAACTAGAATCTAGAAACTAGAAACTAGAATCTAGAAACTAGAATCTAGAAACTAGAATCTAGAAACTAGAATCTAGAAACTAGAAACTAGAATCTAGAAACTAGAATCTAGAAACTAGAATCTAGAAACTAGAATCTAGAAACTAGAATCTAGAAACTAGAATCTAGAAACTAGAATCTAGAAACTAGAATCTAGAAACTAGAATCTAGAAACTAGAATCTAGAAACTTGAATCTAGAAACTTGAATCTAGAAACTTGAATGTAGAAATTAGAATCTAGAAACTAGAAACTAGAATCTAGAAACTAGAATCTAGAAACTAGAATCTAGAAACTAGAATCTAGAAACTAGAATCTAGAAACTAGAATCTAGAAACTAGAATCTAGAAACTAGAATCTAGAAACTAGAATCTAGAAACTAGAATCTAGAAACTAGAATCTAGAAACTAGAATCTAGAAACTAGAATCCATAAACTAGAATCTATTAACTAGAATCTATAAACTAGAATCTATAAACTAGAATCTGTCCACTAGAATCTAGGAACTAGAATCTAGGAACTAGAATCTAGGAACTAGAATCTAGGAACTAGGATCTAGGAACTAGAATTTAGAAACTAGAAACTAGAATCCAGAATCTCGGATCTGGAATCTGGAATCTAGATTCTAAAGATCATATCTAAGTTATCCGATACATTTTTCTATTTCTCTTTGAACGTTCGCAGGCTGCAACGACTTGTACGAAGACGAAGAAGATGAGGAAGACGACTCGATATCGCCGAAGAAGAAAACGGTTATAGAAGAACAATGGGAGAAGAACCAGGGCTTCGAACTGACGAGCGTTGAGCAAGAGACTTACGAAAAGTATTTCTACGGGACTGAGCATTGGAATTACTTTACAAACGACGAAGACTTAGGACCAGTTATTTTGTCCATTAAACAAGAAACGCTTAATTCTAGAGATCAATTTAGGTAAGACGGCTTCAGAAAGTGCCTTAGTTCAGATCCTTGATGATAAAGATGACCCAATATCTACCACTCTAATCTAGAGGAGACATTTGTTTCTTGTCTTTACAACCAAATTTTTTTTTTAGAATCGAAATATTGTAGAATTTGAAATTTATTTTGAATATTTCTTAATTTTGAAAAGTGCTACCGCTCGGGTTTTATTTCCTGTACGACACCACCACTGTCTGACGAAACTAAATTTATGATCAATTCAACTGATTGCACTCTAAACACATTTGGAGTCAAATCTGCATGAGACCATAATAACTTTGATCATTAAGGCAGCTTCTGCTTCAGCGTATTAAAATGATACCAAAATGCCTGTAAAAATAATGGATAATTCAGCTTTAATATCGATAATCATTGATGTGGCGCTCTAAATGTACCATTATTAATTTTGAACGAGTCATTTGACGCGGCGTTCGATTGCACAGCCCAGCCGTTGTTTTACGATTAGCGTCGATTTTTATTAGAGACGGGGCTCTATTGAAAATACGATGACGATTTTAGTGCCGCGGCTATAAATAAAGCCGCTAGTCCGTCACTCTTTTATGGGCTTTTACTCCTCCACAAAGAACCGAAAGAGCATGGAAGGAGGGTAGAACTGAGAGGTACGAGAATTTGATTATCGGCCTCCGTCAAAGCACAGTTTAACGCTTCCTCCAGAATTTAATCTGATAGGATTACAAATGTCCAAATACAATACATATTCTCAGTCCTCTATACTATAGTAGATGTATGCCGAATTTCATGTAAATATCTAAAGTAGTATTACAGATTTGAATAAACCTGTATCTCAAAAGTTAGGACATTTTGGACATATGGTCATATGAAGTTTCCTCCTTCAAGTGGATCCAAAAGTTGACCCCTTAAATATTGACATTTCAATTAGGAATAAGAATAGGATGGACCTAATTCTAGTTTAAGGCTATAGAAACATATTTTTGGTCTTCCTCATGATGTACCCTCGTTCTAGACCCACATGACAAACTTGACAGACTTGAGCTTCTCATTCTCTTATCGGATAGAGCCATGTTCAGTTCTATAGACATAAGTTAATTAATTAATTAATTAAACGCAACAAAAGCTAAATTAACTGTACTAGAACCGATTTACTTGCTTCTCATGTTTCGTCTGATTGCAGCGCGACCTAAAACGTTTGCAAACTCAAGATTATAATTATTGCCTTTACTATGTAACTTGAAACACTTTTGAGCTCCAGATCAATAAAGTCACAGGATATCCATCGTAATTGGAGGGTTCTCCGTCTTGACACTTTTATAGAAGCTCCACATATTCCTTTTCAATGTTCAGTGTGGATCCAAGACATTTCCTAAATATGCTGGGATATAGGTGTTCTTTTGTGCTCCCAGCAATCCCACTTCTGATTTCAGGATATTGGTCTTGACACTTTTATAGAAGCTCCACAGATTCTTCTTCAATGCTCAGTATAGATCCAAAACATTTGTGGGACATTCTGATAGGTGTTCTTTTGAGCTCCCAGCAATCCCACGTCTGATTTCAGGATATTGGTCTTGACACTTTTATAGAAGCTCCACAGATTCTTCTTCAATGCTCAGTATGGATCCAAAACATTTCCTAAATGTGCTGGGACATTCTGATAGGTGTTCTTTTGAGCTCCAAGCAATCCCACTTCTGATTTCACTATATTGGTCTTGACACTTTTATAGAAGCTCCACAGATTCTTCTTCAATGCTCAGTACGGATCCAAAACATTTCCTAATGTGCTGGGACATTCTGATAGGTGTTCTTTTGAGCACCAAGCAATCCCACTTCTGATTTCAGGATATTGGTCTTGACACTTTTATAGAAGCTCCACAGATTCTTCTTCAATGCTCAGTATAGATCCAAAACATTTCCTAAATGTGCTGGGACATTCTGATAGTTGTTCTTTTGAGCTCCCAGCAATCCCACCTCTGATTTCAGGATATTGGTCTTGACACTTCTATAGAAGCTCCACAGATCCTTCTTCAATGCTCAGTGTGGATCCAAAACATTTCCTAAATGTGCTGGGACATTCTGATAGGTGTTCCTTTGAGCTCCAAGCAATCCCCCTTCTGATTTCAATATATTGGTCTTGACACTTTTATAGAAGCTCCACAGATTCTTCTTCAACGCTCAGTATGGATCCAAAACATTTCCTAAATGTGCTGGGACATTCTGATAGGTGTTCTTTTGAGCTCCCAGCAATCCCACTTCTGATTTCAATATATTGGTCTTGACAGATTCTTCTTCAATGCTCAGTATGGATCCAAAACATTTCCTAAATGTGCTGGGACATTCTGATAGGTGTTCTTTTGAGCTGCAAGCAATCCCACTTCTGGTTTCAGGATATTGGTCTTGACACTTTTATAGAAGCTCCACAGATTCTTCCTCAATGCTCAGTATGGATCCAAAAGATTTCCTAAATATGCTGGGACATTCTGATAGGTGTTCCTTTGAGCTCCAAGCAATCCCACTTCTGATTTCAGGATATTGGTCTTGACACTTTTATAGAAGTTTCGCAGATTCTTCTTCAATGCTCAGTATGGATCCAAAACATTTCCTAAATGTGCTGGGACATTCTGATAGGTGTTCTTCTGAGCTCCCAGCAATCCCACTTCTGATTTCAGGATATTGGTCTTGACACTTTTATAGAAGCTCCACAAATTATTCTTCAATGCTCAGTATGGATCCAAAACATTTCCTAAATATGCTGGGACATTCTGATAGGTGTTCTTCTGATCTCCCAGCAATCCCACTTCTGATTTCAATATGTTGGTCTTGACACTTTTACGGAAGCTCCACAGATTATTCTTCAATGCTCAGTATAGACACAAAACATTTCCTAAATGTGCTGGGACATTCTGATAGGTGTTCTTTTGAGCTCCAAGCAATCCCACTTCTGATTTCAGGATATTGGTTAGAGCTATAAGTTATACGGTGCACGGACTGATACCGGCCAGTTGCGTGTTTGCAGACAGATACAACAGGGAGGAAGTCGTTCGATCCTTAGGGAAAGAAGTCAACCTCAACCCGCCATTAATATTAGGACAACTGCCCGATACTCCTGAAGAATTACTCAAGTTGGATCAAGTAAGCAAAGTTTTATCATAGAATCGATAACCCACTCAGGCAGATTCCTCAGTACAACTTTCAGCCTCCGAGACATAAGCGACTAAGACTATACAGGGTGTCCTAACAAAAATGGAAAGTAGTTTTTTTAGAGCAAACTGGAAAGATATCAAAAATGTGTTTTCGTGATAACCTTGATATGTTACCTAGTGCATATTTTATGATTATTTTAATATGTATTGAGGGTGTTCTATAACTGAATCTTTATTGTTTTATTTTAGGTTTTTATAAAGTCTGAATTAAAGGTAGGCGTAATCTACGTGAAAGAAGGCCAATACACAGAAGAAGAGATTTTAGACAATAATGACAATTCATTTCTATTTGAAGAATTTCTACAAATAATGGGCGAGAAAGTACGACTGAAAGGGTTCGATAAGTACAAAGGGGGGCTTGATACTGTACACGATCTTACAGGTAGGAATTTTTTAGTGAAAAAATTTAAACCTGTATTTATGCACATGAGTGCGTTTTGTTGATGCAGAGTCAAAGTAATCACTCAGCACTTGAGTAGAACTCAATGTTTAAGTGACGATTATAATTATTTTGCCTGCATCATAAAGATTTCAATGAAAATTTTATAATGGTGCAAGAAATCATAATTTTGGGAAGTAGATCTCTAATTGAAGGTATGCGTTATTCTTAATTTTTTATCTGTACCTAATTTTAATCAGTTTCAAGAAGTCTGATTAGCTTGAAAAGGTACAAAGGGGTCAATACAATAATCTTGGAAAAAATCGAATTTAAAAATTTCGAAAAAAATTGAAAATTGGTAAAAATTGGATTTGAAGATTTTGAATAAAATTTGAATATTCAGAAATTTGGTAAATAATTTAAAGATTCTAACAATTTGGAAATTTCCGAAATATGAAAAAAAATAAAATTTAAGGATTTCGAAAAAAATTGGTAAAAATTGGATTTGAAGATTTTGAACATAATTGGAATATTCATAAATTTGGTAAATAATCTAAAGATTTTAAAAATATTTAAAATTCCGAAATATGAAAAAAATCGAATTTGAGGATTTCGAAAAAAATTTTAATTTAGTGAAAATTGGATTTGAAGATTTTGAACATAACTGGAATATTCAGAAATTTGGTAAATAATGTAAAGATTTTAAAAAGTTAGAAATTTTCGAAATATGAAAAAAATCGAATTTAAGGATTTCGAAAAAAATTGGTAAAAATTGGATTTGAAGATTTTGAACATAAGTGGAATATTCAGAAATTTGGTAATTAATGTAAAGATTTTAAAAAGTTGGAAATTTCCGAAATATGAAAAAAAAATCGAATTTGAGGATTTCGAAAAAAAGATGAAATTTGGTAAAAATTGGATTTTAAGATTTTGAACATAATTGGAATATTCAGAAATTTGTTAAATAATTTAAAGATTTTAAAAAGTTGGAAATTTCCGAAATATGAAAAAAATCGAATTTAAGGATTTCGAAAAAAATTGGTAAAAATTGGATTTGAAGATTTTGAGCATAATTGGAATATTCAGAAATTTGGTAAATAATCTAAAGATTTTAAAAATTTTTAAATTTCCGAAATATGAAAAAAATCGAATTTAAGGATTTCGAAAAAAAATTTAATTTGGTGAAAATTGGAATTGAAGATTTTGAACATAATTGGAATATTCAGAATTTGTTAAATAATTTAAAGATTTTAAAAAGTTGGAAATTTCCGAAATATGAAAAAATCGAATTTAAGGATTTCGAAAAAAATTGGTAAAAATTGGATTTGAAGATTTTGAACATAATTGGAATATTCAGAAATTTGGTAAATAATCTAAAGATTTTAAAAATATTTAAATTTCCGAAATATGAAAAAAAATCGAATTTGAGGATTTCGAAAAAAAATTTTATTTGGTAAAAATTGGATTTGAAGATTTTGAACATAACTGGAATATTCAGAAATTTGGTAAATAATGTAAAGATTTTAAAAAGTTGGAAATTTCCGAAATATGAAAAAAAAATCGAATTTGAGGATTTCGAAAAAAAGTTGAAATTTGGTAAAAATTGGATTTTAAGATTTTGAACATAATTGGAATATTCAGAAATTCGGTAAATAACTTAAAAGAGTTTGGAATGTTGGAAATATTGAAAACTTTTCGAAATTTAAAAAAAAAGTTGGAAATGAATTCAAAAATATACTAAGTGACATATAAATCCGAACACCCAGTTTAAATGGTTTTATTTTAATAAAAGTTGGTGAATGTATTTATATTACTGTAAATAACAAGTGAAAAAATTTTCAGCCTTATCAGTTGGACATTCCGGTTTTTATACTGCTTTTTTTTTAATTCACTAACGCTCTAAAAATGAATATTTCAGCCGCAGTAAAGAATCAACGTTGGCGGATTTTGGTTCTTGACATCCTTTAAGATCGGTTACGATGCCTAGAGTACGGAGACCTGTACGATTTCGTCAACTTAGTGAGTTTGATAGGGGCCGTATAGTGGGACTTCGGGAAGCTGGACTTTCTTTTCGGGCAATTGCAGTTAGAGTGCAAAGAAGTGTAGACACTGTGGTTAGGTGTTGTCAGGCATGGCTTCGAGAAGGCCGTACGCAAAGAGCAAGGGGCACTGGACGCCGCCGTAGAACAACAGACCGTGAAGATCGCCGCCTAAGATTATTGGCCTTAAGGAACCGTTTCTCCACTACCAGGTCCATTGCAAATGAATGGTTTGCAGAACACGGAAGACCTATTGGCATGCGAAGTGTTTACCGACGAATGAGAAGTTTTGGCTTGTTTTCATACCGGCCACACTGGGTCCTCCCTTTAACTCGAGAACACCGACGTAATCGCCTTGAGTGGTGCAGACAACGGTCACTCTGGGATCAGGAATGGAACAGTATTGTCTTTAGTGACGAGTCTCGATTTTGTTAAGGCATGCACGATGGTCGTGCTAGGGTTAGAAGGCGACGTGGTGAAAGGAGGAATCCACAGTTTTTTGTTGAAAGACATGTTCATCACACTGTTGGAGTTATGTTTTGGGGTGCTATAGCTTATCGTTCCAGGTCACCTTTAATCTTCATCAGAGGTAACATGAACGCGCAGCGTTATATCCACGAAGTTCTAGAACCCCATCTTTTACCCTATCTTGACACCCTGGCAAATCCAACTTTCCAACAAGATAATGCCCGACCACATGTTGCAAGAGTCACAATAGACTTCTTTCAACATAATGATGTCACATTGTTACCATGGCCACCAAGATCTCCCGACTTATCGCCAATTGAGCACGTGTGGGATATGATGGGTAGGAGATTGCTCAATTTGCAACGTCCTCCTCAGACTCTAGAAGCACTTCGAGAGGAGTTGGTGGTTGCCTGGAATGAGATACCACCAGGAGGACATTGACCACCTGATCAAAGGCATGTCTAGGCGCGTTGGAGAATGCGTAGCACATCAGGGTGCATCCACACATTATTAAAGGTCAAAGGGCTTTAAAGCAGTGCAATCATTTTGAAATTTTTCGCATTTACTCATTATGCTTCATTAAGTACTTATACAAAATTTTATTAAAATAAAACCATTTAAACTGAGTGTTCGGATTTATATGTCACTTAGTATATATCAAAAATCAATAAGTACTTTTGTTGCCATTTTGAAACAAAAATACAGAAACTAGATTAGTTTAAAGAACTAAAAAACCCGCTTTAACAGCAAAAGCAGAAAATATTCAAAATTATTGTTGCTGACATAGAAAGTTCAACAATCGCAATCGCACAGTGACGTAGCAGATATAATCATACTTTGATGAACTAGAATAAAATTTGCTATATCTATTTTCAGGATTGTACTCGGTGTATACGAACTGGCGGAACATCGAGATCATGTTCCACGTGAGCACTCTACTTCCGTACGAGAAACACGATCCGCAAAAGCTGCAAAGAAAAAGGCATATCGGCAACGATATCGTCTGCGTCGTTTTTCTAGAGGCTGATAACACCTCATTTTCGCCTGCGTGCATAAAGAGCCATTTCCTCCATACGTTCATACTGGGTAAGTAAAATAAACTTTTCGTCTGAATTAGGGGGCACCTTAGTTTACCATTACCGCATCTAATTCCGTTGCGGTTTCGAGTCGAATGCGGTTTCAACCTCCCAGTACACGATGCTTTACGACGAATCGCGATCGAGTAGCGTTGAAAAATTTTAACAAACCGGTTCACCTGGGGCCTCCCGCGCGATCCTCCAAGAACCTAAAGGAACGCGCACGAGGTTTTTGTGTGTCATTATTTTTATAGGAAATTGTTTCGTTATTTTCTCTCCTATAAATATTGGCATGTTTTTCCTGAAAGGCCTTGTGTCTCTTCTTGTTTCAGTACGAACATCACCGAAAATCAAACGGAGGCCGACGCGTTACGAGGTTTCCGTGGTGACACGAGACGAAGTCGGCGCGTACAAGCCGTACCTGTGGGAGCAGAGCGTGTTCGACAAGGGGCCAATGTTCAGAGAATGGCTGCTCACGAAGATCGTGAATGGAGAAAGAGCGAGTTATTCGGCGCCCAAGTTCGCCAGGATGCAAGAAAGGACGAGGTCGCAGATGCTCGAGGACATCGTCGCCAATCTGCAGAATCATGCAGAGACTGGCCAGATACCGAAGCCATACCGTAGAGGTTAGTTTTATTGAGTTTTTAAAATGTTCAAACTTGACCATTTGATTCGTGTTATATATAATATATATATATATATATATCTTATTAATATATAAAACCACTGAATGTTGACGTGGTTGCGGAAAGGAATACCCTTGCACTATCGGCACCGCTTTCATCTTTACTTCCCGCGTCTACTGGCGAGGAAGTATTGTAATCGCGACAAATTTATAATATATATATATATATATATAGGTGAAAAATAAAGCTTCCGCCTTTTGTTGGGTACTTCAACAAAATCCAAGCCAAGACGACTCTTTATACTTTATTAATATCTAGCTTTCAATGGACTTTGCCATCTTCATCAGGAGCTGCAATAACATTGAGATGAAATCGCAACTATTGTGCAAAGTGATTTTAAATTAACCTAAAGTCGTATGTGAGGTTATAGCTAAATGTTATTAACGTTTTGGTTGAGGGATACACCCAGTAACCTGGTGAATGCTGGATACATGGTACATTTTATAAACTACACACAGCTGTATGTCAGGAACAAATTAAAACGGATTAAAAATATTTAAAAACGAAAGTAAAATTACATCATGAACCACCTGATGCAGCACAAAATGGTGGGCACAGGATCACAAGTAGGATTAAACATTTGACAGAAGGTTGGTGGTGACCTTGTCGATGGATGGATCACCTAACTGGTCTAAACGAGAATGACCACGTCTCAAGTTATATATATATATATATATATATATATATATATATATATATATATATATATATATGTGAAAAATTAAAGCTTCCGCGTTTTGTTGGGCACTTCGACAAAATTTAAGCAAAGAGGACTATTTATACTTTTTTTAATTCTCTCTAGCTTTCAATGGACTTTGCCATCATCATCAGGAGCTGCAATTACAATGATAACAGTAGCAACAAAAGTGTAAAATGAATTTAAATTGAATCAACTTACAGTAGTATGTGAGGATGTTGTTTTCGTATAGGATGAGGGAAACGTCCAGTAACATGGTGAGAGCTGGATACATGGTACAATGGTTAAAATTATATAAAATATGACAAGACAAGTTAAAGACAGATTAAAAATTATTTAGAAAACATTAGAGCATTAAGTCGTGAAGCCACTTTTGTTGCTACTGTTATCATTGTAATTGCAGCTCCTGATGATGATGGCAAAGTCCATTGAAAGCTAGAGAGAATTAAAAAGTATAAAGAGTCCTCTTTGCTTAAATTTTGTCGAAGTACCCAACAAAAGGCGGAAGCTTTAATTTTTCACCTAACTGGTCTAGACGACAATGACCACGTCTCAAAATATATATATATATATATATATATATATATATATATATATATATATATATATATATCTAAGCTGTTTGTATGTTGTAGGATCTTGGCGACCAATTGGCCACATGAGACCGTCATCACCTCTGTTGGACAGCGTCAGAGACCAATTCGAGGACTACGACCAAATAGCGAAAGATTTCACCAGGATGTTCTTGAACTCCGAGGATAACACCATCCAAAACGCACAATTGTTCGACGTCGTCTTTTTGGTGGGACAGTCCAAGCAGAAAGTCAAATTGGTTGGAGTCAGGGCTATATTGGGGGTAAGCCAGAAAATTACTGTAATAGAGAAATAATATTAAAATTTGGGAAAAATGAAAAAAAAATCGAATTGAAAAAAATTTGAATTTTGAAATAACGAAATAATTTAAATTTTTAAATTTGGAAAATAATTTTGAGATTCGAAATTTTGGAAAACAATCTGATTTGAAAATTTTTAAAAAATTGGGAAAAATAAAAAAATCGAATTAGAAACAATTTGAGTTTTTAAAGAATTAAATAATTTGAATTCACAAATTTGGAAAATAATTTGGAAATTTGAAATTTTGTAAAATATTCTGATTTGGAAATTTTGAAAAAATTAAGCAAAAATGAAAAAAATTTGGAAATTTCGGAATTTTAATAAATATATCAAAAATCTGAGCTCTTGATGACAAGTTTCTGTAGTCGTTTTGAGAAAATTTAGATAATAAATTATAGTTATAAAACTAAAAAAACGCTTCAATTGCGAATCGAAATAAAAAGAAGGAAATAATTTTTCAAGTGTGAGAAAGTCTGTAATGGAAAGTCCAAAAATCGATGATGAATCATTAACTTGGAATAAGATCTATATAAAAATTAAGATATTAACAATAAAATCAATTATAACAAAAAAGCGGGGGTGCAATTGACCATATTTTCATAATATGTAGCTCAAATTTTGTGAATAGCAACTAGAAAAATAAATGTAACATCAAGCACCCCCATTGAATTTTTTGATAACATAAAAAGTGAGACGAGTAATTTTGTCGATTTGATATTCAGGTCCGTAGCAGAGTGTTTCAAGAGATGCTGTACGGTATTCAAACTGGTTTCGGGTCACCACAGGTTCCGGTAGCCGAATTACTAGCCAGACCTGTGCCTACTTTGCTCAGTCCTCAACAAGCAAGACCGAAAAGTAGCAACTTTTTACAGGTAAGCGACACGTTACGAATTTATTAATTTCTATCGCCACAGCCATGTCGCCACGATTGGATCATAGTAATTCATTTGGAAGTAGTAAAAGCAGAATTCGTTACCCTTTCAGAGAAAATTGTTTACCTTTTAACACAATAACCTCTTAAGGAAACGGGATCTCTCATCTCTCTATGAATTTTTTTTCTCCCTGAGAAAATACTGCTCAAACGCAAAATAAATGTACGGATCACCTTGACCATGACCTTGAGTATGACCTCGACTACTTATCCTGAATTGACTATGAAAATATCCTTGTTCATAACCTTGACGATAACCTGGCGTTCCTCCATAAAGTTGACGTTGATGAACTCAAACATTGACCTTGAGTATGATATTGACCTTGGCTTCGATGTCGGACTATGACTTCACTATGACACTAACAGTGACCTTATTAATCAAGACCTTGCCTTGCTCTATGAAGTTGACGTTGATGGACTTGAACAATGACTTTGATTATGATATTGACCATGGCGTCGACTACGTATCATGACTTGACAATGACCCTGACTATGATCTTGACATTGACTTCGATATCGGCTCATGACTTCACTATAACACTAACAGTAACCTTAATCATGGCCTTGCATTGCCGTATGAAGTAGGCGTCGTTAAATTTAAACAATGATTTTGACGTTTATATTGACCATGGCTTCGACTACGTACCATAGTTTGACAACAACCGTGATCATGACCTTGACTATGATCTTGGTATTGACCTTGACTTAGACTATGTACCACAACTTGACAGTGGCCTTAACTATGACCTCAAACTTGACGTCGATGTCGCACAATGATTTTGGCGATGAAATTGACCGTTGATTAGACATGACAATAACCTTGATCGTGATCTTGATCTCGACTACGCAACATAGCTTGAAAATAGCCGTAATCACGACATTCACTATGATCTTGGTATTGACCTTGATTTCGAATATGTATCATAACTTGACAGTAACCTTAGCTGTGATCTCAACCTTGACGTCGATATCGCACTATGACTTTACTATGGCTTTGACAGTGAACTTGTTCAAGACGTGCCTTGCTCTATGCAGTTGACGTCCATAAATTCAAACAATGATATTAGCGATAATATCGACCATGGCTTCGACTACGTACCATGACTTGACAATAATCTTGACCGTGACCTTGGCTACGTACCATAGCTTGAGAATAACCGTGATCATAACGTTAACTGTGATCTTGATACTGACATTGACTTTGGCTATGTACCATGACTTAACAATAACTTTGATCATAATCTTGACCTCGACTACGCACCATAGCTTGACAATAACCGTGATCATGAACTTGACTACTATCTTGATATTGATCTTGACTTCGACTATGTACCATAGCTTGACAGTGACCTTAACTATGACCTCAATCTTGACGTCGATGTCGCACCGTGACTTCACTATGGCTTTGGCAGTGACCTTGATCAAGACGTGCCTTGCTCTGTGAAGTTGCTGTTGATAAATGCAAATAATGATGTTGGCGATAATATTGACCATGGCTTCGACTACGTACCACGACTTGACAATAACCTTGATCGTGACCTTGACTACGTATCATAGCCTGACAATAACCGTGATCATGAACTTGACTACTATCTTCATATTGACCTTGACTTCGACTATGTACCGTAGCTTGACAGTGACCTTAACTATGACCTCAACCTTGACGTCGATGTCGCACCATGACTTCACTATGGCTTTGGCAGTGACCTTGATCAAGACGTGCCTTGCTCTGTGAAGTTGCTGTTGATAAATGCAAACAATGGTGTTGGCGATAATATTGACCATGGCTTCGACTACGTACCACGACTTGACAATAACCTTGATCGTGACCTTGACTACGTATCATAGCTTGACAATAACCGTGATCATGAACTTGACTACTATCTTCATATTGACCTTGACTTCGACTATGTACCATAGCTTGACAGTAACCTTAACTATGACCTCAACCTTGACGTCGATGTCGCACCATGACTTCACTCTGGCTTTGGCAGTGACCTTGATCAAGACGTGCCTTGCTCTGTGAAGTTGCTGTTGATAAATGCAAACAATGATTTTGGAGATGATATTGACCATGGCTTTGACTACGAACCATAACTTAACAATAACTTTGATCTTGATCCTGACCTCGACTACGTACCATAGCTTGACAATAACCGTGTCCATGACATTGACTATGATCTTGATATTGACCTTGGCTTCGGCTAAGTACCATAACTTGACAGTGACCTCAACTATGACGGTGACCTTGATCATGACGTGTCTTGCTCTATACATTTGACGTTGACAATGATTTTGGCAATCATATTGACCTTCAACATCGACCATGACCATGGCCGTGACTTTCAACGTAATTTGGAGGACTGTTTGAAGAATTTAAATGGCACCGTATCTTCATGACACCATCAATAGCAAACGCAGAAAGTTTTACTTTCGGAGATGACCTTGATCATAACCTTGATCAAATCATAAGACTTCTGGGAATTCGGTTTACAAAGTTCCACATAAGAGCAAGACTGCCACGAGAGTCCCCCTTTTCTTTATAAGATCTATTTCTGAGGTGTACCTCTATCAGGCTTTATGATATACATGTTCTAATATTCTTTAATCGTTTTGTTTGATAGGTTCCCGATATAGAATCAGCTAGACCGAAAAGTGTTCCTAGTAGTCCGATGGTGAAACGGGCGTTTACTAGACTAGGTACAATAACGGCTGGTTGGGGCAGAAGTATAAGGAAACACAACGCTCAAACACTCAATGCTGACGATAAGAAGAAATGGGCCAGCAGCCAAGATTGTTCTAGTAAGTCAACATCATTCGATTTATATTGATAAAGATGTTTTAAAAATGGTTCTTTTTGACTGCGTATTTTCTATTCACCTTATTAGAGAAAGTACTGGATAATATAGAGGATAACACTAATATTATACACACATATACTATTGAAAAACTAGAATACTACGGTATAAGTAATACCGAGATAGCGCTATTTCGTTCATACTTGTCAAATAGGAAGCAGTATGGAAGCTCTGATGGCACCGCCTTTGATATTTTGCCTATTTGCAGCGAGGTACCGCAGGGATCAATACTTGGCCCTCTGCTATTTCTATTATCTATCAATGAACTGCCTTCGAGTATTCCTATTTGTAGACGATACCAACTTGCTGTCTAGACCTAACCAAAACCCGGCTGCCAAAAAACATGCTTAACCGCTGTTTCTATTCAGTTGGTGAGTGCGTTGGTGCTGAGACGTCACTCGGATAGATAATAAATTAGTTTAGTCACGGGTAAATTGTATACATATAAATAATGTGGTCAATAAATGGGTATGGTATTTCGCTTTGATCAACGTTTCGTAATATTTTATTCCGGATCATAAATAGTAGCGAAAGTACTTTGTCGTTGTATTCCATTTCTTGAGGCATATAATTGCATTAACTCGGAAAATATAAATTTCTGTTATTACTGTCGAGAGTTTTCATCACCATAAAAATATTGTTATAATTTTACGAAAGGGCATTAATGTTCTCTTTGCTTTATGATCCAGTCTGGTAATTTGGATTTGTTTCAATGTAAAGAAGTTACCTCAACTGTGCCTAAGATACTTTCAGGGTGTTAAATTCGAAAAAAACAAATATTTAAATGGTGTTAAGCTGTATTTGAAGAAAGATCTCTCCCTACTGAAAAACATAGACATTAGATTCTTACCTGGCATACTTGATTTTTTCAATGATTAAACATTAAACTTTAAAAATGCTACAACATCAAGTTTTCGTCTCATTTGCAAAAAAACTGTTGTAAGGCCGAAATTGATGCGGAAAATCGGTCACTTGGTTTGTAATTTGCTTAGTGATTTTGATGTTTCTTCTTCAGTCTACCTTTATAAACAACCCGCGCCTTTTTTCAGACAAGGAAGTGAAAGAGAAAGAGAGCAAAGACAAGCCGTCTCTCGGCGCACTGCCCGTACCTCGACTGAGCGTCTGCGCCGATGCTCAGAAAGTGGACCGTGCCAAACTGGCTCAGACCGAATTCTCGGTGATCGAATTCGACGCTGACACGTTCCGAGTTTTACTGGACTATCTGCACACCGGAAGCTGTCCGCTGACGTGCGCCACGATCCCTGGACTGATATGCGCCGCCGAGCATTACGATCTGCCGGAGTTGTTGCAGGCCTGTTTCCATCATGCCAAGCAATTCTTGCGCATCGAAGTGGTGAGTACACAACAAACTATTGCAGTGCCGAAGATTCGTGCAAATCACAAAATTAATATGAGAAGTTTCTACGAAAACATGTACCAGGGAATGCACAGGTCACCGAAGCAGTGGCCGTCGTGATTGTCCACCAGGAATGAACGAGATGTTTCGTCATTGTGATTCCCGTCGCGATTGCTCGACGTGATTGCCCGTAGGAGACGCACGTCATGATTTTTCGCGTTGAGATTGCCCGTCGTAATTGTCTATCGTGATTGCTCATCAGGGGTTCATATCGCGATTATTCGTCGTGATTGCCCGCCAGGAATGCACGTGATGCGTCGTCGTCGTGATTTCCCGTCGCGATTGCTCGACGTGATTACCCGTAGGAGACGCACGTCATGATTATTCGCGTTGTGATTGCCCGTCGTAATTGTCTATCATGATTGCTCATCAGGGGTTCATATCGCGATTATTCGTCGTGATTGCCCGCCAGGAATGCACGTGATGCTTCGTCGTCGTGATTCCCCGTCGCGATTGCTCGACGTGATTGCCCGTAGGAGACGCACGTCATGATTTTTCGCGTTGAGATTGCCCGTCGTAATTGTCTATCGTGATTGCTCATCAGGGGTTTATATCGCGATTATTCGTCGTGATTGCCCGCCAGGAATGCACGTGATGCGTCGTCGTCGTGATTTCCCGTCGCGATTGCTCGACGTGATTACCCGTAGGAGACGCACGTCATGATTATTCGCGTTGTGATTGCCCGTCGTAATTGTCTATCATGATTGCTCATCAGGGGTTCATATCGCGATTATTCGTCGTGATTGCCCGCCAGGAATGCACGTGATGCTTCGTCGTCGTGATTTCCAGTCGCGATTGCTCGACGTGATTCCTCGTAGGGGATGCACGTCATGATGTTTCGCGTTGTGATTGCCCGTCGTAATTGTCTATCGTGATTGCTCATCAGCGGTGCATATCGCGATTATTCGTCGTGGTTGCCCGACAGGAATGCACGTTTCTTTTTGAAATTTACAAACTCGAATGCTGTCTAAAATTATTGTATTCTCATCGTCCCTTGACCACTGTGCAATATGGATATTATGGACATTGTATCATTGATGCTAAATAAATCTAAAACAAACAAACAAATTGCCCGTAGGGGATACACGTGGTGATTCGTGATTACACATCGTGATTGTCCACCGTAATAGTTTGTCGGGAATGCACGTTGCGAATACACGTAGTGTTTGTCTGCCCTTATTGCTCGTCAGGAATGCCCGTTGAATTGATCATCGCCAATGACCGTCACGAATGCAGATCGTGATTGCGCGTCGCGAGTGCACGTGGAGAATGCATGTCGCGATTACACATCGTGATTGCCCGTTCCGATAGTATGTCGTGACTTCCCATCGGAAACGCACGTTGTGATTGTGTATCGCGACCATACATCGTGATTACTCGTCGTGATAGTATGTCAGTATTGCCCGTTGAGGATACAAGTCGAGATTGCCCGTAGGGGATGCACGTCGTGATTCATGATTACACATCGCGATTGCCCACCATAATAGTTCGTCGGGAATGCACGTTACGAATACACGTAGTGTTCGCCTGCCCTTATTGCTCATCAGGCATGCCCGTTGAATTATCCATAGCCCTTTGCGATAGTATGTCGTGATTTCCCATCGGAAACGCACGTCGTGATTGTATATCGCGACTATACATCGTGATTGCCCGTCGTGATAGTACGTCAGTATTGCCCGTTCGGGATACACGTCGTGATTGATCGTCAGGAATGCACGTCGCGATTACAAATCGTCATTGCGTGTCGTGATTGCCAGACAGGAAGGCACGACGTGATTGAACGTTGAGAAGGCACTCGGTAAATTGGAAATGCACACCGTGTTTACTCACGTTAACTTTTCAAATTAGCCTTTTTCGCCGAAGAAAGTGTATTATTGTTAGACATCTATAAACTAATTCATTTTTAGGTGTGTTGTATGCTGTGTTCATTGGAAAACTACTACTGGAGATACACGTCCGCATCGGAGCTTGTAAATATGATTCTGGCGTTCGTGGAAACGAGATCGACGGCACTGTTCCAGACCACGGAATTTCTCAATCTCAGCGAGTCCATGGTTCAGATGATCATGTGCAGGTAACTTCGCACTTCCTAACTTTGTTTATATTGAATATTTTCATGATTGTACTTGAACGAAACATAAAATCTTTGCAAGTTCTTCTAAAGCTTCAGGCGCTTGTGTGTTTTGTTTGGTTTTATAGGAATCTGGAGGTTCCGGAAGTGGTGAAGTTCGAGGCGATGTTAGCGTGGGCTAAGCACAAAATCAAGACGAAAACTTCTAGCAAACTGGACGCCAAATTAGAATTTAAGTGTATCATGGAGAGACTGGCCAGAGATCTCAAACTTTATAGGATATCACCTCAGGAGCTTATCAAGGTTCGTACTGGCCGCCAAAGTTAACTCAGAACTAAATTATGACAGATGGACCATTTACGTTGGGCAAATTTCAGCATTTCCTGTGTACTTTTCAGATCGTGCTGCCATCGAAAGCGATCAAAAACGAGCGAATCCTGGAAACGCTGATGTTCCAGGCGAACTCGGGCATGTATCGCATCCAGGATTCCTACCTGAGGGAATGCACCCAAAGACTGCAGAAGCAGGACTCGAGATTCTCGGAGATGGAGTCTTTCGATTACAGCAACTGAACATACACACGACGGAATATAGACAGTAATAATATCGATAATACAAATATTTTTTGATGGATAAAATAAGAGGTTTTTAGTGTTAAGGATGACAATCAAGACGAAAAGCTGATATTTACTATACGGGGTGTTTCCGACTCTCCTCCTCTATCTCAGAAAAAATGGTCAATACAAAAGTTGCAGGGTTTTGAGAGAATAATCATTGTTATACCCTTCCACTTTCGTCTTGACTATTTTTTTAATTGAGCAGGATTTTACGGGATAAAGGGAGGGTAGGAGATATTTTGAACACCCTGTATGCTTAAGATGTAAAGGAGCTCCTCCGTATGGTGTAATATTTGTTAAAATAATCATCGGCGTTAAATCAGATGTTAAGTTGAGCTTACAGGTGTATATTTGGGTGACAGAAATACGTCTCCATTACATTGGCTGTCGGTTTACTTTTGGAACGAGACTGGTATAATTTAATAACATATTCCGTGGTGTTTCTTCGACTCCCATTGATGGGATATCGGCATTTCTGAGATAGGAAGAAAAATCGAAGAGGACCCCGCACAGAACGTATGAAAAATGAGTCTCAGTCGATTTGTCTCAAAATTCAGTATGATATATTTCCAGCTTTCCTGAGCAAAAATTCTTTTAGGACCAAAACAATCTTACGATTAGTTTCCGAAATATAAGCGATTGAAGTTTGCCGATTTGTAAAAATGGCGAACATAAAAATGAGTTTTAAACTCCTCGAAAAAACCACTAACTAGGCATACGTATTTTTTCCACGAGATTAGAATTTATCTTTCAAAAAAATTTACTCAAATTTTTGAACAGACCAAAACAGAAAATAATGTGAATAAAATAGGATACCTTGAAGCATTGATGCGTTTTCTTTTTCGCCTTCAAAATCAACGTGACCTTGAATTGACCCTGTCATAATCAAAGGCAACTAGACAAAAACGAATTTTCTATGCCCTTGTGGAGCGACTTTGAATGATTTTTTTTTAATTCTCGTACAACTCGTACCATATCCGTGTTTTTGTGTTTTAAGCAATAATTTACTTTCTGAATTTTTATTCTCAAAATGACAACAAAAGTAGCAAGAGCTTCGATTTTTGATATATTTTAGATTTTACGATAAATCTAAATTTACTCGCAATTTTTTCAAATATCGAGATTTCCAAAAAAAAATAAAAATTTCCGAATCCTCAAATTATTTTCCAAATTTTAGAATTCATTTTTTTTAAAATATCAATTTCGTATTTTCTTCCACTATGTTGTCATCGGTCCTTGACTTCGGTGCAAATTTTCGAGTTGATCAAACTTCTTGAAACTGGTGATTTTTTATCAAATTTAGAAGTTTCCAGGTTTTATCAAAATTTTGAAAAATTTCCAAATTTCAGAATTGAATTTTCACATTCAATTTTTTTCCCCAAAATGATTGTATTGTCTTCGGCGCTTGACTCCTGTGCAATTTTTCAAATTAATCTGACTCCTTAAAACTGGTGAAAAATAGGTTGAATGATTCCATTCAATATCAACATGACACCTTCCAACACGCCGTCCTAAAAAGCTTTTAAATAAAATACTTTTTTCAGTATAACGTTTCTCTGGACATCGACAAATTCACCATTTTTTTGCAAAACGGGCAAATTTCAATCCCCTATTTTTTAGAAATTAATCAAAGTATTGTTTTGATCCCACGAGAACTTTTGTTCAGGAAAGCGAAAAATATATGTTACTCGGTTTTTAGATAAATCGACTGGGAAGCATTTTTCGAAAAAAAGACACTTTATAAAAACTCATAACGGCGCAACTTTTCATTTGAACCGATTACCATATATTTTATGATGTCTGATATTCTGGGAATGAGTTCGGAAACACCCGGTATATTCATGAATCAAATACTCCAAAAATTTATGATTTGTATCGCTCATGTTTCGAGGGCTTGACAATCTACATTTTTTATTTATCGTGTTACTTGGTTTGAGAAACTTCAATGGTACTTTCGTCATTTTCCGCACAAAAAATGACTCGTCTATTAACAGTATTCCAAAACGTCCACATTCTTGTTCTTCTGTAATTATCGTATCATAATCAGATCAATACGCCGTTTGCAATATAAATTATTTACAAAATTTCGTTTTTATTGTGTATGTAGAATCTGAATTTGAACTTGACGGTGAATCAATGCGTGAGAAATACTTTTATTAGATGAAACATTACGCACACTAAAAATCTGTTCTTGATACAAACATATGAGATCATTCTTGATTATCCTGAAGAATGCGTAGTATAAAAAATTTTGAGCCCGGATGCGCTCTTTTCAACAAAAGAATTGTTTTCTTTCTTCAAAAAGGTTTTTCGATATTTTGGGATGCTCAAGATCAATCTTTGTACATACTACGTGACAAAGGAAAAATAACACACAGTAATACTGGATTTATTACAAAGATTTCCTAGTCTGATACCTACTCACGATTCGAGCCTCTTGGAACGATTTGACTCATCCATTTTCTTTGAAATCTCGAGGGCGTAGGGAGTATAGAGTCCATCTACTCGACGTCATTTTTTCCAGAAATTTTGATCAATCACTTACCGAACCAAAAAATTGTTGCAATAAATACATTGTTACGCGTGTTCCTGTTGCCATGTCACTTAGTATAAATAACTTATACTACTTGTGAAATAAAATTGTTGTATATATAAAAAAAATGTATGTTAACCTTCTCAAATGCTGTGACTGTACCTATATATTATATATGATATGCTATATATACATATATACATTTTTTACGGTGTCTATAATTTTAGTGGAAATGATCGTTGTTAGCTAAATACAATTTCTTTAAATGTGCAAGGTTAAAAAAGGCAGGTTAAGTGGACCTTATTGTTTGTAACAAGTAAGCATTCGGCGTGGTTTGGGATAGAAACGGACATATTTTATACACTTTGGAAAGGACACATCTTTTTCAGGTGTCCTGCAAATTAGCAATATCCAGAACCTTGACTTTTTTGTTAACAAGGAACACCAGCGTAATGCAGATAATCCCCCATATTTTTCCATCCGAATCGAACATCCACATATATTCTAACGAAAACACCGTTTTTACTTTTTAAAGTCTAATGTATTACGTTCACATCACTTGCAACATGAGAAATTTATCACCATGTCGACTGGACTATCATCATCTTGCAGACTAGGTAGTTTTTAGGGCGCAAACAGACATTCCACGTTTGCTCACTAGGATCGTTGTGAACGTCCATCTATGGAGGAATCACTCAACTAAACTACGCATTATTGGTTGCATAGTTTTCTGAGGCTGAGTGATCAGTGTCTATAGTTTTTATCTCTGAGAAGAAAGTTGGTTGAATAGCAAGATCGCATCTGGATGATTATGTGTATTGGTCTGCATGTGTATAAAATCAGTGATATTTGCTGTGTGAAAAAATCATTACTGTATATGCCGAATATGACGGGTTATTTATATGTTGTGCTTTCTGAAGAGAGGTTATGTTCAAAGTTATAAATTACGAAAAACTGAAGCGAATTACGGGTTGCGTGTAATTACTGTTAGGATGTATCTGGCGTGTAATTCGACAATGTACAGTGAATAATTATTTCTTATTCTCTCATTTTTTAAAATCAGTAAATTTGTATACCTATACTAATTTCTAGCTTTGAATCTCAATCAAGTGTATTTGAGACAAGAACCCAATGTAATTACCATCAACACATACGACTTACAGATTAGACCTCTAGTAATGCCATCTCAGTAGCAGATTTTACATCACATCAGAGCCAAAGATTGATAACAAGCTTCATGACATCTAGGCAACACGTACAACTAAGTGCTAAGTTAACATCTTGCAGAATAACCTACTTAATGTCAAAAAGACCAGCATAATGTCGGTCGCGTAACTCTGGTTGCCTAAACGTTGATAATGCAAAGGCGTTTCTAGGTCCCAGCTACAAGGATGTTACAATACGTTTGAAAAAAAAAACGGTGACCTTTTTAAGTATAAACTACAGGTTTGACGACAGATTTTGTTCATCTGGTCACTATCATTTTTTCCCTTGAAACTCGACAACTTTTTTAGAAGCTTTTTTTCTGAGACGCCATTTATGTTCTTTAATTCCAAATTAAGCAGACACACACGGGGGATTATCTTCATGGAAACCACAGGATGAGTTTCAGACGTTTCGTCACTTGGGTCATGGCCTTTTAAGATCATAAGAGATAAATGACATTTTTGAGATTGCATATGATCTTTATCATTCTTTTAACAAATGATCCTGAAGGCTATCTCAAACCACGCGACCTATAATAATGTACAAGTAAAAAAATCACTATCGCTGTTTAAGTAATTTATGTGTTCTATGTCTAAGAAAAAAAATCTATATTAAGAGACACAATCAGGTGTTTAAGACTTGATATATTTTAACTAATCTTAGATAATAAACTAACAAACAGAAAAAAATGTTAACATATTTTGATACTAAAATGAAAATTATATCGCTGAGAGAATTTTTGAAGATCTAATTTGTGTTGAAGTGAGAATTTGTCGGATTTTCGTTCGTTATCGATACTATACGTCAAATTTCAGTTTATTTTTGATATAAAATGGACGTATGTAAAAGTACTTTCAATAAAAACTATAACACGCTGTCTGACGCACGAGAATTTTTTATGTATTGTTAGACACTCACGCAAAAGATGATTCATTAGAGGTACTTTTCTCAAAAACAACAAATCAAAGCGACCGTGTCCAGTTTTTTATTATCAAACAAAAGAAGCATTACAATATTGGATGAAAATGTTCATTACATTAGATTTCTTTCTCCGAAACCCATTTCCTTCATTCTAGTGCAAAACGAACAGTCTATACTTTACACTACTTCCACAAGAGTAGATTTAGATCGTATCGCAATAATTTCTAAAGGACGTTTTTGAACAACCAAGATATTCCCTTATATTTTCGCGCCAAGAAAACCATAAGGTGTTTAAATTCATACAGTGTATAATCAGTATCAGTATCATTAACCTTATTGAGACTACATTGTAGGCCGCAAATACCTTTTAATACCTGCAATAAAATACGTATGCCCTTTGTAGAAATGTGTTTAATAATAAATTCAATGTGGCTCCCAGTCCACTCATCTTGAAAAATAGAATGTCAATAATGCTTCTTTACATTGATAATGAAGAAAACTCGATGAAGTAGGTAGTTTTAGATTTTTTATTTCCAAAATAGTAACTCTATTGAAGCATTTAGTGCAAACATAAGTAATGACAAATCATATAGCATCAAAATCGAATATTTTCAAAATTTGAAATAGGAAGAAAATTTGAATGTCCAATCATCAATATTTAGACCTCCCAAAGAAGGTTTGTATGGCGAGATGTTATTGTATAAAATGTGCAGGTTGTGAATATTCGTCAGAGTTTGATCGTAACAGTCATATCAACCTTCAATCTTACCGTTTTCTTTCCATATCTATTTTTTTGTCACCTTTGTATCTTATGCCAATTGTTCAAAAACTTTGTTCAGTTATGTAAACTGTTAATAAGCCGTTTATTTGAGTTAGCAACAATTCAATAATAGTATATTCCAAACGATGATCATAATGTATATTGAAATGTGTGCTCAACTCACTAAGTGTAACCAATAATTGAATGTACTATTTTGTTATTGTTTTGTTATAATGATATCATGTTGTATGAATTCGTATCGCGCATTGTTTTTTGTCTTCAGAGAAAAATAATATATCTGAGAACCAAATGTTTGTAAGCTAAGTTAAAAATGTTGTTGTTCTATATCACTGTAAAAAATAAATGGTAATTGTATAACCGCTGGAAAACTTGATGAAATAAAATTTATTTGAAGATGTTAAGCAGTTCTTCTATCATAAACACCTACACCATTTAACCTGTTAAATTCGGGAGCAATGTTTATATTCCATAAACAATTAGAAATTCTCAAAAACTACTTTTTTTTGAAATAATTTATTTAAACACAATAATACAAAAAGTATAACCAGTTGCAAACACTGGCCCCGAGAATAACAAGACAATAATCAATATCTATGAACTACAGGTACACTGCAATGTTGCTCATAATTTCAACAAATAAATTCATTAACATTTTTACAATCTTTCAATTCTCTAACAAAACTTCTATAGTTATTTGAATCTTTTATACAATGTGGTAAATTATTAAATTTCTTAATTGCGTCTGTGATCGGATTTTTTAAACCTATGTTAGTTCTTGTGGAAATTTGATAAACATTATTTAGTGATCTTGTTTGGTGATCATGCACGTTATGGTAGAACCTAATATTTATGTTACTTTTTAGTAGATTATTTATAATTTTATAAACAAGTTTACATTGTTCCACCTCCAATAACACTCTTAATTTGTTTAAATTTGAATAAAGTGTATTAGAACTTGTAAGCCAATCAAAATTAAACAATATTTTCAGAACTTTATTTTGTAAAACTTGAGCTTTATTAAAATTAACTTCACCGCACATACCCCATACTGGCAAGAGGTACCTAAAATGTGTAAGAAAGAAGGCATTATAAATTTGAAATTTGCTTTTGATGGACAAATAATCTCGACTCTAATATAAGGCAGATAGCATTGAAACTATTTTATCACAAATTCCATTTACGTGAAGTGACCAATTTAAACTTTCATCTATCAGTAATCCCAAATATTTAATACTTGACACTTTCTCTAGCGCTATATTATTTATGTTAATATTTAGATTATTGCTAACTATCTTATTTTTTGTTTAAATATAATGTATTTTGTTTTTTCAATGTTAATTTTTAATCTATTCGAAAACAGCCATTTAAGATAACTATTCAGGTCATCATTAATAAGATTCGTTAAAGCAATTTCGTCTGTTCCAGTATATACCAGTACAGTGTCATCTGCAAAGGTAAAATATCTTCCCCTCAGATTGGCCAACTTGAGATTCAGTACATACTGTATAACAGAGGTCCAAGAACTGACCCCTGTGGTACTCCATAGGTGCTAGATAACCATTCACTATCAATGTCTCCAAGCTTTATGTACTGTTTTCTGTCATATAAATAAGACTTAATCAAGCTGTACGAAACACCTCTAAATCCCATTTTAAACAATTTATCTAAAAGAATGTCTACGCTTACTACGTCAAAAGCTTTTTTTAGGTCAATGAAAACAGCTACAACTATTTGTTGTTTATCTAGAGCCATTGAAATGTAGTCCACAAAATCAACAACCGCACTAAGTGTGCTACTGTTCGTTATAAAACCATATTGAAATTCATCAATCAATATATTGTGAGTAACAATGAAAGATAACATTCTTTTTTTTATTAATTTTTCTATAATCTTAGAGAAACACACACCACTGAAATAGGCCTGTAATTGTTCATACATTTAATATCTCCCGACTTAAAAAGTGGGGTTATTTTAATTATTTTCAATTCTGATGGAAATATTCCTTTTTGTATAGTTTCATTGATTAATCGTACTAAAACAGGTATTAAGTATTCTCCAAGATTATTTACATCCTTAACCGTGATACCGTCATATCCAGGTGCTGAGTTTATTTTTAGTTCTTTCACAACTTCCAACAACTCTTCTTTATTAGTCAATGTTATCGAAATAGAATTTTCGTTGTGAACCTCACCATCAGAAATAAACTCATTCAACTGCTGAATCTCTGCTTCCAAATTTTCAACAATTGATCCACCGACCCGAGAACAGTATTTATTTAAATTGTTTGCAATATCAAGTTGAGTGTTAATAATGTTATTTTCAGTTACTAGTTGATCAATTCTTACTTTATACTCCTTATTTTTTATTAGGCTGTTTATAAAAGCCCATTGTTTCTTTACATTGTTTCCAGCTAAGCTGCATTTAGTTTGGAAATAACGGTTCTTCAAAGCACGTATTTTATTGTTTATTTTATTTTTGATGTTTTTAAATTCAGAGATGATAGTTAAGCCTTCTGGTTGGTTAATCTTTCTTTTATATAATGTATCTCTTTTTTTTGATAAGCTCAAGGACTTCATTATTTATCCAGGTGTTATTTGTACGTATTCTTAATTTTTTTATATATTCCGATTTATTTTTGCAGTCTTCAATTAAATTAATTAATTCTTGAAAAGTTGTTACATGTTTGCTTAAAATTTTTTGTCTAAATAAGTTTACACATTTTTTATAATCTACAGATTTTACCTCATAATCAACTTTTGGTTTATGGAACTGCACAGATGTTTTAATATCAAGTAATATAAGTTTATGATCCGAAATTGCATTTTCTTTAACACTGACTCTACAACTTACATTACTACCATAATCGCTAAGAACATGGTCTATAACGGATTTTGACGAACTGCTAACTCTACTGGCACACTCCTCATTTATCGTATTATTAATTTTAAAACTGTTTAATGCTATTAAATCTTTGTACTCCTTGGCTACTTGTGAGACTTCTAGCAAATTAATATTCATATCCCCAACAATTAAATGATTTTTAGGATGAGTACGCATAATAGATTCCAAACAATGAAAAAAAGGTTTACTATTTACAGATGGTGGTTTATATATAACACTAATTTTTAAGTTTTGTTCCCCTAAGCTAATACATATCCAATTTATTAACTCACATCTGTTTGACTTCTCAATTTCACGAAATTTAATAGATTTCCTCACATAGATAGACACACCACCTCCTCTACCAGCCCTGCAGGAATGAACAGCATTATAGCCATCCAACTTGTCAGACCCTTGTCACCAGAAATTACAATACCTTTGATAACAAGTAAGTATGCCCTCCTAGGACACCAGAAAACAACGATAAGCTAAATTTTGCAATATTGTTTTCAAAAAATGCTAGTCAGCTTATGTAGTAAGAATGAGTCGCTATGGAAGTGGTCCTTTGAGTAATATTGATATGGCGATTGAGAAATACCTCAGTGTATGCAAAATGCGCAATTTATTTAAAAAAAAAAGCATAGGATATCAATCTTAACACACAAGTAGATGAGTATGCAGGCCTCACCTAGTTTGCTACACAGATATCCTGTATCGCTCAGAAGAGTCGGAAGTAGACCTAATTTCCAATTTTTCAGACACTTGACACCCACGTAACAACACTAAAACACCACTGAGAGACAATCGAGAATCCTATAGTGAACACCGCTACTGAAAAAAAGCAGCTAAACCGAATAGGAGCTGTGAACACGTAGACATTCCACCGCGGCGACGGTTGCCGAGAGACTGAAGCGTGTGTGTGCTGTTGATGATGTTTACGTTGACCGGGAGCAGACGCGCCGAGTTGGAGATGGAAAGGGGCGTGGCTGTACCGAAAGGCGTAGATATTCGATATTCCGCTGCGCCCACGGTTACCGAGACACAGAAGCGTGTGTGTGCTGTACCTCGCTGCGGCGGTACGGTAGTACAGCTACGCCCCTTTCCAGCTCGACGAAGTGACTCGATGTTTACGTTGTCTAGGAGCAGACGCGCGGAGTGGGAGCTGAAAAGGGGCGTGGGTGTACTACCCGGCCGTACCGCATCGCCGCAGAGAGGTACAGCACTCACATCAGTGTCTCGGCAACCGCCGGCGCAGCGGAATGTCTACGCATTACGGTACGGCCGGGTAGTACAGCTACGCCCCTTTCCATCTCCCACTCTGCGCGTCTGCTCTCGGTCAACGTAAACATCATCAACAGCACACACACGCTTCAGTCTCTCGGCAACCGTTGCAGCGGCGGAATGTCTACGTGTTCACAGCTCCGTCCAGAGCTCTATTCGGTTTAGCTACCTTTCTTCAGTAGTGGTGTTCACTATAGGGTTCTTGATTGTCTCTCACTGGTGTTTTAATGCTGTGGCGTGGGTGTCAAATGTCTCCAAAGTGGAAATTAGGTCTACTTCCGAGGGAAACAAGATATCTGTGTAGCTAACTAGGTGAGCCTTGCATACGCATCTGCTTCTGTGTTAGGGTTGACAAACTGTTTTTTTAAATAAATTGCGTGCATTGCATACACTGAGAGATTAGTCATATTCTTATTTGGAAAAAAGTAGATTGTCTCGGTATTTCCAAAAAATGTGATTGTGACGTTTTCGGGATGTTCGGGTATTTAATAGACACCGATCTATATTTGAGATAGGTATATATCAAATTTTGAATTCAATAAAAGTGTCAGGTTCGAGAAATGAATTTGAACTTCACTTGAAAAAGTTGCGTCAAATAGGTTGACTCTGCACTTCACGCACATTCCGTACATAAAGGAATAGGCATTCTTTCCGTCCCTACAAAGCTTCTGCGTCCTTAACATTGTGTAAGATTTTCTCGAACTTCTCGAGTTATTGGTGGTTATGAGATTAGCGGAAAGATCGACGGAAGTGTCATGTAACATCCTTTTAGAACTCCTTCATTATCATTTAATTTTTCATTGTGATGATACGATGCGTTATTTTCTAATCTAGCATCTCATGGATAGCAAAGTTTTTCAATTGCAGGTGAGATACAGAGGCACCTACCTGATACCGTCTTCAAATATTCGAGAAAAAAAAAACGCATTTTTCAAGGCTCCGTCTTGGAACCCTTCCTCTATTTTGTTTATGCATTTGCAGGCGAAACAGCAACGTTCTATTTTTTGGCGACGCAGGAAAGAAATAGAAACCACTGAATCTTGCAAGAGCATTTTTAATAACCAAAACATTTATATCATATATAAATTAGGCCCTAAACTATCATCACATCGCTAAATCTCAGTTATTCGTCGATTAAACAGTAACAAATTTAACCGTTTTATTAAAGTAACCTGTACACAAAAAAATAAAGACTTAGAGAGTGTAAACAACTTGGCAAGAAAATGCCGTGTATATACAGGAGAAGTTTAAAAACAGCAACCGATTATAAATAGGACAAGATACAGGGTGTAAAATTTAAAAAAAAGTGTTTCGATGAAAATATGTTGGAACACTAAGAGACGTTGAATAAATCAAGGGACATACATAACAATATCAATTCATGTGGCAAGGTAAGAGTATTTTAAACTACGGTTCAAAGAAAAACGTTATCTAAATGAAAATCTCAATAAAACTATCGTTGAAGATGATCAAATATTGCAAAAAAATGTGAGGTTTAGAAAAAATGTAACAGTTCATGTAAAAGTTTTAACGATTCATTTTGTTGTTGAAATGTATAGGAACTGTTACCACCCAGCCAGGTTTTGAAATTTGTAGTTTAAATATAGAAATCATGACTTGATGATATGTAAGGTGTTACTTGATGATTTAAGTAGAAAAGTTCATATAAATATATATCCTACAAACTGTGGTTTTCAACTTGAATGGAAGAGAATCTTTCATATCAATTTTCAACGACTTTGGGAAAACTGATCGACTTGAAAATTTGCACAGAGCAAATGCTGATGAAAACGCAATAACCTTGGAAAATTCGGAGAATTTGAGTATTTGTAGGATTTTGAAAAAAATGGAAATTTCGACAACCTGAAAGTGAATTTAGATTTATTGTCAAACATGAAATATACCAAAAATCCAAGCTCTTGATTAAGTACTTTTTTTATCGTTTTGAGACTAACAATCAAGAAAATAAATTGTAGATTAAAAATAACAACGCTTTTATCGCAAATTGAATCCGATCCGATAGTTTTTAATCATCATTGAATGTTTTAATTAATATATTAATATTTACATCTTGGTATATTTCATATTTGATAATAAATCTAAATTTTTCCAAAATTTGTAATTTTTTCAAAATCTTCAAATTATCTTCCAAATTTCACAATTCGAATATTTTTTAAAAATTTTCAAATTCTATTTTTTCCTAGATTATCGTATTGTCATCGTCCATTGAGTCCTACGCAAAATTTAATTTATAATCAAGAGCTTCGATTTTTTGTAAATTTTTTTCAAAATTTAATTCAAAAAAATTCAAATTCGAATTTTATCCAAGATCAAAAAATTTTCTTACAAAGAAGAGTTTAGATTTTTTCGTATATTTTTTCAAATTTCCAAACGGTTTCCAAGTCTTTTTCAAAATTTACAAATCAAATTATATTCCAAATTTCTGAATTTCAATTATTTACAAAATTTTCGACTCCAATATTTTTTTAAATTCCAAAATTAATTTTTTTTTTATTTTTTCAAAATGTTCATATAAACTTACCTACTTAAATTTGGTTCCAAAATGCGCTCTTCTAATTGGGTCCTATCATCAAGTAACGCCCTATATATTTTTTGAATTCTAACCGGAATTTTTCCATTAGGTCAATGTTCAGTTTGAACGAAAAATCAAATCGTCATGGCGTTATTTGGGAATAAAAATAATTCATTGTGATGATGTATAAATACATTTACAGAGCAGTTTAGTTGAAAAAATCATATATAAAAAAGTTTTTTTAAACTTAATACTTGACACTTTGGCAACTTTTGAAAATTCAGTTTCGATGAACACATTTTTTTCAATTTCGTAAAAACTAAATTGCTCTGTGCAAGATTTGTGCATGGTGTACAAAAAAAGATTAAGATACATGTATATATAAACTCAAATAATCATAACAAAACATTTGATAAATAAAGTATAAATAAACACTTGATGTAAAACAAACACTTGATGTAAAATAAACAAAAATTTTAAAAACACGATCGCGGAGCCTAAAGCAGCAAAATATCCAAAATATCAAAAGGAAGACGAATATGCCTCAACATTAACGTTCCAATTTCTTCAAAATAAAATTTGTTTTGTTTCAAAATTGGAACTTCCTGTTTTCTCTACATTTATGATAATCATTAACGTATAATAATAAAAAAGGTATAAAAACACATTAACTAAAAATGCACCCTGGAATGTTCGAAGACGCGGCATAACTACCATAAATGTAAACGCTTGTGAAGCAAATTCTACCGTTCTATTTTAAAGTGTCATAAGGCATGTTGCATTTTCAATACGTTTCCAATATTTTGAATTATGAAATAGTCGCTGCGAATTCCGTCTGTCACCTTTCGATAGAATTCAAGAAAATTCAAAGCTCGCAAAATTAACTAACCTTCATATACTCTTCGGAGAACGTTTTACCCTTGAATCGAAGAGTATTTTAAGCAATGTTTGGTACGACAAAATTGACGAACTTTTGATGTTTGCAGACTGTACGTACCAAAGTAGTTTATTCGGATAAGGTGTTCAAGTTTCTTCAATTTTAACGGGGAAAGCTTTATCAACAAATAAGTCGTAGGATCATGATGCGTCATCGCAAGTTGCAGGAAGAAGAAGCGGTGTCAATGCCGATACTTTAGAGTTTCTAACGATATCTCCCCATATTCTGCAACAACCTGTAACTAGTACATCTAACAGCACAAGTATGACACCCGTAATTCGCAGCGAATAAATAACGTCTCGCAGCCCTGGGATCTTCGACTATAAAAGTAAATCTTCGTTTTGATATTCACATTGAACGAGCTTAGGCGTCAGGTTCAGGCATCTAACATGCGACAGTAAGCGTAGACGATCTGATAGACCATCCTGCGGTATATCCTGAACGAGAGCCTGTCGTCGTTCGGCACGAAAACGGCGCTGCTTTCCGGCGACGTGCCTTTCGCCGCAGGGGGCCCCGCGAGTCTACGTTATTGCTATGGGCGTCCGCCGCCTCCGATGTAGTCGTTGGGGCAGTACGAGTGGCCGTGCAGCTCTTTCATGTTCGCGTGCAGGACGTAACCCAACACGATGCCGAGCATCAGCACCAGGAAGATCGTGGCCAGCTGGTAGTATTGGGTCAACTGAAGAAAAAATATATACGTATGTATACAAAAGAAAGAAAAGGAGCTTGCATAATTTGTCCCCCACTTAACTGGAGAAATATCTTGGAGGATTTTGAAACATTACGGACAAAGTGAGATTTTTGAAATATTTCCGAAAAATACTGTGCTGTATGGGAGGTACAAGATGAATTGGAAAACATTATAACATGCTCTGATTAACATCCAGATGAAACTCACCTTGGTGCTTCGGTGGAGTTCTGCTTGGCATGCCGCCAGTTTTGAAATGGTTGCCGACAATTTGTTGTAACTGTTGTCCTGTTCGACAGAGGCGTTCGTCAAGTTTCCATTGCGGGTCAATTCTCCGGGAGCTCCACCAGTCGCACCTCCGCTTTGAATGCATTTCAAGCGGTGCTGGTTCACTTTCCTGTTTGACGTGTTCTACAAATGCAGGTTTGTTTTATGAACAGTCGGAAGAATGCTGACAGATTCAAGTTAAAACATGAATATTACTAGTGGGCCAAGGCAAAGTAATGATTTATTTTTATTTAAGAAATCGAATATGAAAATTTTCAAGACATTTGAAATTAGGAAAATATTTGAAAAATTTGGAAATCTGATATATAATTTGAAGGTTTGGAAATTTTGAAAAAAACGTAAGAATTATGAAATGAATTTAGATACATTGCATAAAATGAAATATACCAAAAATCGAAGCTCAGAAAATAGATTATAGTTTAAAAACTGAAAAAACACGCAAATCGAAGCAAAAAGTAAAAAAACAATTTTCCAGTATAGGAGTATGTACTGTTAAAAAGTCCAACAATCCAGTTCAAATAATAAGTTTGGAATAAAAATTCGAATCTAAAAATGAAAAAAAAAAAATAATTTTGAAGTTTGGAAAATAATATGAAAAAATGGAAATTATGAATAGTTCGAATTTTTTTTTTTTTTGAAATTTGGAAAATATTTGAAGAATTCGGATATTCATTAAATAATTTGAAGGTTTGGAAATTTTGAAAAGAAAGTTAAGAATTTTGGAGTAAATTTAGTCATTGTCTAAAATAAAATCTACCAAAAATCGAAGCTCTTGATTATAAATACTTTTTTTGAGACTGAAAACTCAGAAAATAAAAAACACGCAAACCGAACCAAAAAGTAATAAAAACAATTTTCCAGTATAGGAGTATTTGTGTACTGTTATAAAGTCCAACAATCAAGTTCAAATAATAAGTTTGGAATAAAAATTCGAATCTAAAAATGAAAAAAATTAATTTTGAAGTTTGGAAAATAATATGAAAAAATGGAAATTATGAATAGTTCGAAATTTTTTTTGGAAATTTGGAAAATATTTGAAAAATTCGGATATTCATTAAATAATTTGAAGGTTTGGAAATTTTGAAAAAGTTAAGAATTTTGGAGTAAATTTAGAGTCAGTCTGAAATAAAATATACCAAAAATCGAAGCTCTTGATTATACTTTTTTTGAGACTGAAAACTCAGAAAATAAAAAAACTGAAAAACACGCAAACCGAACCAAAAAGTAATAAAAATAATTTTCCAGTATAGGAGTATTTGTGTACTGTTAAAAAGTCCAACAATCAAGTTCAAATAATAAGTTTGGAATAAAAATTCGAATCTAAAAATGAAAAAAATTAATTTTAAAGTTTGGAAAATAATATGAAAAAATGGAAATTATGAATAGTTCGAAATTTTTTTTGGAAATTTGGAAAATATTTGAAAAATTCGGATAGTCATTAAATAATTTGAAGGTTTGGAAATTTTGAAAAATTTAAGAATTTTGGAGTAAATTTAGAGTCAGTCTGAAATAAAATATACCAAAAATCGAAGCTCTTGATTATACTTTTTTTGAGACTGAAAACTCAGAAAATAAAAAAACTGAAAAACACGCAAACCGAACCAAAAAGTAATAAAAATAATTTTCCAGTATAGGAGTATTTGTGTACTGTTAAAAAGTCCAACAATCAAGTTCAAATAATAAGTTTGGAATAAAAATTCGAATCTAAAAATGAAAAAAATTAATTTTGAAGTTTGGAAAATAATATGAAAAATGGAAATTATGAATAGTTCGAATTTTTTTTTGGAAATTTGATTTTTGAAATTTGGAAAATATTTGAAAAATGCGGATATTCATTAAATAATTTGAAGGTTTGGAAATTTTGAAAAAAGTTAAGAATTTTGGAGTAAATTTAGAGTCAGTCTAAAATAAAATATACCAAAAATCGAAGCTCTTGATTATGAATACTTTTTTTGAGGCTGAAAACCCAGAAAATAGAAAAAACTGAAAAACACGCAAACCGAACCAAAAAGTAATAAAAACAATTTTCCAGTATAGGAGTATTTGTGTACTGTTAAAAAGTCCAACAATCAAGTTCAAATAAGTTTGGAATAAAAATTCGAATCTAAAAATGAACAAAATTAATTTTGAAGTTTGGAAAATAATATGAAAAAAATGGAAATTATGAATAGTTCGAAATTTTTTTTTGGAAATTTGAATTTTGAAATTTGGAAAATATTTGAAAAATTCCGATATTCATTAAACAATTTGAAGGTTTGGAAATTTTGAAAAGAAAGTTAAGAATTTTGGAGTAAATTTAGAGTCATTGTCTAAAATAAAATATACCAAAAACCGATGCTCTTGATTATAAATACTTTTTTTGAGACTGAAAACCCAGAAAATAAAAAAAACTGAGAAACACGCAAACCGAACCAAAAGTAATAAAAACAATTTTCCAGTATAGGAGTATTTGTGTACTGTTAAAAAGTCCAACAATAAAGTTCAAATAATAAGTTTGGAATAAAAATTCGAATCTAAAAATGAAAAAAATTAATTTTGAAGTTTGGAAAATAATATGAAAAAATGGAAATTATGAATAGTTCGAAATTTGTTTTGGAAATTTGGAAAATATTTGAAAAATTCGGAAATTCATTAAACAATTTGAAGGTTTGGAAATTTTGAAAAAAAAGTTAAGAATTTTGGAGTAAATTTTGATTCATTGTCTAAAATAAAATATACCAAAAATCGAAGCTCTTGATTATAAATACTTTTTTTGAGGCTGAAAACCCAGAAAATAAAAAAAACTGAAAAACACGCAAACCGAACCAAAAAGTAATAAAAACAATTTTCCAGTATAGGAGTATTTGTGTACTGTTAAAAAGTCCAACAATCAAGTTCAAATAATAAGTTTGGAATAAAAATTCGAATCTAAAAACGAAAAAAATTAATTTTGAAGTTTGGAAAATAATATGAAAAAATGGAAATTATGAATAGTTCGAAATTTGTTTTGGAAATTTGGATATTATTTGAAAAATTCGGAAATTCATTAAATAATTTGAAGGTTTGGAAATTTTGAAAAAAAAAGTTAAGAATTTTGGAGTAAATTTTGATTCACTGTCTAAAATAAAATATACCAAAAATCGAAGCTCTTGATTATAAATACTTTTTTTGAGACTGAAAACTCAGAAAATAGATTATAGTTTAAAAACTGAAAAACACGCAAATCGGACCAAAAAGTAAAAAAACAATTTTCAAGTATAGAAGAATTTGTGTTACTGTTAGAAAGACCAATAATCAAGTTCAACTAATACATTTTGAAAAAAATTCGAATCTAAAAATGAAAAAAAAATGTTTTTAAGTTTGGAAAATATTTGAAAAATTCGGAAATTGGATAAATAATTTGAAAGTTTTGATATTTTGAAAAAGATTTTAGAATTTTAAGAAAACTTAGATTGTCAAATATAAAATGCACCATAAATCGAAGCTCTTGATTATACGTACTTTTTTGAGTCTGAAAATTCATAAAATAGTCTAAAAAACTGAAACAAACACACTTTAATAGCAAATCGAACTAAAATGAAAAAAACAATTTCAAGGTATAGGAAAATTTGTGTTACTGTTAGAAATACAAACAATCAAGTTCAACTAGTAATAAGTTTCGAATAAAAATTCGAATCTAAAAATTAATAAAATTAATTTTGAAGTTTTGAAAATATTTGAAACATTCGGAAATTCTATAAATAATTTGAAAGTTTGGAAATTTTGAAGAAAATTTAGATTCATTATCAAATATAAAATGCACCACAGTCGAAGCTCTAGATTATAAATACCTTTTTGAGTCTGAAAATTGACAAAATATATTATTGCCTAAGAATCTGAAAAAATTCGCTTTAATAGCAAATCGAGCTAAAAAACAATTTTGAAGTATAGGAGAATTTGTGTTAGAAAGTCCAAAAATCAAGTTTAACCACCAAGTTTGGAATAAAAAATCTATTTTATAAATAAAATAAAAAAATGATTTTAAAGTTTGGAAAAAAATTTGAAAAATTGGAAATTATGAAAAATGTTTGGAAATTTGAATTTTGAAATTTGGAAAAGAAGTAGGTTTAGATTCATTGGCAAATGCAAAATATACCAAAAATCGAAGCTCTTGATTATAAGTATTTTGGAGAATTTCTGTTACTGTTAGAAAGTCCAACAATCAAGTTTGACTAATGAGTTTGAAATAAATATTCGAATGTCAAAAAAAAAGAATTTTGTTTTTTTTCAATTTGGAAAATACTTGAAAAAGTCGGAAATAAGATAAACAATTTGAAGGTTTGGAAATTTTGAATTTTTTTTGGATATATTTCCATAACTCAATTTTTATAAATAGCTACTAAAAAAATGTATATATAACAATTGAATCCTTCGTTAATTTCTTGATTTTTATATTGATATTATTCCAAATTAATTATTCGTACTTGAATTTTTTACTTCCTATTCCTATATCACAAACCCCCCTATAATTGAAAATCGTTTTCTACTTTTTAATTTGACTTACCATTGAAGCGTTATTTTTAACTATTATTTCTTTGTCTTCTACGAATGCATTTTTAACAGATGACGATTCATTTCGAATGAAAAATACACATAATACACAAGTACGTTTGCATCGAATTTACCTTCCACACTTCAGCCATATCAATATTAATCGCTTCAGAAGCAGAGATAGGTGTGCTCATCACTAGGAATTTGTCCCTAGACAGCCCGCCTAACTGGTAACCTGGCAACAATGTAAGCGTGACCGTTGCCGATTCACCTGGCGCTAAACATCCCATGCTCGGTTTCACGCGGAATTTTTCTGGCGACGTTGTTTTTAGCTACGGAAAAATCAACGAAAATTAATAAAATCACGATCGGATTCAAAGTTACTATACTACGGAGCTGTACTTTAAATAACCACGTTCGTTACGTTCAGATTTAAAACAATTACTAAAAATAACGAAAACACCAGTCATCACTTTATTCGCTAAGCATTCGAGAAGTCAAAACATAAATATCGAACCGCCACTTTTTCAAATACTGATAAATGAAAAGTTACAACGCACCTATTCTGATCGTTGCAGTTTTTGATATCAAAAATTACCTTATACGAAATATGGCTGCTGGGATCTGTATTTTGCAATTCCAATGTGCTAACAAGTTCATTGCCTGACAGGATGAACGAGACGATGCCCGAAGGCGTAACCTTAAGTGAACCGCCATCTGAAAAAATCGAAATAATGGGTTTCTCTCTATAGATTCGGAAGACCAATTCTTTGAGAACACGTACAAGGTTTGACCGGTATGTTTCTTTCAGTTATCCACTTATATAGGGTAAGCAAAGAAAGTAAGTTTTTTTAGCAGTCAGATTCTCAATTTTTGAACTTGGATCGTTTTGATCCTAAAAAAAGGACTTTCTACAATTTTTCGAAAATTGGCTATAACTTAAATTATCGAATTTCAAAGAAGTGTTTCATTTATCTCTAAAAATTGTACTTTTTTGAGGTTTCCCTTGAATGGGTATTGAACTTTATTGCCTCCTGTCTGTAACTTGATTTTTTTTTATATTTTTCTGACAACTATTATGACTTGGCCTTCTGCGACACCCTGTACATTTCATACTTAAAATATCAATAATACAAGTCAACAACACAGCATTACATCCATTCCATTGATAAGCGATTATCTAATGTTTAGAGATAAGGAAACTATATACGAATAAGAAGATGAAAATTGTCACCTGAAAGATGTCAACATGCATTTTAGTCTACAATGATGAGTTAATTAAACCACTCGCATAAATGTTTGAAATATGCGTCAAGAAAATGTAATCGATTGTTACATTTTGAATGGATATTGAATAATGAATGTTTGCCCTTAATTCGGTTTCTTATCGACAAAATACCGGACATCTGTTAGAAATTTTACCGGAAAGGTACAGTATTTTTGAGCAAAATATCGGAACATCCGAACCTGTATGAAAGGATGTTTAGACAGTTTCCAGAATCATCTGAATAACTCTTTTCTAATAATTAGAAAGGTGACAAGAAGAATTTAATTTCAATATGACCCCATTCACGGATACCTCTTCAAAATGAGTAAAATGTTATCACGTTTGAATTCTAAGACAAACCTTGTACCTAGTGTGCGGTGTTACGTGTTAAAAATGATCAAATCAACTTACCGGTAGTATCACCGTTTCCTAAGGATATCTCTGACATTTGGCCGTCGTTGAAATGGACCTGCTATAAGATTATTGATTATTAGTTGTTCACCAGTCGCCGAAACGTTTTCGCGCGCATCCTCAACGCCGTGCGACGTGTCCATTTTACGAGGGGTACAAGAAATGTATGCTTACAGTCGGGAGAATCTGTCGGTCTGTACGATAAATTTAAAACTGCCTATAACCCTTGGATTTCGATGATATTTTCACACAACGAGGAAAAAGCTTTGTAGTTTTTGAAAATCGTCCCAGTCCCAAAGGCTCCTGATCATTTTCGGAAAAATTTTGTACGGGTTATATCGGAGGTTAGAGGTTGCAGGGGATGAGGGAGAAAATATCTCATTTTTAGTTCACGTCAGTGGGCGAAGAAGTATTGTAATCGTTGAAAAAAAAATAACCAAACTTTCCAAGCAGAAACGAAAATTAAAAACAACCTTGTGAAAAAGGAAAAATAAAAAGTATTGCTTGAAAAAACATGTATAAAAAACTCTCTATAATTATAATGCTAAGAAAACCTGTCCAAAGCTCTCACTGACCTTTCTATTGTTGTTGTTGTTGACACAGGCAACAGACGAGACGAACGTTTTTTCGGCTGGTTCTGGAACAGATTCCGACACGAATTTGAATTCGTACGTGCTATTCCCGCCCCAGCAGGTTAGGGCATGTTCCACGGGCACGTACGATGATATATCTTTTGTACTTACAAATTTTATTTTTTCGACCGCCTTAGGGGGAAGCCACGACTTTATCACTTTGAACGCAGCTAAAATGAACGTTTCCAAATTACTGCGTTGGAAAAAATTCCGCCTACAGAAAATCAACACTTATTATTGCAATAATTAAACGACACATAATAAGTAGGTTATCAGGTCGTTTCACGAAGATAAAACAAACAGATCATTTAGGAAAGTTCGATTGATAATAAGACAAAGTACAACAACGAAAAATGCAAACCGTCTTTGAAGCGTAATATTCCTATTCGGACATCAAATATCTCGGAATTTTTATGCTCCATTTAGAGATAAATCGGAAAGACCCGCCATAAGACTTCTTTCGAATTTGGAGTTAAATGAAACGAAAATCCGCATAACTTTTACAAAGTTGTCATCTGAATATTTTCTACCACTCACTGTAATAAATGCTGCTCCTGCTACTTGGAAGCTTTCAAGGTGAAATTCGGTGCGAATTCTGCATGCGTACCACTTTTTTTTAATGAGTAAACCAAATAAAATTATCAATCGCGAAACATTAAACCAGCAACACAAAACACGATATCGCATTTAGTCGCAACTGTGCACTAAAAATAACATAATGCAATAATACATTAAATAAATTAGTCATGAGATATTGTCGCTGAACCGGTGCCCTCGGATATTCATATGGATTTGTTGTAGTACGGGGTCAGTCCCAAATATATCAAGATATTTTCATCGATGCATAGGGTGAATACGCCAGTGGTCGGACATAGACAAAAGTGAAATACAAAGTGTAATTACGAATTTTGTTTTCAAGATAACACATCTAGTGTTTTTGGAGTTTTTTTTTATTCTCCAACTACCACGAAGGCCTAAGGCCTAAGCACCCATTGGGTACATGCACACATTCTGGCTCCGCCTACGAGATCCGCCGGGTGGTACCTCCGCGTTCGACAGTCAGAGACCGTCTACCACCTACAAATATCATATATGTTAACTTTTCGCCGATAACAAATACATTGTTTATAGATATTCCTGTAATTTTATAAAAAAAATAATAATCAAAATCCAATAGTCGGACACTTGTAGATTTTGACTAGTATGTGGCCACTCCAATTTGACCTCAAAATGTTAGAATAACACATTAAGATTAATTTATTTCGTAAATTTTGAATGCCTTCTGCTTCGTGTAACAAGGAGAGTATTTACCGCTCCACTTAAAATAAATTCTCGCGGGCGCCCATGATCGTTACTATGGCTAATCCAGCGTGGAAGACGCTATTGACGATTCATGATCAGTTACAGTATATTCAGATAAGAGATAGACCGGATGTAAACAAAAGGTTCGGGTGATTTTCACGCTAACGCCGCCGTCTCGACGTAAAACAGGAGCCCTCATTGGTCAATTCGCAATTAAATGCCTATGCCGAGCGGCAGAGCAGTCGTATCAAGGCAGAGTCACATTCAGGTTCAGACGTGTTACGTATGTCGTGTGCATCATAGCAATTTGATATTTCTTTGGACGTTTTCGTTTGTTATCTTAATAAGTTGTTGAGTTTGTCGTTGTTATTGTTATACCTTGTTATTGATTGTTATTGTTATCAACTGCTTGCGCAAAATGCCCAGTAGTACAGATACTGCCGATGAAGTTGTAAACTCCTGTAGTCCACCTAGGAAACGCTCTAAAAAAGACACCTGAGTGCAGAAATGAAAGAGGTCATTTTGAATATATATAAGATCGAGCGCGAGGAGAACGAGGCATCAACCATCAAAGAAATTGTTGTGAAGGTTTCTCACAAAGTTGGGGTGTGTCGCGCATCAGTGTTTAATGTGTTAAGACAATATAAAAAAAATCACACCTTTTCTGAGCCAATGACCAGTAAACATCGCAAAAGTATTGTTAAATCATTGGATGAAGCTGATAAGCATGCGATTAGGAGGAAAGTGCATGAATTCTTCTTTAGGAATGAAATACCTACTATAGATAAAGTACTGCAGGAGGTAAATGGAGATACAACGTTGCCAAATTTCAAACGATCAACTTTCCATGCGTTACTGAAGCATTTAAATTTCAAATGGAAAAAACGAAAAATAGTTTACTACTGGATAGAGAAGAAATTGTGCTATGGAGGAGGGATTATTTAACAAAAATTGGGAAATATAGAAATCAAAACAGGAAGATTTATTACCTTGATGAAACGTGGGTAAACGCAGGACACACTACAAGTAAAGTATGGGTTGATGATTCTGTAACTTCATCCAGGAGGGCCTTTCTAGATGGACTGTCCACCGGATTAAAAAATCCAGCAGGTAAATATGAGTAATAGACAACAATCGGATGTTTTTCAAACCTTGGGAACAAGGTTCTAAACATTAATTCCAGGGGGCAGATAAAACATATTACAAGTAACAAAACTTTTATAACTTTCGATAAAATGCGTGGATGTTTTATTGTCATTTTCATTTGTTAGAACTTTTTTAAGCCATGTTTTTATGTGTTTTCGATATTTCAATAATTTTTTAATATAATCTTAAAATATGTCGAATATTATAAACTTAAAAAAAGTTACTAAGTTTTATATTGTGTACCGTTCCTAATATTTCTAATCATTTTAATTCATACTTTAAGCTTTATAAAGTTATAATTTGTTAATATTAATATTTGCGCGTATTTCAGGTTCCTGATCATTCATTTTTTAGAGAACTTTAAATTAAATTGTGAAGCGCTGCGTAATCATACGACGTTCAATATTCTTTCTTTCAATATGACTAAATAATCCCAATTATAGCAATCTGATACTCATGTCTCAATGTTTTTTCGCTGAATGTGATGAAAACATTTGAAAAAGGTTCGCTTATTGAAATAAATCTACACCAGTTAGTACTTCGATTTCCAGGTAAAGGGAAAAGGCTCATTATCTGCCATATTGGCAGTGAGGATGGATTTGTTGTTGACGGTCTGTGGTGCTTTGAGTCTAAGAAAACTGGAGATTACCACGAGGAAATGAATGGCGAATCGTTTGAACAGTGGTTTTCAAAAATTTTACCGAACTTAGAGGAAAACGCAGTAATTGTGTTGGATAATGCGCCTTATCATTCTCGAAGAATGGAGAAGGTCCCAACAACGGCTTCAAGGAAAGTTGATGTTCAAAATTGGCTCCGCTCGAAAAATATCAACTTTGAAGAAGCAATGCTGAAAGTACAATTATTAAGAATTGTCAAGGATCACAAGGCGGAATATCAAAAATACGCCATTGACGAAATGGCAGCAAGTCAAAATAAAACTGTGCTCCGTGTACCTCCATACCATTGCGAGCTCAATCCCATTGAGCTCATATGGGCAGAGGTTAAAAATTATATAGCTAAGCACAATACAACTTTTAAATTTTGTGACCTCAAAGGACTTTTCAAAGAAGCACTAGAATTAATAACAGCGCAAAAATGGGAAAACTGTATTAAGCACGTGAAAGACAAAGTTGAAAAGAGAATGTGGGAACTGGACAATATTTTAGAGGAACAAGTCGAGCCATTCAGTATTGACGTTGGTGCTTCAGGCAGTAGCGATGATGAAAGCTCATCAAGCTCATCTTTTCAATAAAAGATGTCGTTCATCAAATTCGGTAAGTTATAAGTAATTATAAAGCTACTGTATTTTTTAATTAATTATTGACATTTTTGAACCCATTTTGGCAAAACCTATTCAAGAATCTACTTTCTGACAATGTTCAACCATGCACATTTTTTTACGTTTTGAACGTTTTAATTTGGTTACATATTCACCTAGAAATCAAAAAATATACTAATCAATATTCTAAAAGCAATTTTAAGAGATATACGATTATTTTTAATTTAGGCTAATTTAAACGCCATTTTGAGATTATATTCGACTGCATTCCACCAAACATCAGGCGGCATCCGAAGCTGGAAATCGAAGCGAAAATTTTGAAACCCTTATGTATATTTACATCATTATATATTTCTTACCCGAACCCCCACATGATCCTATATCCATCACCAATCGTATACACATCGAATTGTGCTAATTTACTACAAAGTTACGCAAAGCAGCATCTACTATCTAAAATATGTACTGCGTGACTCTTAATACGTCCCTGCCGAATGTTACAGCGTTCGATGATCACGTGGTCTTGTTTATGTCCGGTCTATCTCTTATCTGAATATACTGTAGATGCCCGTCCCATGGTGGCGGGGTATCGGCGATTGACGCGAAGAAGCATGGGAGGGGTTCGGCCCCCAAGACACCCCTCTGGATCCGCCTCTGATGCTGGAAGGCAGTATCCGACTTGCCAGTTCGCGTTCATACATGTGATATGAAATGTCTGCAGATTTACAGTAATGGACAAAAGTATATAGACAAATATGAATATTTACCTAAATACTTTTAGAAAACGAATTCATACTTCATTGCACCATAAACAAATGCGTCATTAGTAGAAAAACTAAATTCCTTGTTTTTACATTATCTGCAATGAACACAAATTGACAAAAATATGTAGCCAAATTCTTTTCAACATTAGTTTAGTACAGTTTCGTGTCCGAAGAGGATTAGTGTGTGTTCATAAAGTATTGTGGAAAAGTTGAGTGATTTTAAGACCATGCCTCGTGGTCCAGAAATTTCTTTCGATGTGATAACTAAGATCATTGAATTATACAAAGATAGTCAACGTCAAGTCAACATTGCCAAACATTTGAAGCTGAAGTATTAAACAGTTTGGGCAATATTGAACAAATATAAACAAAAAGGTATCTGGAAGCCTCTAAGAGAAGTGGTCATTCTAGAAAACTAAATGCTAGATCAGTTAGATTAATAAAAGTAATTTCGTCCAAAAATCCGTTTAAAACTTTACTTTTCGGGGTTTGGGATGGGACCTTTACATAGAATAGATGGCATTTTGGATAAATTTGTATACACAGACATACTAAAGCATGTTATGTTACCCTATATGGAAGACAATATGCCCTTAAGATTAATCTTCCAGCAGGATAATGACCCGAAGCACACTTGAAATCTCGCAAAGAAATTATTTCTGGATGAAAAAATACCAGTTCTCAAATGGCCTTCACAGTCTCCCGATATAAACCCCATTGAAAATCTATGGGAATACTTAGATAAGCAAATACGAGATAAAAATTATTCAAACAACGATGAACTTTTTGCCGCTTTACAGCAAAAGTGGAGACAGATTGATGAATCTTATATCAAGGAATTTCTACAATCTATGCCGAGACGATGATTGATAATAATGGTTATGCTACAAAATATCAACACAAACATGGTTGGTTTTCTATAATTCAATGAACTTTGCTTCTTTTTTCTATGACTGTTTTGCTTTGTCTATATATTTTTGTCATTCATAGTTCCAGTTTTTTTCAATTACTTTTTATTGAAGGGCGTCTAATGAATTTATCTATGTATAAGTGAGTATTATGCTATAACGAATTATGTATATAAGTTGGAGTATTAATAAAAAGAGATACAGCTCAATATTAATTTGTCTATATACTATTGTCCATTACTGTATTTTTCGATCGATAACAGATATAATACCACTGGCGAGAAAGCGCAAGGTACGGTAAGAAATGAATAAAAATACTTACAGCGAATCAGAAAAGATCATAACATGGAACGGTTATTGAAATAGAATAATGAATCGATGTAATATGTCGACGAAACTAACATTCGTTAAGAATCGTCAAATCAGCATTGACGCATATTAAATAAATATTACCTGAACGTGCCTGTCAGCAGTTTGTAAAAAATAACACGCCGATAGACTAGTAAAATAAAGTTACCATAAAACTAGGTTATATCAAAAAAAATCACAGCATTCGCATGCTTTGCATTTTTTTGTATTGTTTGTGGGCATTCCCCAGGGTAGCCGAATTTCTGGCTCCTATGTTATGGACAATTTTTCTGCGTTCCGGCGACCGGTGGTGCCGTCCTTTGGTTTATTGGCTCTGCTAGTGCGGACGATGAGACGTGGTGCTATTCTTAACTAACCATACCGTACTATAACTACATGTCTGCTATTTTGCATTTTATCAATCACAGTTGAACAAACGTAATGGTAATTTTCACGTCCATTTTGCGAAAATCGGTGTTGGACATATTCCGAAACGTGTTTGTTTTCATGGTAAGTTGTAGTTTCTGTTAAATTTTACAAAAATATGTCGTATCAGAATATTATGAACCTAAATTTTTGGCCAACGAAGGAGCAGTTTCAGTGGTTACATGTAGAAGTAGGTACTCACTTGATAGAATCCAGGGCATCTCAAATATGAGAATATAATTCAAAAAATAAGGATAGTATTCCTTAAAAAGGCCAATGAGGTATTTGATTAGTTCCATATCCATATTGCTCAAGCCACATCCTTCCATATCAAAAAACAATGTGATCATTTTACCTTGCACCATTCTACAAAAAAAAACTTTTTACTTCTCTATATTTCTACTGATGTTATAAATGCGAAATTTTAGCAGAAAAACGTGAGGTGCAATTATGTTTTCACAATAACTGCTATTTCGTAAAAAGTAAATAAAAAACAATTCTAACACTTAATATCAAGCACCTACTATACTTGTTAATATTTTAATTTTTATATTGATTAGTCATAATTGATGACTTTCTATTGCAGTAACAGATCAGTTTGCTAATAAAGGTTTTTTTTTCAGTTTTTATAAACTATAATTTATTTTCTGCATCTTCAGTCTTAAAAAGACAACAAAAGTGCTTATCATCAAGAGCATCATGACAATAAATTTAAATTTACTTCCAATTTATTTCAAATTTCGATATATCAATTTTTTTTTAATTTTCAAATCCTCAAATTATTTTCCAAATTTTCGAATTTTGGTATATTTTATATTTGACAATTAATATAAGTTTACTTCCAAATTTGTTCAAATTTATAAATTTCCAAATCCTTCTCAAAACTTTGAAATCCTCAAAATAATTTCCAAATTTTCCAATTATTGTCCAAATTTTCAAATCTATTTTTTTAAATTTCAAATTTTTGATACATTTTCTTCCAATTTTTTCAAAATTTTCAAAACTTCAAATTATTTTCCAAATTTCCGACATCCGATTATTTTACAAATTTTCAAATCAATTTTTTAAAAAAAATTCAAAAGTCAAATTCGAATTTTTTTCCAAGAATATTGTATTCTCATTGGCACTTGAAATAGGTGAAAATTATGTTGAAAAATTTTGTTACACACAGATCAAATTGATAAAAACGTGTTAAAAAAATGTTAGATAATCATGAATAGTTTAAGCATTAGTATGCAAATTATTCAACATTTTTATATCATATAAAAAAAATAAATTATCATAATGAAAGGAAACTGAAGTTCAATTCTACAGATTACTACTTGAACAATGCGTAGTTTGTTTTAAAACCATTTATTTTTAGTCTAAACATTGATAAATGCATTAATTGCAGTAATCAAAACTGAAATATAGTAACCTATAGAAGTATAAGCATTAAAAAGTGGTAGAAAAATGTGTTAGAATTGATTTTTTTATTTTAATGCAAAATCTGCACTCTAAGAGAAGCATTACCTTTGGCTTATATGAGAAAAGCCATATCATCATCATCATATAAAAAAAATGGAGATATTTGGGCATTTTACTGTTAAATCATTTACAAAAAATATAAATAATGTAGAAGCCAAAATGCTACCTTGGGAACTATGTGCATGATTTCTTTGGAATCAGACATTTGCATACCATTATTCTTTATCAAATCACACTTCTACTTATTAATTTGAAAAATTCTAAACTCTATTGGAAATTTGAAAAGTGGATCTTTTAGAGGTGGAATTTACAAAATTTCCTTGTAAGTGCCCATTTACACTGTATCAAAGCACAGAGCAAGCAATAAAAAATAATAGTTTCCCCATAGTACGTTTTACCCATTATTTCAAGTCTAATTTTCACAAAGTAGCATAATCTGTCTAACTCCAAGGACTAACCTATACTTAGTGTCCCAGAAGTCGACGTCAAGCCGAAACCGGGTGATAGGCACAGTCATAACAGCTATCAGAAAAATATTAAAAAAAAATTTATGTATGTGTTTTGAAAATTATAGGTCTTTGAAAAAATATAGAAATTTCACACCCTACGGCAGTTTGTCAACTCCTGTTACTACAAATATTAACTTTTTTTGGATTTTATTTTTACAATGTAATGATGAATAATGCATCTTCAAACTGGTGTCTCATCCTTACTGCCAACTTTTCTCGTTCAGGAAAAATTGCCACTTATTTCCCAACCAAGTATTCCATCGTAAAACTTTGCTCAACTTTAACTGGCTGTACTGGAAAAAAATGTACTACGAGAGTTTGGCAAGTAACCTTAAAAGTTGGCGCATTTAATAAGGATTCCAAAATGGTATAACACTTAGAAGATTACTCGTTAACTTATGCACAATTTTTATTTGAAGAAAAACTGATGAAAATTTTTCAAAATTTCCTAATTAAACAGCGATTATGAAAACGCACAAGGACCCTTAAGGATAACTGTTTGCACAACAGTGAGCGTCAAAATGCTGCTGATGATGATTTACCTTTACAGCAAATGCTCAAACTGTTTTCCTTCAGCCGCAATACACGCTCGACATCTTCTTAAAAAAGATAGGGTTATTAAACGAGCGAATCCACGGTTATTAACAAACTCAGCTGCTTCCAATAGTCTTTGCCGTAGCTCAGCTACATTTTGAATCGGCTTGAAATACACTTTTTCTTTTACAGTTCCCCAGTAAAAAAAATCTGGTGACCGGGCTGGCCACGGTATTGTACCAGACCGCCCTATCCATCTGCCTGGAAAGTTTTGATCGAGATACTCTCTCACTGAGAGTGCATAGTGCGCTGGGCAGCCATCATGCTGAAACCACATGTCCCTGTAAATACTCAGTGGCACGTCCTCCAATAAATTTTCTAAATGATTTTGCAAAAAAACTAAATAAACCTCAGCAGTCAAAGTCTCTGGGAACTCAACCGGGCCGATTATTTTACCATTTAAAATTCCTGTCCAATGGTTTATCTTAGGCGATATTGAGATTTATCTTCTCTCATCAAATGTCGGTTTGCTACGTGCCACTCGTGCAAGTTATGCAGGTTCATGTACCCATCTTTCTTAAATGTGGTCTCATCTGACCATAAAATTTTTTCAAAGAACCGTGGATCTTCCCTGTGTCGTTCTAACATTGTGCGACAAAAAGCAACTCGGGGCTCATAATCCCGGGGCAGAAGAGCTTGAACACGCTGTACGTGGTATGGATGGAGCACGTTTTTTTGCAAGATTCTATGGGCTGTGCTTTTGGGCACACCTGTTTTTAGTTCTATTGCACGCACTGAAGTACTCGGGTCTTCTTCGACAGCTCCTAGCACCACGTCTTCGTAAGGAAGGAAAGATCTTCCCTCACCGTGTGATTGGTTTGGTAGTTGGCCCTCTGAGAACAGTAAGCGATGCACATTTGTGAACACTCGATGATCTGGATGACGAGCTGCATTCGGGTACCTCTCACAGTAAAGTCTCGCTGCAGCACTAGCGTTGCATCTGCATTCCCCATAAATGAGGTGCATGTTAGCATATTCTTGTACGGTGTACACGGACATAGCAGCACTGCACAATCACACTATCAAAGATAGTCTAAGGAAAGCAAATGTTGTTTTGAAGAGCAATTAAACAGTCCAAATCCAAATCACAAGCGATCAATAGTCCAGTTCACGAATCCAAAATTAGTAACAGTACGAAATCAACAAGCACGAACATGTAAAGATGCGCAGTAAACGAAGGAGTACTGATCGGTATCAAAGTGTGCAATAGCAAGTAAGTGATGTGCTTCATCCATACCACATACAGCGTGTTCAACCTCTCCTGCCCCGGGATTATGAGCCCCGAGTTGCTTTTTGTCGCACAATGTTAGAAAGACACAGAAAAGATCCACAGTTCTTTGAAAAAATTTTATGGTCGGATGAGACCACATTTAAGAAAGATGGGTACATGAACCTGCATAAATTACACGAGTGGCACGTAGCAAACCCACATTTGATGAGAGAAGATAAATCTCAATATCGCTTAAAGATAAACCATTGGACAGGAATTTTAAATGGTAAAATAATCGGTCCGTTTGAGTTCCCAGAGACTTTGACTGCTGAAGTTTATTTGGATTTTTTGAAAAATCATGTACAAAATTTATTGGTGGACTGAGCCACTGAGCATTTACAGGGACATGTGGTTTCAGCATGATGGCTGCCCAGCGCACTATGCACTCTCAGTGAGAGAGTATCTCGATTAAAACTTTCCAGGCAGATGGATAAGGCGGTCTGGTACAATACCGTGGCCAGCCCGATCACCTGATTTGAATCATTTAGATTTTTTTACTGGGGAACTGTAAAAGAAAATGTGTATTTCAAGCCGATTCAAAATATAGCTGAGCTACGGCAAAGACTATTGGAAGCAGCTGAGTTTGTTAATAACCGTGAATTCGCTCGTTTAATAACCCGATCTTTTTTAAGATGTCGAGCGTGTATTGCAGCTGAAGGAAAACAGTTTGAGCATTTGCTGTAAAGGTAAATCATCATCAGCAGCATTTTGACGCCCACTGTTGTGCAAACAGTTATCCTTAAGGGTCCTTGTGCGTTTTCATAATCGCTGTTTAATTAGGAAATTTTGAAAAATGTTCATCAGTTTTTTTTCAAATAAAAATTGTGCATAAGTTAACGAGTAATCTTCTAAGTGTTATACCATTTTGGAATCATTATTAAATGCGCCAACTTTTAAGGTTACTTGCCAAACTCTCGTAGTACATTTTTTTCCAGTACAGCCAGTTAAAGTTGAGCAAAGTTTTACTTTGGAATACTTGGTTGGGAAATAAGTGGCAATTTTTCCTGAACGAGAAAAGTTGGCAGTAAGGTTGAGACACCAGTTTGAAGATGCATTATTCATCATTACATTGTAAAAATAAAATCCAAAAAAAGTTAAACAGGAGTCGACAGACTGCCGTAGGGTGTGAAATTTCTATATTTTTTTCAAAGACCTATAATTCTCAAAATACATACATAAATTTTTTTTAAATATTTTTCTGATAGCTGTTATGACTTTGCCTATCACCCGGTTACGGCTTGACGTCGACTTCTGGGACACCCTGTATATCTATATTCTAAGATTCATACGAATCAAATCATCCGTCAAAACACAGTTTCACATTTATAATAGTAGATAAGCAATGTTTAGTTCAGCATTATCATCAGTTTATCTTCCAATAAGAATGCCTAAGCCCAAAGATAAGGTTCACCTAACGATCAAAAATACTTTCTAACGAGATACGATGAGGTTCCTATATGATACAGTTGAATAAATAATTAAATACCTCTCAAGTCTTTCAAACCAGTATATTATACATTTTTGCAATTCCTCCATTTTTATGGCTCCTTTGGTATGTTTCTTACATTTAAATACCAAAAGCTTACATCCGTCAATGTCCGCTCCATGTGGAAAGAATCCTCCCATGACAAGAATGTCCATTCTCACCTTTGACTCATCCAAGTCTGGAAACATTCCAGCTCAATTTTTCTTCATGATCAAATTCAAATTCTTTTATTTTTCAGTAAATGTTACTGAACAGTAAAAATGTAAAACTAGGAACACAGTAATTGTAAAACAAAACATGTCAATACAAGAAATTTCACGCAAATCAAACAAAAATTCCTGCAAGTGAAGGAAAATATATTAGTTTAAAAAAACTAAAAATCATGCTTTAAGGCAGATCAATCTTGTAGAGTTTAGGAATAAACTCGTATTTATGTTTGTATGTTTTTTGTCAACTAGTGGGTCGACGTCGACTCGACTAGAAATAAACCAGTTATGAAGTACATGGTGTTTGGTTCGCATCCATACCAATAAACAAAAAATAGAAGCAATTGTTAATATGAAAACGCCCTCAAATGTGACAGAAGTTAAGGCTTTCTTAGGCATGGTAAATTATTATGCAAAATTCATACCAGACATAAGCTCTAAATTGCAACCACTTTATCAGCTGCTAAAGAAAAACCAGCATTTCTTTTGGTCCCATATCCAAAAGAAGGCTTTCAATCACATAAAAAGGGATTTGATTTCATCTAGAGTACTGGTTCATTATGATCCCAATAAAACTGTTCTATTGTAACTATTCTAAACCAAATGAAAATGTGTGGTTTCTGGGTAGTGTAAAAAGCCAGTTAGGTTCTTCTGTGTTTGAGGTAGAAACTCCTAAAAATACCATCGTAAAAAGACACAGCATCAGACTCGTAAAAAAAGACTGAGTGGCCAGCCAAAATATCAGTTCCATCAGAAATAAACACAGAAGAATCTAGTTCCATGGCATCTGGTGAAAATGAAAACATTTTACCGGAGCAAAAAAGTCAAGGTTGTGAGCTGGGTATAAGTACCCATGTGTCTCCTAGGTATAATTTAGGCCAAGAAAATAACTCTGTTTTTTTTTGAACCAAGAAAATAACTCTGTTTTTTTTTTAACCCTGGTAAATTTACCTGTTATGTATTTCCTTCTAGTCGACTTTTAATAAGTATAGAAATATGTATTTTTGGAATAAGGGTGAAGGTGTAGAGTTTAGGAATAAACTCGTATTTATGTTTGTATGTTTTCTGTCAACTAGTGGGTCGAAGTCGACTCGACTAGAAATAAACCAGTTATGAAGTAAATGGTGTTTGGTTCGCACCCCCAGTTATTACAAATCTAAAAAGTAACATATTATTGCACATTATTTTTACTTTTTAGCCATTAAAACATGTTTTTAAACTATAATTTTTTGTTTCAGTTTTTTAGGTTCGTTGGATCTCTGAATAAAATCAGTTCTGAGTGATCCTCCTCTAAAGTAAGCAAAAAAAACCCTAAATATAATTTAAAAACATGTTGAAAAAATTCATTTTTGAGGTTGAAATGTGCCTAGTAAAGTTGAGACCTCAAGGAATATGTTAAACTTGAGTTTAACAAAAACTAATAACTATATATAATAATAAACTTAGTTCATTTAAAAATGTCATTATCTGAAAAGTATTCAGTTCCAAAGATCGATGTCGTCTGAAAATTTTAAGATGAGGAATACTTGCCATTAACATCATTCTCTTTTCTCCATTTCACTGAATTCCACAGCATCTCAAGAGCCCTTTGTGTATCGTATTCTTGGTGCATGATGAACCTTCGTAACCAGTCGTCACTGGTTTTCACCCTTGCCAAATCTTTAGGGTGGACAGCTACAAAAAAACGAAATGTTCAATGTTAGACCGGAAATATCCGTTAAGGGGTACTTACAACCGCTTCCTTTTGTTTCCACATCTTTTAAAAATAAATTTCGCAGTTCTTCTATCTGGTTTTGAGGAACGGACATCGTATCCAGCGAAAATCTCAATTAAAACCTCTAAAATTAAGCTTAGCTATTAAGATTATAAGATAAGCGTATCTACACGAGGAGAGATAAAACCATATTACAACAAATTATAAAAGTACAAAACGATAAAAAAACTGGACGTTGAAAAACATCTAGCTTGTATTTTCAAGGTTAGGCAAATCCACCGTTGCCAGATGGGTAGGACAGGATTTCCCCGGAGCACGCTCAAAAAATCTCTTAAATCACACTGCAACCGAAAAGGGTAGGCAATTGAAAAATCTGATTAACAAAGTATCTTTGGGATCCTCATTCCAACCGCGGTGCCCTGGCATTTAGGTTTCTGGCTGCACAGTGCTTCAGTGTAAAAAAAAAGTTATTAGTAAAACATGTATGTTATCTCATATTTGACTAGGCTTGTAGGGTCATACGCAGAAGATTTATACGATTTATCAACATGGGATTATCTGTTTGAAGTTCAAATGTATCCCTGTTAATGCCGCAATAATGTATGAGTAAATATACTAAGTGACATATAAATCCGAACACCCAGTTTACATGGTTTTATTTTAATAAAAGTTGGTGAATGTATTTATCTTACTGTAAATAACAAGTTAAAAAAATTTCAGCCTTATCAGTTGGACATTCCGGTTTTTATACTGTTTTTTTTTTTAATTCACTAACGCTCTAAAAATGAATATTTCAGCCGCAGTAAAGAATCAACGTTGGCGGATTTTGGTTCTTGACATCCTTTACGATCGGTTACGATGCCTAGAGTACGGAGACCTGTACGATTTCGTCAACTTAGTGAGTTTGATAGGGGCCGTATAGTGGGACTTCAGGAAGCTGGACTTTCTTTTCGGGCAATTTCAGTTAGACTGCAAAGAAGTGTAGACACTGTGGTTAGGTGTTGTCAGGCATGGCTTCGAGAAGGCCGTACGCAAAGAGCAAGGGGCACTGGGCTCCGCCGTAGAACAACAGACCGTGAAGATCGCCGCCTAAGATTATTGGCCTTAAGGGACCATTTCTCCACTACCAGGTCCATTGCAAATGAATGGTTTGCAGAACACGGAAGACCTATTGTCATGCGAAGTGTTTACCGACGAATGAGAAGTTTTGGCTTGTTTTCATACCGGCCACAGTGGGTCCTCCCTTTAACTCGAGAACACCGACGTAATCGCCTTGAGTGGTGCAGACAACGGTCACTCTGGGATCATTAATGGAACAGTATTGTCTTTAGTGACGAGTCTCGATTTTGTTTAGGCATGCACGATGGTCGTGCCAGGGTTAGAAGGCGACGTGGTGAAAGGAGGAATCCACAGTTTTTTGTTGAAAGACATGTTCATCACATTGTTGGAGTTATGGTTTGGGGTGCTATAGCTTATGGTTCCAGGTCACCTTTAATCTTCATCAGAGATAAAATGAACGCGCAGCGTTATATCCACGAAGTTCTAGAACCCCATCTTTTACCCTATCTTGACACCCTGGCAGATCCAACTTTCCAACAAGATAATGCCCGACCACATGTTGCAAGAGTCACAATAGACTTCTTTCAACATAATGATGTCACATTTTTACCATGGCCACCAAGATCTCCCGACTTATCCCCAATTGAGCACGTGTGGGATATGATGGGTAGGAGATTGCTCAATTTGCAACGTCCTCCTCAGACTCTAGAAGCACTTCGAGAGGAGTTGGTGGTTGCCTGGAATGAGATACCACAGGAGGACATTGACCACCTGATCAGAAGCATGCCTAGGCGCGTTAGAGAATGCATAGCACATCAGGGTGCATCCACACATTATTAAAGGTCAAAGGGCTTTAAAGCAGTGCAATCATTTTGAAATTTTTATCATTTACTTATTATGCTTCATCAAGTACTTATACAAAATTTTATTAAAATAAAACCATTTAAACTGGGTGTTCGGATTTATATGTCACTTAGTACACATATTGCGAGAACGAGACTTCTCTCTTGCTCCATAGCTAGATTAGCCGAGTGGTTTATGGCTTACTTTACATTATATGACTAGGATACACAGCTCTTTCTACTCCCAATTGACAATGTAGAGATGTGGCGACATACGGAAAAAAAGAGAAATTTTTTTATTCAGAAGTGAGCAGTTCTGGCTGATTGAAAATGTAATAGAATACCAAAAAGTTCTGTTTTACCAACAAAATCCCACAGAACTTATATTCCCCAAAAAATTTTCGGATGTAAAATCTCTCGAACTTAGAGAAAAATCTCTCAATACGGCAACCCTGGGAAAATTAGTTCTAACGGACTACCGATAGATGCCGCAAAATACCATTACAAAAATCTTTCATGATAGCATACCAAACTTCGATATGCTACACTTAGATGGCGCAGGACAAAATACAATTATTATATTCGTTACAAAAAATCTAGGAACGTTGGAGTTTAGGTTTAAAAACTGTAATTCTTCGAAATGAGAGATTCTTTTACCAACACCTACACTGAAAAGATCATTCAGGTATCCGCAACTCGTTGACAGTTGAAACTGACAGATAAGGGTGACAAGTGACAGGTGGGTAACATTGCCTCAAAGCAAACGAAACTAACCATGGTTTTTTAGTAGATTATTTATAAACTTTTTCTATGTAAAAAACATCAATTATTGATTACATCAATTAATACTTCATGATGTCTTAAACTGGCATATCGTGTATACGGTTACAGTCTCGTATCTAGAAAAATGTAGTTACAAAAGGGATTTCAAAGTTTTCCACTTGAAATAGCGCAACATTAAATTCAGTAGATCCGATGGGTTCTCACCAAAAGCAAATATATCTAACTTCCGACCGATTATGCAGAACCTGCATGTATAGTGGTGCAGATGTCATTTCTTTATTTGATGTGATTGATATTGGGGAAAAGAAGGAAACCTTAAGCTCCATACTTGTAAAATGCACTTCTATCCAGGTATGTGTTCAATTTGTTGTATAAAAATATTCTTCAAGCAAAAACAATTCAGATATCTAGATATTCATTTTCCTGACCGCTTTCATCTTTACATCTTGTATGGCTTCAATGCATTTTTTGCGAATCCCAGAATGTGGGCCCCAGATGGGTGTATCCATATTCCAATAAAAATCTTACTAATGAGGTAAAAAGCTTGAACATACAATTCCAATCCCTAACATCCCTATATGTTTGTGATGTCAGCTCCACAAGACAATTAGCTTTGTCAATAATATACTGGTGACATGTAAATGTTAGCTTACAATCGAGATGCCTAGGTCTTATACTCAAAACAGCTCATATTATGAGTAAAAACAATATACAGTAAAATCTCTTGTGGATGGACACCAATTGAACCGACTGAAAGAATAGCTTCTGTTACCTGTTATGTATTTCCTTCTAGTCGACTTTTAATAAGTATAGAGATGTGATTTTGTTTTGAATATTGTTGTTTATTTTTATATGGGAAATATGTATTTTTGGAATAAGGATGAAGGTGTAGAGTTTAGGAATAAACTTGTATTTATGTTTGTATGTTTTTTGTCAACTAGTGGGTCGACATCGACTCGACTAGAAATAAACCAGTTATGAAGTAAATGGTGTTTGGTTCGCACCCCCAGTTATTACAAATCTAAAAAGTAACATATTATTGCACATTATTTTTACTTTTTAGCCATTAAAACATGTTTTTTAAACTATAATTTTATGTTTCAGTTTTTTAGGTTCTTTGGATCGTCTGAATAAAATCAGTTCTGAGTGATCCTCCTCTAAAGTCAACTGCTTTGTAGTTGTAAGCAAAAAAAACCCTAAATATAATTTAAAAACATGATAAAAAAATTTATTTTTGAGGTTGAAATGTGCCTAGTGAAGTTGAGACCTCAAGGAATATGTTAAACTTGAGTTTAATAAAAACTAATAACTATATATAATAATAAACTGTTGGTACTGGAACCACATTGATATCAGAATCTTCAGAAAGTTCTTGTATTTCAACTGAACTTTCAATTTTTTGGCTTGAATCTGGATCTTCAACATTCAACCCATTAAGCCAATACTACTCGTGTATGTTAATTTTGATGCCATCTCCGCCATTTCAGGTTACCAGAAATGATATTTTCCCTCAACAAATATGCCAAATATGCTTGAAACGGCTGTTGGACGCATTTTTATTTAGAGAAGATTGTCACAAGATACATCGAAAGTTTGAAGAGCTGTTCCAAAGTCAGACCACCTTATTGTGCGATAATGTATTGGACACTATAAACAACGATACTGGAAATGTTCTAGCAAAAAATGATTGTATTTCTAATAATGTCTCAATACAAAGTGTGACTAATAGCAAGAGTATTCAAGTCGTAGATGAAATTAATGTAAAAGTAAAACCTGAACGATTTGAAGATATCTGTGTGGAATCTGACCGTAACATAACTGAAGAGACTGAACTTGCCGATTTAGATTTTAAATATGCTTGTTCTAAATGTGACAAGACTTTTTGGACTGAACACACCTGGAAAATGCACGATAATGTCCATGCTAAGAGAAAACTGACAAAATGCGGTGTCTGTGGAAAAGCATTCACGAGGTATTTGCTTTAACAAACTTTGTTTCGATTTCTTTTTACTTAAACTTCGTAGGAAATGTTTCATCGTTAATTTTCTACTGTAGGCCTGCAGATGTGAAACGTCACATGTCAGTTCACACGGGTCTGAAACCGTACACTTGTGCCATTTGTCAAGCATCTTTTACACAATCTGGATCGTTGGCTACGCACATGAAGAAACATGATGAATTTAAAGGATTGAACACTAACAAGAAAAAGATGGAGCAGATGGCATATCTTTGCTCTCACTGTGGGAAAGAATTTAAACATTGTTCTAGTTTGATTACCCATGTTAGAGGACATAATAAGGATAAACCATACTTTTGCACTGTGTGTGATATGAGGTTTGCTATTTTTATCACAAGCATTTATTGTCTCGACATGTATGTGTGTATGAATGAATGTTACAGGATATTTCAAGCTAATTTTCATCAGTTGCAAGAAGTATTTGCACTGGGACCATGACAGTACAATAATCTTGAAACAACGTTCACATTTGAAAATTTTTAAATAAATTGAATTTTGAAAATTGGAAAAAATTGGATTTGAAAAATTTTGACAATAATTGGAAAATTTTGAAATTAATTGAATAAATATTTAAAGATTTTGAAAAAAAATTTAAACAAGTAGATTTAAATTGTATATAAAATATACCATAAATTGATCGTAATTACTTTTTTTGTCACTTGAGATAAACATTCGGAAAATAAATTTTAGTTTGAAAAAATAAAAAAGGATTTAATAGCAAATCGAAATAAAAAGTAAAAAACAATTATCAAGTATAGAAGAGTTTGTGTTGCTGCAATAGAATGAAATTCGCATCTGAAAATCTTTTGGAAACATGAAATTTGCAAAAGATTTGAAAATTTTGATAATAGTTGGAACAATTCGGAAATTTGGAAACTATTTTGAGGATTTGAAAATTTTGAAAGAAATTTGGAAATCTCGAAATTGAACAAATTTGGCAGTTAATTTAGATTTGTGAATATGAAATATACCAAAATTGGAAAATTCGGAATGTTATCAGTTATAAAAACAAGAAAAAAACATAAAAGTCAACATTTCTTTTTCTAATATTCTAGGTTTGTTTCTAATGGAAAACTATATGCGAATCCATACAGGCGAAAATTTTGAAATTAATTGAATAAATATTTAAAGATTTTGAAAAAAAATTAAACAAGTAGATTTAAATTGTATATAAAATATACCATAAATTGATCGTAATTACCTTTTTTGTCATTTGAGATAAACATTTGGAAAATAAATTTTAGTTTGAAAAAATAAAAAAGGATTTAATAGCAAATCGAAATAAAAAGTAAAAAACAATTATCAAGTATAGAAGAGTTTGTGTTGCTGCAATAGAATGAAATTCGCATCTGAAAATCTTTTGGAAATATGAAATTTGCAAAAGATTTGAAAATTTTGATAATAGTTGAAAAATTCGGAAATTTGGAAACTATTTTGAGGATTTGAAAATTTTGAAAGAAATTTGGAAATCTCGAAATTGAACAAATTTGGAAGTTAATTTAGATTTGTGAATATGAAATATACCAAAATTGGGAAATTCGGAATGTTATCAGTTATAAAAACAAGAAAAAAACACAAAAAGTCAACATTTCTTTTTCTAATATTGTAGGTTTGTTTCTAATGGAAAACTAACTTCCCATATGCGAATCCATACAGGCGAAAATTTTGAAATTAATTGAATAAATATTTAAAGATTTTGAAAAAAATTTAAACAAGTAGATTTAAATTGTATATAAAATATACCATAAATTGATCGTAATTACTATTTTTGTCATTTGAGATAAACATTCGGAAAATAAATTTTAGTTTGAAATAATAAAAAAGGATTTAATAGCAAATCGAAATAAAAAGTAAAAAACAATTATCAAGTATAGAAGAGTTTGTGTTGCTGCAATAGAATGAAATTCGCATCTGAAAATCTTTTGGAAACATGAAATTTGCAAAAGATTTGAAAATTTTGATAATAGTTGAAAAATTCGGAAATTTGGAAACTATTTTGAGGATTTGAAAATTTTGAAAGAAATTTGGAAATCTCGAAATTGAACAAATTTGGCAGTTAATTTAGATTTGTGAATATGAACTATACCAAAATTGGAAAATTCGGAATGTTATCAGTTATAAAAACAAGAAAAAAAAAACATAAAAAGTCAACATTTCTTTTTCTAATATTCTAGGTTTGTTTCTAATGGAAAACTAACTTCCCATATGCGAATCCATACAGGTGAAAAACCGTACATTTGCAAATGTTGTGGATCCTCGTTTTCTCAATCAACAACCTTAAAGAAACACATACGATCTCACATGGGCGCAAAGGATCACAAATGTCAGCAGTGCAGTAAAAGTTTCGCCACTTCATACTACTTGAATATACATATAAGAAAACACACAGGTTAGCTTCATTTTATTTCATTGAAGAAATATTACGTCACTTGTTAGTGCTGCCCTTATTATCCTGCTTTTTTAATTTGCTTCTATTAGCTTGGTCTGTGTGCATGTACCAGAATCTTTCAACCTATTTTTTACATTTTTTTTTTCAACTTGATAATTAGCACAGGGTTCAAAGGCCTATGACAATATAAAAATCTTGTAAAAAGTCGAATTCGGTTGGGACACCCTGTATGATTTAGTTTTAATGTAATTGGGCAGTAATCCCACCTCACTACACCATTATTTGAAGCAACGTTCTTGTTTTCAGCTTGATGAGTCTCATCAGTATGTTGATTACGTGCCAGTTTAACTGTTACTTTTAGATGGATCTAGAAATATCGTTTCGTGAATCACCCTGCGTTCGTGTTTTTTCTTTCCTTTCAGGCGAACAGCCACTGAAGTGCAGCGTTTGTGGCAAATCATTTTCGGATCCGAAGAATCTGAAACAACACATGATGATCCACAGCGGAGATCGACCGTACCGCTGTCTGACATGCGGAAAGGCGTTCAGAAGAAGTCACCATTTGAAAACGCACATGGCTGGTCACCTAAGAAACTTGCAACTTGTAAGATAATTCGTATATTGTTGTCTTTTCATGGTTATACTCAGTTCTCTTGATTCACGAACAGCAACAATGCACTTTCTTGTTTCCTTGGCCTGATACATTTTTTTGCAATACATGGTGTTTCCAACACATGGGGAACTATTTACATATTCTATATAGGTATTTTTGTACGAAATTTCACTATGTACGGTGCATTCTGGTTTTCCATGAAATATTTTTTCGAATTTGTTTTTGATACAGCAGGGAAATACAAGTACAAAATGTACGTGATGATTGTACCACGACTCGTAACACCGAGTCTCTGCACAAGGTGAACAAATCTACGGGGCCTTGGATGACGACGTCTTGGAAAACGATCTGCATACACTCGCGAAGCCTCGGTCGCATTTTGAAGACACTCATCGTAAATTAACAGCATGTCTACTAGTTCGCTATTGGTGTATGAGTGTGCCATTTTTTTTTATTCTTTGAACAGGAATCGGGTACCAATGTAATCGTTTGTTGAGCTACACTACCGGTTAGGTTGCATGCTAGCGTATTTACATCGTAGTCGTACGTCGTATAACTGTACGTCGTGTAAAGGAAAACCTCAACTTTGCGGACACCGTAAAAGTTAGTCAGTTAAATAGAAAACAACTGAAAAATTCGGCAGGCGTTCATGAAATTCCTATAACTATTATTAGGGGTTCATTAGATGTATTAAGCTATATATTTATTCTATATGAAGGCTTGTACCTTTAGTAGTTTAACCTATATGTAGTGTTCGTGGTTACACCATTTATTACAGTTTTTACTAGTTCAGAATGAGCAAAATGTCACTCAGATTATGCAGTTTAATCTAGCGCACATCATCATAATATAGCGTCAAGTCCAGTAAATAGTACGACAACATGTTTTTTAAACTATAATTTTTTGCTTCAGTTTTTTAGGTTCTTTAAAAAATCAGTTCTGAGTGATCCTCCTCTAAAGTCAACTGCTTTCTAGTTGTAAGCAAAAAAACCCTAAATATAATTTAAAAACATGTTAAAAAAAATTATTTTTGAGGTTGTAAGGTGCTCAGTAAAGTTGAGACCTCAAGGAATATGTTAAACTTGAGTTTAATAAAAACTAATTATATATAATAATAAACTTGAACTGAAAAGTATTCAGTTCCAAAGATCGATGTCGTCTGAAAATTTTATGATGAGGAATACTTGCCATTAGCATCATTTTCTTTTCTCCATTTTACTGAATTCCAGAGCATCTCAAGAGCCCTTTGAGTATCGTATTGTTGGTGCATGATGAACCTTCGTAACCAGTCGTCACTGGTTTTCACCCTTGCCAAATCTTTAGGGTGAACAGCTACGAAAAAACGAAATGTTCAATGTTAGACCGGAAATATCCGTTCAGGGGTACATACAACCGCTTCCTTTTGATTGCACATCTTTTAAAAATAAATTTCGGAGTTGTTCTATCTGGTTTTGGGGCACGGACATCGTATACAGCGAAAATCTCAATTAAAACCGCTAAAATTACGCTTAGCTAGATATAAGATAAGCTGATCGACTCGAGGAAAGATTTTATATATATATATATAAATATATATATATATATTTCTCTTTCAATAACCATATTACAACAAATTATAAAAGTACAAAACGATAAAAAAACTGGACGTTGAAAAACGTCAAGCTTGTATTTTCAAGGTTAGGCAAATCCACCATTGCCAGATGGCTAGGACAGGATTTCCCCGGAGCAAAAATAGGGACGATAGGCGAAGGGCAGATCTACAACATACCAAAAAATGACCCTAGTAAAAGTTTCACTGTTTTTGAGATATTAATTTTTTTGTCTCTCTTTTTTTAATCTATATTTTGTTGCTGAGCCTAGAAATAACAGGATATCTGTTTGTTTTTTTATTTGCAAAATATTCTCGGATATTGGTCTGCCATTTCAAGTATCATTTTCGATAAATACAAGTACGCAAACTTGTCAAACTAATTTCTTCTTCGTAATTTTTATTTTATAAAACTATTTTGTTCAACTTTGCTGTTTAGCAATGAAATAAAAATGTAGTAGATTGCAACTGCAAAGTACTGCGATAAATTACCTGCTTAATAAGCAACAAAATATAGATCAAACGAGGAAATTTTTCGAAAAAATTAATATCTCAAAAACAGTGAAACTTTTACTAGAGCGATTTTTTGGTATGTTGTAGATCTGCCCCATTTTTTTGTCGTACTATTTACCGGACTCCTTGTACGAGGCTTAGTTCTTAAACGTAAAATAGTATAAGCTCAAAATAATTTGTCCTGTGAACTGTATAAATCGACTTTATCTGTGATGAAAATTGTTCGTGCAAGTCCAACTAATGTTAAAGTATTTTTAAGATCCATTTGGCTTTAAAATGTTTCTATCTGTGATCAAAATTGAAATATTTATCGGCATACCTGATATGCGTGATTTGAAACGAAAAATGTGTAGTTAATTTTTAATATGTTTATTGTGATTGTCCTGCTTTTATCTGTGATCTAAATTGAAATATATATTTCATGTGAAATGTGTGTGTGTTTCATTTACATCGATCCGAGCCAGAATCTGGAAGCGTATATTTTTTTTGCGGGGCTTATCTTTACATCTGGATATTCGTCGAGTGTTTATATGAAACTACAATATTTAAATACGTGTATTGTGAAGAATTATGTGCGACCGAAAAGGTTATACAGTACTTTGGAGATCTTTCTGTAAAGATTCTACGATCCACAGTTTAAACTTTCTTGTTATGAAAATGAATTACTCACACAGGTAAATATATGTTCATAAAGTGCGGTTATCACATTTTGCACACTCCATCCAGCGACTGGTCTAATATACGAGGGTGGTCCCAGAAGTACCCGACCCAACGAAGTAAACTCAAAAATGTTGTAAAAAAATGTATTTATTTTTCAACATAATCTGCTTTGAGCTCTATACACTTTTCCCAGCGATGTTCAATAAGTTCGATACCCTTCTTATAATAAGAACTGTCTAGCTTCTCAAAATAGCCATTAACTGCCGACATCACTTCTTCATCGTTGGAAAATCTTTGACCACTGAGCCATTTTTTCAAGTTTGGAATCAGATGGGGCCAAATCTGGTGCATAGGGTGCATGAGGTAGCAATTCAAACTTTAGTTCGTTAATTGACGAAACAACACTTTCTTCTTAACCAAATGCGGCCGTTTTTGCTTGATTTCATCGCTAAAACGTTGCATTAAGTTCGCATAATACTCGCCGTTGGTAGTTTTACCTTTTTCAAGATAGTCAATGAAAATTATCCCAAAAAAACCAACGCCATAACCTTGCCTGCAGATGAAACGGTGTTCGCCTTCTTAGGAGCCGGTTGTCCCTTTTGAGTCCATTGTTTTGATTGTTCTTTTGCCTTGGGTGTGAAGTGATGGATCCATGGTTATGAAACGACGCAAAAATTCTGCTTTGTTGCTGTGAAACTTCGCTAAACACTCAATTGAAACATCTTCACGACACTGTTTTTGCTCGATTGTGAACAATCGCGGCACCCATTTTGCACACAGCTTTCTCATGTCCAAATTTTCAGAGAATATGCGATGAACCGTACTTTTTGAAATGCCTACCATGTCTGCTAGCTGGCGCACTTTCAGTCGACGATCATTCAGTACCGCTTTGTGAATTTTCTTCACCATTTCGGGGGTCGTCAACTCGTTTGGTCGACCGCTGCGATGCTCGTCTTGGCAGCTCGTACGGCCTCGTCTAAACTCTGCTACCCAATATTTTACTGTTGTAAACGAAAGAGCAGACTCCAGTTCAGCTTTTATATTGGTTGGGCTGAGGCCTTTGAAATAAAAGTATTGTACCACATAACGATGACCAATTTTCTCCATTTTCACAAATTCAATGAAAACGTTCAGTATTGACGGCTGCCAAACAAATACTAAACAACGTGGCGTCTTCAAATTTGACACATATGCTTTATAGGTTGCATACTTTCTAATACAATGATATTTTTCAAACGACTATCATCTCTAGGTCAGGTCGGGTACTTCTGGGACCACCCTCGTACATGGTGTCCGCAAAGTTGGGGTTTTTCTTTTCAGACACAAATACGCTTGATACAACAAAGCTAATGTGTGGTGAAACGTGTGCGAACAAGTAAACAAAATTAAACAAAAAAGTACTCACTGTTCAGTTGAATTGAAATTCCAAGTACGGTTCTGTCGTAAAATCCGTATTTACATCGTAGTCGTACGTCGTATAACTGTACAAGGACAGGACCGGCTTCGTTTTGGTTCGGTTCTCTTAAGACATTGGTGTATATGTTACTAAGAGAATGTGCTTATAAAACCCCAACTTTGCGGACTCCCCGTATAAAGACAACAGGGCATAAAAAAAAACTAACAACGGGAGAAAGACATGGTCGAAATGTATATTTTTGGTTTCAAGGATTTTTTGGATTGTGTTCAACATTTTCACTATCAGCTCAACAGTAGCTTTCATGGTTCATATGTGGGAAGACTACTTGGAAACCCCTACAATTGTAACTCAATCGAGCTCGAACATTCCAATTCAGAACGTCTACTTTCCAGCGTTAGCAGTTTGCAACATGAATAAGATCAGCAAGAAAAAAGCCGTCGAATACGCACAGGAAATGTAAGTATTACACATGCTTAGAAGTATAGGCAAGAAAAAAAGATACTTTCGGTAAACAGTGCTGACCACTTTCCCTTTTAGACTACGCTTACTTTGGATGCGAATTCGGAAATTTATTCTAGCTAGTTATTACGTAAAAAATTTACTGTAAAAAAAACCGCCTAGTGAACATAGTGACGTCAAAATATCAGCATTTTTAGGGCACTACTGACGTATAGACAAAATCACGAAAGATGAATATTACGTCATACCCTAAATTGTACTGAAGTAATCAGTGGACGTACGTCTATGATAAAAGCACGATGTCAGGAACATAATTCATACATATTATGATTTTGCGAAGTTAGGTTATTTCACTGATTATTTTTATTTTCATTTTATTTCATGGTTTTGAGTGATACCTTAATAATAATTTTAGTGGCGAGTTTTTGTTTTGAAAAAACAGTTACGAGTAGAATACCTTAAGACAGGAACACCAAAGACCAAAGTATTATCCGAAAACAACCTAACCTGCTTTAACATAACCTAACTATTCATCTTTCAAAAATGATCGATCATGCAACACGAAAACATCGTCTATCTTTGTCGGATACATGCAAATTAGCAATACAGTTTGTTTAGACAATAAAATTATGTTTGTCTCTGTCTAACATATCAGAAACTTCATAAAATATATTCACAAATCGCCGTCGTTTGTCTTTACTACAGAATAAAATGATGACGTAGAAATGACGTCATTATGACGATCTAATATAACACCCAACTGACGTCATTATATGACGTGATAGTATGTCGTATAAAAGATCAAATACAAAGTTGACATGACGTGGATAAGACGTCTATCTTAGGTCGATATGACGTCCATGTGACGTCAATATGACGTACAGTAGAAGAAACCAATCACAAATTATCTATTGCATAAGCGTGGTATACAACCATGGTTATCTTATTTCCATTTGGTCTCGACATTTTACTATGTTTATATTCTAGAAACTCTTATAGGAAGCTGGAAAATATCGATTCAATTCTACAGGATCTCGTAAGCTTAGGGCAACTATATACTTCCACAAGTGAATCTGAAGGGAGTTTTATAAGGCTTCAGAAGTGGATGGACAAGTACGATAATTACACAGAAGATTATGATATCAGTCGGAGGCTTTTGCAGGTACAACAGGCCTAAATGTTTTTTGACATAAACATAAATCGCGACTTCCTGACGCTTTTAAAAGTTATACTAGACGAATCATGTTGATCAATCCACTATTTTTCATTTCGAAAATGAGATATTTCGTTTTTTGGATGTTATATGACATGTACAACACGAAAAACCATGTCATTCATTTCCGTCTGTCTTATTTGCCTTTAAAAATATCTCCTTCAATCGGACGTCGATACGTGCGACGTGGTCAACGGGATGGACAAGCGCCGTCGTCGGTGGTCGTTCGTTACAGTCGGCAGCGCTGTTGCCAGGTCAAAAAAATTGAATTCACCAGAAATTGGAAGGGAAAAATCACTAGGGATTTTAAAACGTGATTGTTTTAGCTGTATTACTATTTGTAAACGAAGAAAATGCATTTGTAGTCGCGAAACGCGATTCGGAAATTCAGTAATTGTTGGAGTTTTTGGTAACTGAAAGATTGTGAAAAATATTCAAAATCGACGAAATCAGCAGTGATTGCCATTTTTCATGTTTTTCACTAATCCCCAGATTAATCATGAAATCATCAGTTCTGGTGAAATTTCACCAGACCTGGCAACACTGTACTGTGGGCTGCGTGAACTGTCAGCAGAGCCAGTTGAATCAAACACAGGCACAAAAATCAACCAGATTTGCAACTTAAAAAAACCCAAATCATATTTCGGCAGACGACGTTGGACTAGTTGGTTAACCAACTAATATTTAATCAATAAATTGAGATTATTTTTCAAACCTATAAACTTGTCACACCAACTTGTTTCTTGGTTAACCAACTAATAATTATTTATCAATAAATTGAGATTATTTTTCAAACTTATAAACTTGTCGCACCAACTTGTTTCTTGAACAACGATTGCGCATGAACTTAAAACGATACGCGCATTCACGATTAGGGGAGTGGGAACTCGCAGATCCGTGGATCGGCAATACGAGACCAGTTCTTTATCCCTAAATACACGTGTCAGACAGAGATAGCTAAGTCAACCCTCCAACTTGCAGCTTATTATTCTGCTATTGTTCTGTGCTCTATGACTATACGAGTAGACGCATGTCTACCGATCTACAATTGACATAGAGGTGTAGAGATGGGCCAGCGTAAATTTGTGGAGATGGGTGCGACATGGGAAAAGAAAAAGCTGTAGAAAGTTAGCAGTGGACAGTTTTTCGTAGCTAAAAATGGAATAAAATCCCACAGAACATTTAACCCCCCCAAAAAATCCCCAAGCGACGTAAAAATCCCTAAATTTTTTTGTTATACATACAGAAAGGCTAACTTGTGTCAAACAAATTCATTTTTTTTTGTAGTTAAGCCCATCTTGCGAAGACATGCTCCAATCGTGTAGATGGGCTGATGAGCAGCAAGACTGTTCCAAACTGTTCTCGACAAGGATAACATACGACGGATTTTGCTGCACGTTCAACTATGTGAGACAGTTTACAAATTCCAAAATGTACGTTTTTACGCGCATCCTTAGAATATATAGATATTGCTTTTTATTGAAACATTTTTTAGTTACTCTAATTCCGGACAAAAGATAGAGCCAGGTTCCGAGGAACCAAGAAAACCCATCGGTGCAGGAATGATGAACGGTCTGAGTCTGGCATTAAAAAACGATTTAGACGATTATTTCTTCACCACCTTAGAAACGACAGGATACAAGGTGTTGATATTCAATGCTGCCGACTATCCAGACAAAATAAGCGGTTCCCTGAACGAAATCATAATAGGATTTAATCAGGAAGTTCTCATTGGACTGCAGGTGGACCTTTGCAGAGGATCTTCTTCCTTAGCGCAACTACCCTTAAGCTTGGTTAGTATGCTTTTTCCTAAGCGACCCGTATTCCTGAGTCTCTGCCCAAGGTTAACAAATCTACGGTACCTTGGATGACGACGTCTGGAAAAACGATCTGCATACACTCGCGAAGCCTCGGTCGCATTTTGTCGACACTCACCGTAAATTAACAGCATGTCGACTAGTTCGCTGATGTAGTATGAGCGCCATTTGTTTTTTATTTTTTAAACAGCAATCGGTTGTAATGGTTGGTTGACCTACTCTACTTGTGTCTAGGTTAGGTTGAATACTAGCGTATTTACATAGTAGTCGTACCTCGTATCAAAGGAAAACTTTGCGGACGTCCTGTATAGTCATTATGCTGCCACAAAATAAATTGAAGAAATTATTTTTCTGGGTGTCACTAAGTATATTACCGAATATTTTCTGTTTCAGAGAAGATGTATGTTTAGAGCTGACGGTCGGACAAGTTTCGGTCCGTATTCGCACAGCGACTGTTTGGTAGATTGCAAAACGAAAAGTATTGTTTCATTGTGTCAATGCATTCCTTTTACGGTACCAGTCGAATCGGAAGACGTCAGTGCCTGTTCTTTGATAGATCTGCCATGCCTCGGGAGATACACAGGTCTGACCTCAGAGTTCGCTTAGAATCAACTGCATTTTTCATACAAGGTGGATACATCAACATACGTCTTATAGAAAAATCTACACAATGTCAAAAAACCGTACATAGTGACGTAAGAAATCAATATAATGTCACTTTTTAAATTACCTAATATGTCTGCCGAATTGTAAACAGCGGGCAATTGTACGTTCCTTGTCCATGACCTTGACAATGACCTTCAAGACTTCTGATGACTGAGGATTTAGCGGGACATGAAATTACTATCCTTGAAGCAATAATTGGAATGTTTCGTAAAAATTCACCTCACTTAGAAATGACCTTGAAGATAATAGACAAAGTCACGGTTAAGTACAAGATTTACCTTTGAAAAAGGAGTTTCTCTAACTATTTTCCGGGCTAGCCGTCATTTCTAGCACTGTATCGATATCGAATTTGGAATCTGCGCATCCGATTCACCCAGAAAACAAGTTTCCATCTGGATCATAGACGCGCAACAGTTTTTTTTTAATTTTTTATTAGTCGTTTATTGACAAAGTTTTCGGACTGAATGGTCCATGGATTCGGTTTCAGGGACCCAAAAAGCGTATCGCCAAACGTTCATCATTTGGATCTTCCGCTACGCCAATGGGCTTTGCCCCTCAGAGTTCACGTTCAAGGTCAACATCACTTTGATCCTTTCCAACCCTTCCAACTTTGTTCTACAACACCTTTCTATAGGAAACGCCGTAATTTTCGAAATATTTTGATGTATCCATAGTTGTGAACTATAAGTGCATTTGTTCTTAACAGAAAAGTACATTTTTACATTTTACACTCATGCATTTTTTTAGGGAAATGGTCTAAGTATTACCCAAAAGACTTGGAAGATGAGGAATTGCTGGTACAAGAAAAATACGACTCGTTATCTTGCGAACATTGCTTACCATCATGTAGCCATACTGTGTATAAACCGTTCACAAGCATTGCAAACGTACTAGACAAGTAATCCTTGATAAATATCAAAATATATAATTTTAAGAGCTTTTTTACAGGCAGAATATAACATACGTTCATATTTTCTTCGACGAGAGTTTCTCAAACATCTACAAAATCAACTTGTTTCAGACATGGTTTGAAATATTGAGTAAGTATTAGTATATCCCACTTCTGAATACTCAAAGACTCTTTCAATGTTATAACGCCAGGAAATCCATTCAGATGTTGCGTTTCTACCAAATGCTTTAGGCAGACATTTATTCTGATAAAACTATCATTTTTTGTTTTCTTTACAGGTAATTTTGGAGGAATTTTATCTTTACTCCTAGGAGTAAGTGTAATCAGCGCCATCGAGGTGATATTCTTTATTGTTAGACTAGTCTTCTTATATTTGGCAGATATTTTTGGACAAACAACGATTTACAATACAAAAGTATTCAAACATAGAATGTTAAAACGTTGAGTTTCAAGTCATCTATTAGATCTTTCCAAATTTGTAAGAGATATTCAATGGATTTAAACAGAATTTTCTGCTATTAATAAATGATCATTATTATTGCTTGTTTTTTCGTGACATACATCATTTTAAATTTTTTTCTCGATGACAGCACTTCCTACCAGAGCTTTTTTACAGGCAGAATATAACGTACGTTCATATTTTCTTCGACGAGAGTTTCTCAAACATCTACAAAATCAACTTGTTTCAGACATGGTTTGAAATATTGAGTAAGTATTAGTATATCCCACTTCTGAATACACAAAGCCTCTTTCAATGTTATAACATGTTTGAGAGACGCCAGAAAATCCATTCAGATGTTGCGTTTCTACCAAATGTTTTAGGCAAACATTTATTCTGATAAAACTATCATTTTTTTGTTTTCTTTACAGGTAATTTTGGAGGAATTTTATCTTTACTCCTAGGAGTAAGTGTAATCAGCGCTATCGAGGTGATATTATTTATTGTTAGACTAGTCTTCTTATATTTGTCTGACATTTTTGGACAAACAACGATTAGTAGAAAAGTATTCAAACATAGAATGTCAAAACGTTGAGTTTCATTTCATCTATTAGATCTTTCCAAATTTTTAAGAGATATTCAATGGATTTAAACAGAATTTTCGGCGATTAATAAATGATCATTATTATTGCTTGTTTTTTCGTGACATACATCATTTTAAATTTTTTTCTCGATGACAGCACTTCCTACCAGAGCTTTTTTACAGGCAGAATATAACGTATGTTCATATTTTCTTCGACGAGAGTTTCTCAAACATCTACAAAATCAACTTGTTTCAGACATGGTTTGAAATATTGAGTAAGTATTAGTATATCCCACTTCTGAATACGCAAAGACTGTTTCAATGTTATAACATGTTTGAGAGACGCCAGGAAATCCATTCAGACGTTGCGTTTCTGCCAAATGCTTTAGGCAAACATTTATTCTGATAAAACTATCATTTTTTTGTTTTCTTTACAGGTAATTTTGGAGAAATTTTATCTTTACTCCTAGGAGTAAGTGTAATCAGCGCTATCGAGGTGATATTCTTTATTGTTAGACTAGTCTTCTTATATTTGTCTGACATTTTTGGACAAACAACGATTAGTAGAAAAGTATTCAAACATAGAATGTCAAAACGTTGAGTTTCATTTTATCTATTAGATCTTTCCAAATTTGTAAGAGATATTCAATGGATTTAAACAGAATTTTCTGCGATTAATAAATGATCATTATTATTGCTTGTTTTTTCGTGACATACATCATTTTAAATTTTTTTCTCGATGACAGCACTTCCTACCAGAGCTTTTTTACAGGCAGAATATAACATACGTTCATATTTTCTTCGACGAGAGTTTCTCAAACATCTACAAAATCAACTTGTTTCAGACATGGTTTGAAATATTGAGTAAGTATTAGTATATCCCACTTCTGAATACACAAAGACACTTTCAATGTTATAACATGTTTGAGAGACGCCAGAAAATCCATTCAGATGTTGCGTTTCTACCAAATGCTTTAGGCAAACATTTATTCTGATAAAACTATCATTTTTTTGTTTTCTTTACAGGTAATTTTGGAGGAATTTTATCTTTACTCCTAGGAGTAAGTGTAATCAGCGCTATCGAGGTGATATTCTTTATTGTTAGACTAGTCTTCTTATATTTGTCTGACATTTTTGGACAAACAACGATTAGTAGAAAAGTATTCAAACATAGAATGTCAAAACGTTGAGTTTCATTTCATCTATTAGATCTTTCCAAATTTGTAAGAGATATTGAATGGATTTAAACAGAATTTTCTGCGATTAATAAATGATCATTATTATTGCTTGTTTTTTCGTGACATACATCATTTTAAATTTTTTTCTCGATGACAGCATTTTCTACCACAGCTTTTTTACAGGCAGAATATAACATACGTTCATATTTTCTTCGACGAGAGTTTCTCAAACATCTACAAAATCAACTTGTTTCAGACATGGTTTGAAATATTGAGTAAGTATTAGTATATCCCACTTCTGAATACACAAAGACTCTTTCAATGTTATAACATGTTTGAGAGACGCCAGAAAATCCATTCAGATGTTGCGTTTCTACCAAATGTTTTAGGCAAACATTTATTCTGATAAAACTATCATTTTTTTGTTTTCTTTACAGGTAATTTTGGAGGAATTTTATCTTTACTCCTAGGAGTAAGTGTAATCAGCGCCATCGAGGTGATATTCTTTATTGTTAGACTAGTCTTCTTATATTTGTCTGACATTTTTGGACAAACAACGATTAGTAGAAAAGTATTCAAACATAGAATGTCAAAACGTTGAGTTTTATTTCATCTATTAGATCTTTCCAAATTTGTAAGAGATATTCAATGGATTTAAACAGAATTTTCTGCGATTAATAAATGATCATTATTATTGTTTGTTTTTTCGTGACATACATCATTTTAAATTTTTTTCTCGATGACAGCACTTCCTACCAGAGCTTTTTTACAGGCAGAATATAATATACGTTCATATTTTCTTCGACGAGAGTTTCTCAAACATCTACAAAATCAACTTGTTTCAGACATGGTTTGAAATATTGAGTAAGTATTAGTATATCCCACTTCTGAATACACAAAGACTCTTTCAATGTTATAACATGTTTGAGAGACGCCAGAAAATCCATTCAGATGTTGCGTTTCTACCAAATGTTTTAGGTAAACATTTATTCTGATAAAACTATCATTTTTTTGTTTTCTTTACAGGTAATTTTGGAGGAATTTTATCTTTACTCCTAGGAGTAAGTGTAATCAGCGCTATCGAGGTGATATTCTTTATTGTTAGACTAGTCTTCTTATATTTGTCTGACATTTTTGGACAAACAACGATTAGTAGAAAAGTATTCAAACATAGAATGTCAAAACGTTGAGTTTCATTTCATCTATTAGATATTTCCAAATTTGTAAGAGATATTCAATGGATTTAAACAGAATTTTCTGCGATTAATAAATGATCATTATTATTGCTTGTTTTTTCGTGACATACATCATTTTAAATTTTTTTCTCGATGACAGCACTTCCTACCAGAGCTTTTTTACAGGCAGAATATAACATACGTTCATATTTTCTTCGACGAGAGTTTCTCAAACATCTACAAAATCAACTTGTTTCAGACATGGTTTGAAAAATTGAGTAAGTATTAGTATATCCCACTTCTGAATACACAAAGACTCTTTCAATGTTATAACATGTTTGAGAGACGCCAGAAAATCCATTCAGATGTTGCGTTTCTACCAAATGTTTTAGGCAAACATTTATTCTGATAAAACTATCATTTTTTTGTTTTCTTTACAGGTAATTTTGGAGGAATTTTATCTTTACTCCTAGGAGTAAGTGTAATCAGCGCTATCGAGGTGATATTCTTTATTGTTAGACTAGTCTTCTTATATTTGACAGACATTTTTGGACAAACAACGATTTACAATACAAAAGTATTCAAACATAGAATGTTAAAACGTTGAGTTTCATTTCATCTATTAGATATTCCTAAATTTGTAAGAGATATTCAATGGATTTAAACAGAATTTTCTGCTATTAATAAATGATCATTATTATTGCTTGTTTTTTCGTGACATCATTTTAAATTTTTTTCTCGATGACAGCACTTCCTACCAGTACGTCGTCGTGAGGAGTAACATCGACGAATTTGATATAACTTATTTTATTTAATATCACAATACAATTTTTACATATAAAAGTTTCATCGTCATCAAAAAGTAGATATTTCCGTTGTCTTCATCTCTCGGTATATATTTTCTTTGATAGCCTCCACCATTTCAGCTCCCGTGTGTGTCCCGCCAATATCTGGAGTATGAATTTTGTCGTAGACTAAAGTATTGTAGACTGCGTTACGGATAATAGATGCGTGAGCATCTTTCTTCAAATATGTCAGCATGTCTATACCTGCGTTGATCATCGCCACCGGATTCACGTATTTCTCGTCTGGAACAGGAATTTACTTCTCGTTACTAGAACACCAATTTGATACAGCTTGAAAAAATCAAATCAACAATAGCAATAAGTTTATCTCCAATAGGCAGATACACACAATTTCAGAAAAAATAAATAAACATTGATAAAGCACAGCAAACCACATTGATAAGAATTAATACAATAACAATTTCATCAAGTTTTACGACACGAGATTATTGTCATTAAATACGCCGCAGTTACTAATACTATTGAATAGTACAAATATAAGCTCTTTGTAATTAAAAACTATTATTTATTTTTCATTTTTCAATTCGATTTATCAATTTTTTTTATTCATATTCGTTATTTGTATTTTAATCAATAAGACTTTATAATTACAAATTCTTTGATCGTATTAAATTCCTTCTTTATCGACTGTAAATTCAATGCCCCACGGTACCGAATGGGTGTTTAGGCCTTAGGCCTTCGTGGTAGTTGGAGTATAAAAAAAAATGCTTTGCTGTCAACCAAATTGTTTTCCGTAAAATAAATATATTCAAATTTATGTTCTGTACATATTGTTGTAAATAAGAAGCCTTTTGTGAATCACGTTTAACATATAATATATTATATGAATATTATACAACAAAGGGCGCTAACTCTATGAAAATGTAATATCAAATTGTTATATTTATGAATCGTCAGCGGAAAATAAATGACGACATTTGATCTCAAACGATAAATCATCAATAAAGATTAAAAATAATAAGGGTCCCAAGTAAGAGCCCTGTGGAACTCCTGAAGTAGCTGTGTATTTATGTTAAAGGCTTTCTGTATATCTGTATAGATTATGTCAATCAGACCATGCTGATCCAGAGTCTCGGCAATAAATTGGTTAAAATAAGCTAAATTGAAAGTCCTAGATCGCTCAGAAACAAACCCACGTTGAAATTCAGAGATATGGGGCTTGCAAAAGTTATAAGCAATTATCTCCAATAATTTGTCAAAAACAAGGTTAAAATCCCCTTACCTGCAAACGATATATGTCGCGAAGCAACTTCAAACACGGCACTGGAGTCGCCATAATTCCTTCCGGACATGAGACCAGGTCCTCCGATCAATCCACATATAATACTAGTTATGATATTTCCGTATAGGTTGGGGGTGAGAATCACGTCGAAACTGTGAGGCTTGGAGACCAATTGCATGCAACAGTTGTCGACGATAAGATCGTTCACTTCGATTTCGGGATAGTCTTTCGCTACGTCTAATACTGTTTTCAGGAACAGACCGTCGGATAGCTTCCTGCAAACAAAAATAAACGAATAATAGTTTTAGGGCCAACTTCACCAACATTAATAATGAAAATGAGAGAAATAATATGTCGATTTTCTATCTATTATATTTGGTAGGATGTTTTCACTGTTTTTGACGACTGTTCATGCATGGCAATCTAGTTTTGTCTGTACATCACGTACAGGGTATTTGTACATAATATGTACATGTAGAAATGTACAGATTTTTGTTCTTTTGCAGAAAAAGGATATAAAACGTATTCCAACTGGTTCATCATCTTTTTACATCAAAAACGATTTTTACAAATTTATGATCTAGAAATCCACGCCAAATGTAAACAAACAGCACATTCTGCATTATTCATCGTCTAGATATTATAAGTCAGAATCAAAAATACCTATTTATGAAAATATATCCCCATACGTTGTTATATTTTCTTGTTATTTCTATTATTATAACACGTCTGGGATATCAATTGCTTTTGAAGTGATCTGCACATCTGCAGTGTTGCCGAACCGGCAAAAAAAACGTAATCGGTAAGTAGGTGCTTTTTGGCTATCTGCAAGAGGTTCATATGAAAAAACACACGGTAGGTGATGTTGAGTCAGTAAAATCGCATATCAATTGAAGAAAATAATATAAACATCAGTAAACAATCGACAATATTGAATAAAAACATGAATTTTATTCAAAAATCGAAATTTTTTTTAAATTTTGACCAAATTATATGTAATTTCTTAATATTCAATAAGCTGGTGATGTTTCAATGACAAGCTGTCATCTCATACTTTGACAGTATTTTGTTTTCAACATTTCATAGCTATTGCTTGCTAAAATTTGTTGATTGGAACTTGAAGCTCATTCGCTGATATATCTATTAAATTACAATCATTCTATTGGCAACTATCTATGAGATACGCCAGTTGGCGTAGAAAGTAAAATGAAATAAAATGACATCTTTCTTACATAATATTCGCCTTATGTACGACAGTGACTTTTTTCCTGCACTCATTCATCGCGAATTCGAATGCCCATCTCGCGAACCTCTCCGTATTCTCTCTGGTGATGATCTTGAGACTCTCCACGATGCCCGGCTTCGACTCGTGCTCTAACATGGCGTACTCTCCTTCCGTATTCTGTCTGAACACCACGATGTCCAGACCCGGCACTCTGCATCTTATGTTGGGATAGCTTTTGCAGTGGACGAGATATACGTAGAGATCCAGATGGGAACGCAACGTTACGTTTGCCGAGGTGTCTGCTAACTGGGGAATATGACCCTGGAAACATGATGATTTGATGTGGAGTGTATTCAAGTAAGGAGGGGTTGAGAATATTCGTATGTCCTCCGAGAAATTGGATCGGTTAACGTTGACCACCTCGCAATGTTTGTCAACGGTGCCCTTCTTCAAGGACAATTGACACTTTCCTGTTCGGGGGTGATAGATTAGGTCAAAAACAACCGATTTCGTCCTATAATGTCCTATCCAGAAGTTAACCGTTTTTGAGTTATTCGAATTTTATTTTTTATTCCGATTTCGTCGAGCCGATGCCATAAAACAATCATGGCATGCGGGTCCTTTGAGGACAGTAACGACTTGTTCAAACAGGTAATACAAGTTCCTTAAAAATCCAGCCTCCGTGGGTGTCATTGTTGTTTCTCTGCATGTACTTCAGATAATTGAACGCTTAATACCTCAAATGAAAGCTTGTTAGATATAGATATTATTCACATAACTTGACCTAATCTATCACCACTTAACAGGAATACGTGACATTACAAGTAACCATGTATATAAAGCTTCCGTTTTTTGTTGGGTACTTCGACAAAATTCAAGCAAAGAGGACTATTTATACTTTATTAATCTCTAGCTTTCAATGGACTTTGCCATCTTCATCAGGAGCTGCAATAACATTGAGAAGAAATCGCAACTATTGTGCAATACAGAAAAAGTACTGCTTATCAAGTAAGCAAGATATGACCAAGAAAGCCTGTACAAAAAAAAAACACGGCTCGCAATGGCTTCACCATTTTATCAGCGCATACTTCCTTAATAGCAAATATGTTTACAAATTTTTATCAAAATTCAATAAATAATTCTGGGTGTTGCATTTTTTATCTCACTTAGTATGAAATAGCATTATGATGGATATTTACAACCTTACTTGATATTTTTACGCATACCTTAATTCCTACGCCATTACGAATCATGGAAGATAGAGCAAATTTTATCTGATCTTCTTTTTCGATGTTGATATCGATGATCTCAAAGTCTATAGGGACATAGGCCGCCTTGAATACATCTGTCACATACTCCATCATTTTTGGACCGGAGCCTATACCTATAAACAAATATGAAGAGCTAGAAAACGATAAAAAAAAACATCGCAGAACGCGGTATGTACCGCAACAATATTGAAATATCGCTAAATTTTATAAATATTGTTGCTGTAGCGACGTGCCAGTGACGACGCCGCCGCAGACCGTTTGGAGTTGTCGTGTATGGCCTCCTTGATTGTCATACTCTTTTCTCTCCTTCAAAAATATCTAGATTACACTCTTCCCGTGTCAGCGTCAGCGCTCTCCTATTGTCAAGATATGTTTTCATTTTAAATTGTAGGAAATTTCATGCTGATAAAACATGACATAACTCAAAAGCAAGCACAATTTGATGTGTGACATAACCTCAAAATAGAGCGTTGACACGGAGAAATATAAAACTATGACAATCAAGGAGGCCATAAACGCGCCCTACAATAATAAATTGTAGGGACGACTGACGATACGGGCCTAAGCAGCATTAATAAGCTTAGATTACCTGGAAGCATAGTGACTATATGTCTTCCCCCATACGTAGGAACCGGATGTACTCTCTTCGCAGGTCTTACTTTAGTTTTTCTTAGACCGGCAAAAATATCTGCTGCTGTACTTAGGCTTCTTGACACGTAAAATTTTGACACAACTCTAAGCATGGCTTCTCGGATGTTTCCAAACCGAAATGTTATCGTGAATGTCTGCGGTAAATGACATCGTACCTGGCTTCGCGACACCGAGACTGCATGATATTATGTCATGCACTTTATCAGGTTTATCAATATTGTGAGAGGTCTTTAAAGGAATTATCTGAAGTGTGTATTTTAAGCAAATATAGTAAATGAACCGAGTCGAACAGGAATTCGGTGCCACTGTGTATGTAATCTTAGACAGTAACGTTATTAATTTGTATTGTTGTGTTTAACGACCATCGTAAACTCGTTAAATAGTCGTAAAATAATTAAGGATTTAGGCTGGTGTCGCTTAGCTTACATATACAGGGCGTTTATTAAATGTGTATCATGAATTCTTATTGTCAGTAATTTTAAGACAAAAAGTTCATGTAAGCATAGGCTGCAAGTTCTTCGTTCTCAAGATGAAATGTGTTTTTTTTTGTAAATATTATTTAACTAATTTTGTTGTAATTTTGCGTTGATATTTGGGTGTTTCTCAGCAAATTTCGAAATTCATGTCCTGAGCTATTGATGTTAAATTTCATGGATTTATCATCAATTTTACATTTTTATTATATCAATAAGTATCTACACTAATATTTTGAAAGGAAAAATTTGGATAATATGTTGACACAAAGAAAATACTATTAATTTATTAGTCTAAAAGTCGTTCCCTCGTCTCGACCCTAGGTCAAAAATTAATAACAAAAAAATATGTACAATCAAATCTGTTCATATGCTTATAAATTTAATATTACCAAAATATTGGGTAATAAGTATGGATTGTATACAGGGTGTTTCAGTTTATTGTTGCATAACTTTAAGATTCGATAGAACTTTCAAAATTAATGCATGCCGTTTTTGAGATATTTCGATTTTTAAGGTTCGATGCATTTTTAATTATTTATGATAAAATAACGTTAAAAAGATAATTTTTAGAAGTAGGCTGTGCCTGCAAATATTTTTGAAATTGAAAGCAGAATAAGGTTAAACGTCAATTAGTTGACAGTTAGTTTTGTTGGCTGTTGAAACCTGAAACGTTTTTTTGCAATTGTGAATGCACAAAATTTAGTTTCTTTTACCTGTTTTTTTGTAAGTTTTATAAAAATGCCATTTTGATTCTCCAATCAAGAGTTAGCGGATATTCATTTTGTGTATGGCTTTGTAAATGGAAACGCAGCAGAAGCAGCCAGAGAATACGCACGAAGATTTCCAAACAGACGACATCCAACTCGCTCAGTATTTGTAAGAGTGCATCGCGAAATAATTGAAAATGGTTTTGGAAATCTCCAAAGGGATCAAAACATAAATGTTCGTCAGCACAGATTTACCCGTATGATTCTGCGTGAGTTTGATAGAGATCCGACCACAAGTGTTAGGAGAGTTTCTGGTGCCTTGGGAATTTCAGCAAGCCATGTTCACCGTGTTCTTAGAAATGACCATAGACGTCCTTACCATTTGCAACCTGTGCAAGGACTACAGCCAGGGGACGGAGAACGAAGAATCACATTTTGTCAGTGGATTCTTGATAGAACTGATAATAATAGGGAGTTTTTAAGTAACGTTTTATGGACCGATGAGTCATGCTTCACTAGACGTGGAGTGGTAAATTTTCATAATCAACACATTTGGACGCATGAAAATCCGCATGCAGTTCGGGAAAGAAATTTTCAGCATGAATTTAATGTGAACGTGTGGATTGGTATCTACCGTAATCGACTATTTGGACCCTACCTTTTGCCTGCAGGGTTAAATGCTGCCACCTTCTTGGAATTTTTAAAGGCTGAACATGCAAATATGTGGGATGATGTTATGTGAGATTTAAGAAGATTGGCCTGGTTCCAGCTTGATGGTTGTCCAGCTCATTATTCGAGAATAGTTAGAAACTGGCTGGACGAAAATTATCCAGAAAGATGGATCGGCCGTGGAGGACCAGTCGCCTGGCCTCCACGATCCCCTGACCTAAATCCATTAGATTTCTTTGTGTGGGGATTTCTAAAAGAAAAAGTGTACCAGACTCCCGTAACCACAAGAGATATGCTAATAGTCAGAATCAGGAATGCATGTGATGAAATAAGGCCTTATTTGAATAATGCTATACCACGTTCGATCATTCGTAGATTGGGTATTGAACAATTGGGTTTACATTTCGAGCAACTACTTTAGATTTTGTATGTTTGTCCTAACTATCCAATAGCATTTAAATTGTAAATAATTAATTTAATTTGTTAAAAATAATATTGGAAATTTAAACAAATTAATATTCTGTTTTTTGTGTTCATTTGGAGTTAGAAATTATTGCTGTGTTTAAAAACACAATCTAAACGATCATCTTAATTACTTGTAATGCCCAAATCGAAAATGTAAAAAATATATTATTTTCCCATAAATAATTAAAAATGAATCGAACCTTAAAAATCGAAATATCTCAAAAACGGCTAACTATAACGAAAACTCACAGGGGAGCTTTTTTATGCAGAAAAGAGCGAAGAATCAGTTTTTCTATTCAAAAAATAAAAAAATGCACCAAGAAACATTTTTCGGTCATTTTAATACACTACAGGTACAGTAGAGAGCGCCCTCTAGCGGCTACAGTAAAACTATGCCCATGGTTCGTTTTGTCGTACCAAAAAACCCTTGTATACCAATTTTTACTGTTATACATCAAATATTGTTCGAAATATTTAAAAACAACTATTTTAAAAAGTAAATTTAAACACCCTGTATTTCGGAAGCCACGCATTTTTCGACCCATGTTTATATAGACTTTATGCATTAATTTTGAAAGTTCTATCGAATCTTAAAGTTATGCAACAATAAACTGAAACACCCTGTATAGTCAAGCTCTCATTGCTAAAAAATAAATGTGCATATAAAAAATCTATTTAAACATTACGTCCCTTGAAATGAAATCATTCCCTCACCCATTATAAATATTCGATTTCTGGTTACACCGTTTGATATTTCTGAAGGCAGCTGTTATGTTTCTAAAACTTGGCAATACTGCTAATAATGTCAACGTGGCGAAATTTCGTAATAGCGAAAATCGTTGCTGCAAAGGGGTATTGGACTTCAATAATTAGAACATTGCATTTCTCTGTGTTATTACCTCACTGTTTATATTAAAAGGTAAGTCATTATATTGTTCGAATGTTTTAATAATTTTTTTCTTGTTTTGGGGAGTAGAATGCATTCACAAAATGCTAAATCAATTTGAGGTGATGTACTGTGCGTTACGGTGTCGTTTATGCAAATCCGTCATTCTTTCAAGGTCATTCCTTCACTATATTAGAAAGTGAGGAAATGAGAATTATATGAGGGAATGATTTTTGTATATATAAAATTGTGGTTTGGGTGTTATTGTTTAACTCTAGGTTGTACAGCTTGTGTTTTCAATTTTAACATATATCCGTATACCAAGAATGGGGAAAATGAAGTTAAGTGAAGAAGAAAAGAAATTAAAAAAGGATGAGTACGACAGAAAGAGGCGAGAACAACTGAAAAGTAATGCTGAGTCTTTAGAAGCTTCGCGTAAAAAAGAAAGATTAAAGTATTTAAAGAAGAACAGTAAAAGTCAAGTTAAGTCAATAAGTTCTGAGTGCAAGAGAAGCTAGTCAAAAAGTAAAACAACGGAAAAAGAATAGTAAATATTTACAGCCCAAAGCAGAGAATTTATCTGCTCTCAATAGACGTAGAATGCGCAAGCGTCAAGCTATTCTGTACGCGAAGATTAAAAGTTTTGAAAATAAAGTAGGGAACTTAGTCAAGCTTAGTGAAAAATATACTAAGTGACATATAAATCCGAACACCCAGTTTAAATGGTTTTATTTTAATAAAAGTTGGTGAATGTATTTATCGTACTGTAAATAACAAGTGAAAAAATTTTCAGGCTTATCAGTTGGACATTCCGGTTTTTATACTGCTTTTTTTAATTCACTAACGCTCTAAAAATGAATATTTCAGCCGCAGTAAAGAATCAACGTTGGCGGATTTTGGTTATTGACATCCTTTACGATCGGTTACGATGCCTAGAGTACGGAGACCTGTTCGATTTCGTCAACTTAGTGAGTTTGATAGGGGCCGTATAGTGGAACTTCGGGAAGCTGGACTTTCTTTTCGGGCAATTGCAGTTAGAGTGCAAAGAAGTGTAGACACTGTGGTTAGGTGTTGTCAGGCATGGCTTCGAGAAGGCCGTACGCAAAGAGCAAGGGGCACTGGACGCCGCCGTAGAACAACAGACCGTGAAGATCGCCGCCTAAGATTATTGGCCTTAAGGGACCGTTTCTCCACTACCAGGTCCATTGCAAATGAATGGTTTGCAGAACACGGAAGACCTATTGGCGTGCGAAGCGTTTACTGACGAATGAGAAGTTTTGGCTTGTTTTCATACCGGCCACACTGGGTCCTCCCTTTAACTCGAGAACACCGACGTAATCGCCTTGAGTGGTACAGACGACGGTCACTCTGGTATCAGGAATGGAACAGTATTGTCTTTAGTGACGAGTCTCGATTTTGTTTAGGCATGCACGATGGTCGTGTCAGGGTTAGAAGGCGACGTGATGAAAGGAGGAATCCACAGTTTTTTGTTGAAAGACATGTTCACCACACTGTTGGAGTTATGGTTTGGGGTGCTATAGCTTATGGTTCCAGGTCACCTTTAATCTTCATCAGAGGTAACATGAACGCGCAGCGTTATATCCACGAAGTTCTAGAACCCCATCTTTTACCCTATCTTGACACCCTGGCAGATCCAACTTTCCAACAAGATAATGCCAGACCACATGTTGCAAGAGTCACAATAGACTTCTTTCAACATAATGATGTCACATTGTTACCATGGCCACCAAGATCTCCCGACTTATCCCGAATTGAGCACGTGTGGGATATGTACGTCCTCCTCAGACTCTAGAAGCACTTCGAGAGGAGTTGGTGGTTGCCTGGAATGAGATACCACAGGAGGACATTGACCACCTGATCAGAAGCATGCCTAGGCGCGTTGGAGAATGCGTAGCACATCAGGGTGCATCCACACATTATTAAAGGCCAAAGGGCTTTAAAGCAGTGCAATCATTTTGAAATTTTTATCATGTACTTATTATGCTTCATTAAGTACTTATACAAAATTTTATCAAAATAAAACCATTTAAACTGGGTGTTCGGATTTATATGTCACTTAGTATATTTGCTTAATCCAAAGACCATAACAAAAATTGTACAAAAAGTCAGCCACGTACATTTTTTGTCACAAATATTACTAATTTAATGACTATTATGTCTCTGCACAATTTTCGAACTTGTTTCTCGCGTGTCCTTGATCTCACAAATACGCATGAACTTTACCAGGATCGTACCTAGCTGTTGAAGTGTGTATGCTAGCAGTGACTTTCTCAGCATACTCGTACCAAGCGTCACGCGGACCTTTCACAGGGTGCCTCACATTCAGAAAAGTATCTAGAATATTATGTACGAGGTTTGTTCCAGTATCGCAAATTTTAAATTTTCAGTTTTTGACAGCAACTGCGCGTGGACGTGTTTTAGCTTGTCTCCGATTTTTGTCTATTCCAAAAAATGGATCAAGGAATTTGTAATAAATTTTGTGTAAGGTTGTATAAGGGCTGCAGATGACAGTTATACAACAAAAGTGTAAGCCCCTTGCAGCCGCTATAGGACATTTGCGTCAGTGCAAGATTCAGTTTTTGTCAACTATTCAACTATTCTGTTACGTGATTCTACTTTATTGCAACCAAACGATTTCTTATGTACGTATACTGTTTGAACGAAGTGAAGAATATATAACTAACACATTACAGTCATCTTGTTTACTTACATATCGGCCATTGTGAATTTCATACACAGGTATATGATAAAACTTCTAAACTGTGATACAGGGCTATTGAATTGCTTGCGCAGCAAATTTTATTATGATTATCGTGCACAGTAGTTACGCAATTTCTACGGGCTTCTTATTTGATTCATATTTTGACAATGATCAAAAGTATGTCTAGATTTTTAAGATGGAAAACTGAACTTATCTGCGTTAAATCTTCCACAAATCCTATATTTAGACACAATTGCACTAATGTTTATCACTCTATATCTGTAATTTCGAACTGAAACATAATTATTTAATATTAAATAGAGGAATAAATGTTTGCCCAATATGGCGGGTGGTTGTGTACAATTATGGCATCGTCCATGTTGTCTTTAGGTTATTAGAATATTTTGGTGTTGCCTGCAGGTGTTATACAACAATATAACAGATGCCTGAAATGAAATACGGGCAGAGTCGAATGATTTACCCAGAATTTGTACCAGATCTATATCTTCTGTTTGAACAGTTGATAAAACCTTTTGAACCGATATGCATGCGTTGTTTGTCTTAAAACATTGGTTATGGCATGTTAACAAAAATATGACAGCAGTAAGTTAGGTTATGGTGAAGTTGTTTACCAACATATTTAGCATATGTAACAGTTGTATAAGTGCTTCCATTGGGAGCAATTTGTTGGTTAATGTAGTAAATTGTACAGCAAAGCAACAAGGCTCGGGTTTGTTTTATAAACGTTAGCATGGGTGCCACAACACCACCATTTTGACTAACTTGCAAATATGCCGTATAAAATAGTTGTATAAACAGTTAAAAATTTGCCCTATAAGGTGTTGTATAACTATGCTATAAGAACATTTTAAACACCTCATTTTAGATCAAATATGTTGCAGAAAGCAAATTTGCATTCCACGCAACATTAAGCCAGCATTTTGGTGTTCAGGCAACAACAATAGAGAGCTTTTATGGCTGAACGGTTCTTTTACCAAAAGCTTATACCACTACTTTGCTAGTTAGGATGATTCTTCAAAATGCTTCGAGGATTGGAAAAAACCTTATCACAAGTGTATAATGTCTGATGGGGATTACTTTGAAGGGGATAAAATAGATATTCATGAACAAATAAATAATTCTTAAAAAACAAAACAAACCTCGTATGCATAGACAACAGTTCCCCCCCAAAAAAGTGCTAGAGCCGCCTCTGGACGGATTGACACCTTACTGCGGGACGCCCTGCACGTTTAAAGCTTACCTGGGAGCATGGTGACTATATGCCTCCCACCGTAAGTGGGAATGGGCAAGATGCTCTTCTCGGGTCTTGCTTTGATCCTCGTTTGCCCGGCGAAAATGTCCGCAGCAGTGGCGAATCCTCGACGTCCTCTGCTCGAGCACAAGTTCGAAAAAACCGCGTTCATGTTCGCACACGAAACGAAAAGCGATCACGGACGTCTTTGATCTGACATTTTAGTGTTGTTTTGCATGTATTCGCTTTATCTTTGTTTTGAAAAAAACAAAACTATCTGTGATACTGCAATCGTGCAGATTGTCTATCATGAATCGGAATGAGTTGATATCGAGTTGGTATCAATCGCACAACTGGCTTTTATTGAATTTTATTGATGACAGCAAATCAAAAGTAAAATTATTATATTAGATGCATACGATCGGACATTGACCTAACATTCACACGGGACCTTATACAGGGTGTCCCAATATTCCGTGGATATAGAAATGTCACGGAATATGTGTTCCAAAATATCAGAGAAAATGTGTTTTGAAAAGAAGCACTTTTGCATACAGGTGAATCAGGTAAAACCGACTTCATTTTGAGTTTCAAAATACGTGGTACTCGTACGACCACGGAATACTGCGACACCCTGTATGATGCGATCATCCACGTATTCAATGGTAATTTGTTGAGTATTGCATCAGACTATCGGTATATACAAATTTTAATACGAGGGTCGATTCGAAAGTATGTTACAGGCTCTTTACTTCCCACGGCTACTGGCGGAGTAGTATTGTAATCGCGGAAATTTTCGAGAATGGGTTATTATATACTAAGTCACATATACATCCGAACACCCAGTTTAAATGGTTTTATTTTAATAAAATTTTGTATAAGTACTTAATGAAGCATAATAAGTAAATGATAAAAATTTCAAAATGATTGCACTGCTTTAAAGCCCTTTGAACTTTAATAATGTGTGGATGCACCCTGATGTGCTACGCATTCTCCAACGCGTCTAGACATGCTTCTGATCAGGTGGTCAATGTCTTCCTGTGGTATCTCATTCCAGGCAACCACCAACTCCTCTCGAAGTGCTTCTACAGTCTGAGGAGGCAAATTGAGCAATCTTCTTCATATCCCACACGTGCTCAATTGGGGATAAGTCGGGAGATCTTGGTGGCCATGGTAACAATGTGACATCATTATGTTGAAAGAAGTCTATTGTGACTCTTGCAACATGTGGTCGGGCATTATCTTGTTGGAAAGTTGGATCTGTCAGGGTGTCAAGATAGGGTAAAAGATGGGGTTCTAGAACTTCGTGGATATAACGCTGCGCGTTCATGTTCCCTCTGATGAAGATTAAAGGTGACCTGGAACCATAAGCTATAGCACCCCAAACCATAACTCCAACAGTGTGATGAACATGTCTTTCAACAAAAAACGACCATCGTGCATGCCTAAACAAAATCGAGACTCGTCACTAAAGACAATACTGTTCCAATCCTGATCCCAGAGTGACCGTTGTCTGCACCACTCAAGGCGATTACGTCGGTATTCTCGAGTTAAAGGGAGGACCCAGTGTGGCCGGTATGAAAACAAGCCAAAACTTCTCATTCGTCGGTAAACACTTCGCATGCCAATAGGTCTTCCGTGTTCTGCAAACCATTCATTTGCAATGGACCTGGTAGTGGAGAAACGGTCCCTTAAGGCCAATAATCTTAGGCGGCGTGAATTAAAATTAGTGAATTAAAAAAAGCAGTATAAAAACCGGAATGTCCAACTGATAAGGCTGAAAATTTTTCACTTGTTATTTACAGTAAGATAAATACATTCACCAACTTTTATTAAAATAAAACCATTTAAACTGGGTGTTCGGATTTATATGTCACTTAGTATATTTTATGACATGTAGAGGGAGGGCAACTAAGAATCCGAGGTACTGTATCTGAGAACCTATCCATCGCAGAGGCTTGCGACAAAAAACATCTGATCTTCAAAGTCGACGATAATGTGACCTTTTTTTGCTTGACAATTTTTGCTGTATCTCTACAAATAAAGCCGATTTTAACAAACTTGGGCTAGTTGAAAAAAGTTATCCTTGGGCTACAAATGTTACGATATTTGAAGTTTCGTTAGTTTCACATGTGGCCACTAGAGGGCTTTCTCGACATTCAGATAGAAATGGTTATTTTCTCAAAAAAATTCAATGCAATAGTATGACTGTCTTATGAAAAAGTAGCTAAATCAGAGTTCCCCAAACTTTTTAGTGTCGTAGACCCCTTGCCATGTTTTTCCGTTTTTCCCCTACTTACCTGATATTGATTTCCTGTAAATTTCTAACTGTAGTGAAGTGTAGTGTTGAAAGCTTAAAGTAAAAACACATGTTAATTTATACATTTATTAATTGAATTTAAATTAAAACTACACAAAATAAAATTTTGTATTTTAAATGTTGAACGTAAGTTGAAACGTCGTATTCCTGGATGCTTGTCTGTGACAAATTGGAGAACTGAGAAAATTCTCCCCGTCCAATATTTTGCTTCATTAGTTTAACTCTGGCAAGAAACGCTGATAAGTTGGACTTTGTTTTAATCAAATTTAAACTGTCGCAAATTAACCATATTAAATTTTGTAAACAAATCTGTTAAATAGGCGATGTCTGTTTTCCTCTTCATTAAATTTTCTTTTAAAATTTTATCTTTAGTATCCAGAAATTCTAAAATAGTCTCAGAAAGTGCAAAAAATCTTGTCAAACATAAGCCTTTCGACAGCCAGCGTACTTCAGTGTGAAGGAGTAATTGATGAAAGTGTTCGTCATTTTCTTCACACAACTGCGCAAATAACCGCGTATTCAACACGTTGCTTCGGATTCGGTTTACTGCATCAATGACTAAATGAAGTGATTCATGCAATCTAACACTCAAATTTTTAGCAACTAAATGTTGTCGATGGATGACGCAGTGTATTGCTAACACCCCTGACACATTTTGTTTTGAATAGCTTATAAATCCACGATAACGTCCAACCATGGCAGGTGCTCCATTTGTAGCTACTGATATTATATTTGATAAAGGAATTGCTTTTTCAATGAAGTAATCCTTCAAAACCTGAAATATTGATTCACCTTTAGTGTTGGTTATCAAAGTTCTTGCGAAGAGCAGTTCTTTGTAGATTTCTGGATTCATAATAAAACGAACATATGCCAATAATAATGCCGCATCATCAGGTAAAGTTGACTCGTCCAGTTGTATAGAGAAATGGGTCGTTTGCAAATAATTACATAAGAAGCTTTTAATATCAGAACTCATTTCATCAATACGTCTTTCAACAGTATTGTTGCTTAAGGGAATTCTTTTAATGATATCAGATGCAGGTTTGTGTAAAACAGTTTTTAAAACCTCTTCAACGGCTGGCAAAATTAACTTCTCTCCGATAGTATGCGGTTTTCCGGATTTTGCTATAAGTAACGAGATATTGTAAGACGCCCGCAAACCATCATCATTTCTTTGTGACGTCGAAGCGAACATCCTGTCCAGTGTAGGTCTCTTCTGAAATTTATCTTTGAGTGTTTGAAAGTATTTCAAAGCTTTCTCTGTTTTATCAGGGTGGCATCTTCTCAGATGATCTTGCAGTTTAGATGGTTTCATAGCGTCATTGCCCAAAACTTTGTTGCATAAAAGGCACATAGGCGATTGTTTGTCCGGCAATGATGGAATGAAGCCAAATTTCAAATAATCAACACTGTACTGTCTACATTTCTTTTTAGAGTCGGACATGGCATCAGTCAACCATGGGCAAAATTAAATTATTTAAATAAGACAAAAAATCCAGCAGCTGTATATTAAAAATATTTTTTGATTTTTCCGAAAACATTCCATAATTCGAACATCTTATTGCAACAATTAGCTCGAATTACGGAGATTGCACTGTAATTATATTACCGATTGCTAAAACTTTCAAAAAGAAACTAGTGAGGAGTACTCGTGTAATTTTGCATGATTGAATATTTAACTACTAATAACTAAAGTCACGATTGGCGTAATTTATCTATCTTTGCTAACTACGAGTACAAAACTAAAATTTAATAAAAAATAATGTACTTACTTTTCTCCAGCACTCTCAAACAAAATAACACTGACTCACTATAATTTGTGTGATATACTATCTGTTTATATTTTTTAAAATATTTTCTTAGCACTTTCCTTTTCAAGATTCAGGAAACGAATAAACGTATTTGTCCCACATTCGTATTTATAGAGTGACGAATTGAACAAGTCAGTGCAAGGTAGCGAAGCTCTGAGACTGCGACTCTCAGGTTTTTACAAGTTACATGTATTGCTACCACAAAGCGAATACCAACATCCTACAACTTACACAATTTTATAAACATATATAATAAATTTTTTACTTCATAGATACTTTTATAAATAATGTATGTTTTGATATTATAAGATAGTATAATGTAAGTAAATAGGTACTATCAGTGTATGTGTTGAGATCCACTATCGTGGACCCCCATATTCACTTCATGGATCCCCAAATTTTTTTTCGCTGACGTAGACCCCTTGCAGGTTGTCATAGACCCCTAGGGGTCGATATAGACCACGTTGGGAATCAATGATCTGTAAGCATTCGCGCGAAAATTGCATTTCGATAACTTTTTCCTAACCTACAATTCAGGACAAAGAAAATTTTATACGGAAATTCTTATTTTTTAAACAAATTTTTCTGGAATTTGTGTTTGTTATTATGTTGTGGCCCTAAAACGGACCGATTAAAAAAAGAAAGGTTTTTAATGTCCTCGCAAATGCTCGAAATGCTGAGCATCACGCTCTATGCATTCCAGAAGCCTCTCATGGGTAGACAAAACTGCAGTTCAATTTTGGCTCTTGTAGGTTCATATCTTCTCTAGTTGTAAGTTTAATCTGAAACACGATGTCCTTCAACCGTCCCCACAAATCAAAATCCAGACAAGTCTGGTGATCGCGAGGGCAATTTATTATTATATTATTATTATTTGTATATTGACGGATTGAATGTATCGTTTGTTTTGATCAAGGGTTGTATCTTATTCACAAAAAAACACTTTTTTGTTTTTACACTTATGTTTGGCTACTCACTAGCTTTGTCAATAATTCATAGGTGAAAAAGGAAAATTCCAACTTTTATAACACCCTGTATGTTTGGATCGCTAGCAGCCCTGCTTTCTTGTTGCGTGCTCCGATTTTTAAAATTACGTTGTGTATACATTAATTAGACCCGCTAAAAGGAATTTTCGTCCAGGTGGGAAGCAAATCGGCTCCCGTTGAAAAATTTATCATCTACCCGCGGTTTCAGGATATTGAATCCGGTCTACGCACAGGGTATCGCAGGGCTACCGGCGCAATGCGGCGTTGCCGAGCTGCTACCCCGAAAAATCCGTAACCTAATAAATAACTCGATGTTGAGACATTGCTAGCGGAGATGTGAGAGGATGATATACGCATTATTTAAATGTCGGATACATGGTAAGGGCATTTCGATCAAATATTTGAACTGCTTGAGCTTGGATTATTATTGCACCAGATTATCAATGCTTCAGTAATTAAAGGTACTTTTCCATCTGCATTAAAATTAGCAACTGTCATATTAAAAAATGCTGGTCCTTTAGATTTAAAAAA